ACGTGAGCTCCTTCTGGTGCGCCTGGCAATCTGCGCCGCCTTCCGAACGCACTACGTAAGACGAAGGACTATGAACAGGCTGCGCGAAAGGAAGAGCAGAACACGCACAGTGTCGATTGAGGGCGTCCATCCTCGCAAACGTTTTCTTGCACCCCTCACACGTGAACGGCCGGATGTTGAGATGCAAATTCTCGTGACGCTTGCAGTCGTGCTGACGCGCGAAGCTCTTCTGGCACCCGGGCCACTTGCACTTGAACGGCTTCTCCTCGTTATGGGATCGCATGTGTCCTACAACAACAGCATCAGCTCTCAGTCACGACCGCCGAGTGCAAAAAAAAAGACGCACCCTTCAAGTTGAAGTGCCGGGTGAACGTGCTTCCGCATCCAACCACCGGGCATATGAACGCAGCGTCCACCTTCCTCCTCTTCTCGCTCGCGTCCTTCGTCGCGTGCGTCGTGACGTTCACCTTGCTCACCGCCATTGAGCCCTGCACGCCGCCCTGCACGCCGCCCTGCTGGCCACCCGCCTGATGCTGCGGCTGCGACTGCGCCATCCCCATGCCGGGGTTCATGCCCACACCTATGCCCATCCCCGACATCAGCCCCATCTCGTTCAGATCGGCGCTGTCCGCCAACCGCATGTCCCCGAGCTTCATATAATCCTGCTGCGCCCCGCCCGCCGAATACCGCCGTCCAGCGATCGGCGCCATACCACCGCCGCCCATGTCGAGCTCGTACCCCGCCCCGACGTCGGGCGCGAGCTGCATCGAATCGTACGCCCTCGGACTCGCGTTCGGGCTCGGATACGGCGACCCTCGCCTGCTCCCCCCAGACGACCCCGCCCCGCCGGAGCTCCCCCGACGGTGATGCGTCCGGTTGATGTTCGGCACGATCTCACGTCCATGATGGGGGTGCAGCAGATGGCCCGACGGGAAGAGGGGATGGAGCAGGCCCCCGCCCGGCTGGCCGGCGCCGAGCGACGGGCTCACACGGATGTCTTCGGAGCGCACCTGCCGCGTGTGTCCCGGCCGGGGCTGGCCGCTGTCCGAGCGCACCCGGCGGAGCGGCGCGCCCGCGACCATGCCCATGCCGCCCATGCCGGGCGCGACCTCTGGCGGGAGGAGATAACGCTGGGGAGCGCCGACGCCCATATCGGAGCTCGGCGGGCCGAACGAGTAATGGTGCTGCATCCCCGGTTGCTGTTGTTGTTGCTGGGCGTACTGCGGGTGGAAGTCGTTGGGCGCTAGAAGGCCGCCGTCGTCGACCGCCGAGCCGCCCGCGGTGGGTCGGCCGGGGGTGTCCCACAGCGGCGGGCCGTGGGACGTGTCGGAGTAGCTGCGGCCGCGGATCGGGTTCGCCGGCGTCGGGACGAGGAAGGTCGTCGACGCGAGGTCGCTGGGCCCGGCAACGGCGTCGGCCGCTTGATGCGCCGGCGGGAAGTGGAACGTCATCTGGCCGTTGTTCTGCTGGGGACGGGAAGGACCGGCGTTGGCGCTGTGATTGCCGTTCCAGGTCGAGGGCCCCGCGTTGGCGTCAACTGGTGAGAAATCGCTTTGATCAGCATGTGGACACAGAAGGAGAAGGAAACGTCAAGGTCGAGATGACTCACCGCGCAGCGCAGAAGCATCGGAGGCGGCGTTGGCGCCGCCACCAACGGGGGTGGCGGGGACGATGTTGAGACTCGGGCCGACCATGCCGCCTTCGCCGTCGGGTGCATTGATCATCGGCGTGTTTTCGCCCTGGGGAAACATGCTCGGGCCCGAGGGGCTGCTCGTCGTGTCCGGGATGAGGAGCGTCGGGGGCGAGCTCGGCTTGTGAGGAGGCGAGAGCGACGTCCTCTGGAGCTGGGCATACTGCTGATGCGGGGAGGGCTGATCGTACGCCAAGCTGGGGTTGTAGGTGGGTCGGGGCGAGTGATGGGTGTTGTTCGACGAGAGGGAGGAGGCGCGAGATCGGATGGCGTCCCCCGCGGAGGACGGCGAGGAGTGGTCGAACGCCGAGGGCGATCCGCGGGCATCGGGCGGCGGGGCGACGTCGACGGACACGCGCGGGTTGTGGGCATCATAGGGCTGGACGCCGTTCATGAATTCGGGTGCGAACATGAGCAGCCCGGGCGATGCGTGCGGGTCGTCGTACTGGGACGGGTCGTAGCCCGAGTCGCCGTGATCGTTGTAGAGCCCGAGGCCTACGGAGGGGTCGTACTGCGCGTCGGTGACGATCGGCTGATCGGGATCGTAGCTGAGGTCGGAGTAGGAGGTGTAGGGCGAGCCTGCGTAGGAGCCGTTGTAGGAGGGCGTCGGGGGCGGGTGGGTGGCGAGCTTGGCGCCGAGGGGGTCGAGGTCGAAGTCGGCGTAGGGGGCGGCGGGGGCGGGTAGGGCGTCGGGGTCGAGGTCGGCGAGGAATGGGGAATGTTGTTGATATATAGCAGCCTCCATGGCGTCGCGGAGGCGAGTACGAGAATTCGCGGTGGGCGTCGCTACAGACGAGGCTGTGTTATGTACGCAGACTGATTTCCTCCCATCAGGAGGATTCCCACGGGCCTCGTTGCCAATTCGCTGGACGAGCGGGATCCTCGACCTGCGGGCGACGGACGCATCATCTGCATCTGCACCCAGATCCTCTCCGCCGTCACGAAACACGCCCGCCAGAATAAGAACGCGTCAGCATCGCCCCGCCAAGGGCTGCGCACCGGGCGATGCAGTCATGGCCCCTTCCAAACTCCGACACGGGCGCTGCTGATGTAAGCCCTCCATCAGCCCTCTCCTCCAAGACATACGAGACATTGAACCTTCCAGCGGCAGCGATCCCCGTTCTGGTCTCTTTTCCCGGGCTCGGCCCCTCCCATCACCGACGGGACGAAACGCGTTCAGCATTAAGCGTACCGAGCATGTGGGCCAGCAGAAGGCTCACCACGCTCTGGCGCATGCGATCCGCGGCACGGCACCAGCGCTTGCCCGCGAGCGACGACGTCCTCGTCTTCCCCTCCGCGCGCCGTGCTGTATCCGTCCGTAGTCACGGCAATGCCACGCTCGACTGCCATGGCGCTTCTCGCAGGGTGCGCTTCCCCTTCCCTGGATGGCGTCGCCGCGGCACCTGCCGTCCTCTCGCACGCCAACCCCGCCCCAGAACGCACGCGGGACGAGCACATCGACATCGGGCAGGTTCACTGTAACGACAGAAGATACATACGGCGCATGCGGGACACATAATTACATACCAGGGCTGAAACTGCGGCCGATCTCTGTTTTTGTGATGGCTTTGGTCGACTCTGTTCCGCAGAGTCTCAGCTGCAGGATCCGTCGTCGCTCCACGCGCGAGAGATCCTTCGCGGCACCATCCGAATCAACACTTCGTTGTTGGCATCGAACGCGATTGCCTCGTTCGACCCGGTCTCACGTCCGTCGCGTCCACGTAGACCCCCGCCTGCTCACCCAAAGGCACTCTCGACGAATATATTCTAGTCGACACATCAGATTGGGAGTCTGTCGCTTCTATTTACGACTTGGTCGCGTACGCTGCGGAGGTTCTTGCTGTCCTCCACGAAGAACAGGACGTGTCAGGAACGGACAGAGACGTGTCCTGATGACGGCTATCCATACCCCAGCATTCCTACGATATTCATCCCTCGAGCTATACAAATCTTAGGACTAAACTTCTCTTCACCACGCGTCCGTCTCAACAGTCGGTTCAAACCGTCGTAAGTGCTCTTCCCACTGTCTACGATCTGATCGCTGGTCGTATCTATTCGTGTTTATATGATCAACGAATCTTCTGTAATTCATTTCCACCCATCGCTTCTCCAGTACTGCTCACGCACGCAGTTAGCGACGCGACGTGAAGTCCATCCTGTGGATTAATAGGCCGTAGCCCTAGAACATCTGATAGCATGAGCGACCGTCACCCCTGATTTGATACGGACGACCTCAGTCACCTTCGTCAAAATAGATTATAGGCAAAGATGTCCGCGGGCAGCCCCGCCAAAAACATGCAGAAGTCCCGCTCCACTTTACCCGTGCTGCAAATACACTCAAATCAATATACTCCGGCTTCTTACCATCGCGCTTCCGCCTCGACAGCCGGACCTGGCCTGCGTTCCTCGCACTTGGCGTGGAGCACTGTCGCTAGCGCATGCCTATGATGATAGTTGTCTGATTCACTGTAAACCCTCTTCTCTGTTACATTACACCAACGGCGAACTGCAACAATTGAGTGGTGGTCGAAACCTCAGGATCGAGTGGACGTGGGTCACCCGACCTCACCTCCTGTCCAAACGAGTTCTGTCACCAACCCTCCGAATTCTTACAACTCTATCAAAGCGATCATTGTTTCGTAACCCGGCTCGCACCCAGGTCAGTAGTGACGCCAATGGCGCTCACTGGCCCAAGTGTGTGTATCTCCCATACCTGGTCCGTGCACCTGATGCACGAAATCCCTCACTCGCCCTCAGGCGCCCAAATACGTGAAACGATGCGTGAATTGGGAGACCTGACCAACGGCGGAGAGGCAACGCCCCCACGCGCCCTGCGCACGCAACTCGGGTCCGAGCCTGGCGACCCTGCAAGCAACTGATAGCTGAATTCGGCCGCCAGACGGCGCAACGCCAGGCGTCTTCTGGCCTCTGCGAACGAATGGGGATGGATGACTGAGCAATTTAACCTGCGCCGCAACCGGCTTCGTGGCGTCAGAAACGCCACTACCTCGGTGCATGACCCACCGACGCCGCGCGTGGGGCCCACCCCCGCGTTTCGACGCTTTTCTTCCTTCTCTTTTACCCCCGTTTGCTACCGACTTTTGCTCTTTCCTTCTGCGCTGCGCGTACTGCCACGGCCATAGCGATTGCTATTATATTGCCTCCACCCCTTGATCCCTGATCTGATCTCGGAGTTGTCAAATACAGCTTCCACTGATGGCGCGGATTGATCCTGTCCCAGGTCTTCAATTGAATACACGCGAGACACGCTCTGGGACATCTTCGTATGCCCTATGACATGTTCCGCCCGAGGACTCCATCATTGGGCAGGGCCGAATCGCGCTCGTGAGTGGGACGGGCGTGGCGCGATCACCCAATCCATGCCAGTTCCAAATGCTAGCGGCTCCTCGACACGTCCGGCCTAGTTGGCGCCCGTACCCGTTTCCCGGCGCGATCCCAGATCACATCCCAACTCCGTTCGCCGACACATCGACCCCGCGGCACGCATATATGCGCAATATGTGCCGAATCCATATCGCGAGCCGGCGGGCCAGCGGGATCGAGCGGAGATAGCATCAGGACTTCCCTCTAGAGCCGTCTGGAGAGCACTCGCCAAGCCTCCCATCTTGAAAGAGCGCGCGATTCCCGCCAAGGAGGACAGATGTGCCTTTCTCCCGCAAGTATTCGCTCGATGGAGTTGGTGCTCGAACGGCGCATAGGTATGCAACAATGGAGGGATTCACACGCATGACCCTTACGTTCAACTCTACAGAATACCCTATTCTGCCACGCGCAACGGCACTCCCACCAACCCAATCACCACCCAGCAATGAAATCAGCAATTTGCTAGCAATGAATCAACGAAGGAAATCGCACGCCGTGCCGTATCCTCAGGCTCTGTAATGCATGCGCACGCATAAATCTCGCCCGACGCTCGCATACGCTCTCAGGTTCATGACGACAGCCACGAGTACGCAGGGGGACACGTATGGACCGCCCGCGGCATTCTGCGGTCAGCGCAGCGCCATCATCTCGAGCGCACAATCTCCCGAGGCACACACACTCGTTCCTGACCCTCAACCCCCGTCCCTGGTACCTTGCTACGGACTACCGCCGATCTTGCGCGTTGTCCACAGGCTCGCATGGTTCCTTCCCCCCGAGCTGCCACGTCTCTTCAACGTCGAATCGGCCAGTGTGATTTCCTTTCCAGGATTGGCGATGGCCGCTCAGCAGCGCCCACGTGAGGATGCGCCACACGGCTGTTTAACTACCCTCTACTTGGATCAGATCCCGCTCCGGTAGTGGATCGTGAAGAGCGCTCTCCGCGTGACGCATGGCCAGCGCCCGCCCTCGCGATCTCATCGTTGCTCAGTGCACCATCCAGCTCTCTAACGAAGTTGGAAATCAAAACCCCCTTCTCTTTGACCGCCCCCTTTCGTGCAGGTGGTAAAACAAGCGCGCGCCGAGCCCGAGTTTCAGTCTTCCTCCCGTGTCTCTGCCTCGGGCGGCGGTTGGCATCCTCCGTTCATCTTCTCGTCGTTGAAACCCTCTCATTCCTCCTCCATCTCTGCGTTGCGATGCACGCGTCACCCATCAACCAGCAACGCCAACATTACAATTCACTACTGCGCTCGCTCAAATCGTCGCATTCAGAACGAGCAAGGGTGGAACAAGCTCCACTATCTGATCATCAGTACGACAGTCAGATCCGAATTCCCGCGTTCATTCTATCCCAACCACGAGGTTCTCGCGCCCACCATCAGTGTTCTTCATGACTCACCAATTCAGAGAAGATGACCGCAATGTACTTGCTATTCGAAGCAGAGTCGCCATGGAGATCCGTGTTGAGTCGTGTCCAGGGAACCATCGAGCACGCACATACGCCTCTCATCGGAAACCCTCTTCTCCCATCGTCAATACTCCATGGCATGTCTAGCCTCGGATACCATCACAACTGGGGAGTCCTTTCTGCGATGCTCTTCCGCCGCCACATCGCTGTGCGGCGCCTCATTCATCATCAAGGTTCTCTCTGAGAAGGCAGCACCGCCTGTCGATCGTTGATCCCGTCTTCGCTGTTTATGGCTCTATCGTGCCGGCACTGAGGAACGCGTTTATAGCGATGATCGTTTCCGATGCACTTAGTCTTAAAACATGATCGAATATTGGACGGCGCAGTTGCAACTCCTCAAGCGCGGACCGAACTTCTTGCACTCATGGAGGGCACCCCGTCACTTATCAGCAAGAGTTCGCAGGTCCATAACCACGAGCATGCTTATCTTCCTTCTCGCTGGCATATCCTATTTTCATGTGCGATTCGAAGATAATTATTGTCAAAGCCAATCAGGTTTCAATCGTAAAGGGCTGCTGAAGGCCGCACCTGACCAATCACGCTGATTGGCGCCCGTACTGCACGGGTTAACGTTATGGTGACCTCCTCGGGCTCCATACCCGCCACCAACTTGCGCTTCCCGTTGCGAGGGCCATATACCTCAACCTATCCGCGCTGGATCGGTTGCTAGTGTCCAGTACCTGGTTCTAGCGTTCGGGACGCTGTCGAGTATCATGGTCGTCCGGCTCAGTACGATGGAAAGACGGCGATACAACATGTTTCGTCGCGATTTCAGTGGAATCCAGGTATCCAAGTGGAGCGGCCGCCGTCGCCGGTCACGCTTTACGGACTAGTCATAGCAACTCGGACAGGAAAGCTCAGACGATGCAGCCTCTGATGATCTAACCATCCGAGTACTCTACGTTGACTCGTGTTTCTGATGCAGGCTCTGGCAGCGGTACGGCAACAAGCGTCCTTCGATCCTGTTTCATCCGTCCGCCACCGACAGCCCGTAGACTCCACGCAAAGTCCATCCGAGTTTGCCGACGTATGGAGAATCTGATGTATGACTTGCTTCCCGACAGGGCTACGCTCCGGTCGAAGTTGACCGTTGATGCAAGCTCAGTCCGAGATCGACCTCACGAACGCGACTGCGACGACGAATCGTCTTCATCACCTCCACCGCAATGTCTCGGCCATGGTAGATTCGAAGCGACTATCCCTAGCGTCATGGCATTTTGACATTACTGGCACTTGGACTATATCAACGTGCTGCAAGTTCCGGCGAACCCCTGCAATCGGCTGGATGATGGCGTGCTGTTTTCAGTGATACCCTTGATATACCACCTCAAATTCCCACCCTGACGCTTCGCGCGGGCAAGATGACAAGGTTCGATCATCTACTGAGCTGGGTTGGGAAATCGCTCAGCTGAATGGATGGTCACGGAAGAGTCGCAAAGTCAATACTCCTGCGTTTTATCACCAATGGGTGAACTAGGTGATCGGAATCATAGCCGGCGTTTCTTTCGCCTCGCTCCAGTCCCGTCGGTTGGGCGCTCACGAAGGTGCATTACTCCCCAATATCATGACTGGACTCAACCTGCTCATGCTCCCGAAACATATAGTGTTGCTTAACGACTCTTCGATCAATCCGTTCATCTCCAGTGCTATCGATACGCGGTCCTTCTCTTCTCCTGAGGCTGATGAACAAGCCGCTGAGCTGTTGGGTTGGATCCGAGTTCAGCATAGCAATCTCACGGGCATCCCGGGACTTGACATTGCGACCGCTTCTCTCAACGTTCAACCGGGAGCGTATCGCAGCGGGCGTTCCGGTGGTTGTGCGTTCGACAGCGAGCACAGGTCTCCACATGACCGACGCCGTAGCTTTAGCGGTTGAGTCCACCTGACATATCGTCGGCCGAGTTTGCACATTGACCCACTGGATCCGAATTCTGGCGTTCTGTATGGAAGAAAGGTCGAAGCCCTTGAGGTCCCCGAGAACGGTTATAGCGTGGCTGTCAGCGGCGCTCCGCGGTTCTTTCCCTTTGCTGACGTTTGGCTGGCTGCATTTGGTCCACAGTGCTCATCGCATGCATTGGGGGCACGCTCTTCAACAATCCGAGGTCAAGCGACCCAAGGTGCCAGAACTGTTCCGATGAATGCTAAAGATATCCCGCCTCGTGTTTATCTCGGCTTCGCTCCTCCGACCCGTTTTCCCCTCAGAGTGTGGTATCCTTCGACGGCGACTCCCACCTGACCTTTCTGGGCTAACAGTTCCGGGTCTAGCATCGATCTGCTCAGTACGTAATTGCTGTGAATGCACTTTACATTCCCTCGAACTCTCCGTTGAGATTCGTGTTTTGAGAACTTAGGTAGACAGCGGCGTCCTTGGGAATCCCGGTAGATTCGAGCTCTGGTGTCTGCAAGATGATATTCCCAGTTGTCTTCGCCGTATCTTCCCCGCTACCTCCGCGCATTGACATTGGTGCACCGCCAATGTACCGCCCGTATCCTCGGCCAGCACCGCCCCCTTATGACGATGCATGCATCTTCCACAGCTTGCAGTTAAGATTCGTGTGCGAGATCAAATCAGAGATTTAAGGGCTGATCAGATCGGGAAGCATAGCTTGTATCTTCCTTTAATCCACAGCCTACATAGCGCCGGTCGAAACCGGCTATAAAGTGGGTCTCATCTTCATGTTCATAATCAACATTCCGAAACTCTGGAAGGGACGGTCCTTGCATAGCCATCCTCCTCGACTCTTCTCGCTATCGTCCATATGAGGCTGGCAGTCCACCAGCATGGTTTGCTTCCACTTTCGACGAGAACTGGCCTGACCACAGCCTTCGGACTTCGCGCGTCGCGTTATATCCGCCTGAAACGTATGACAGAATGAGGACCCCGACGAAACAAGTACAGCACCCAAGCGACGAAGTCAAAGACGGTGTTATACAGTGAAATAGTTGTTGGTGTGTACAAGTCGTGTATTATGCAGTCCGCTTAAGTATACACAGCATACGACTCGGAGTAAGCTTCCATCCTCACAATATCTTATGCCTCAGTTTCCACCGTAGCTAGAGGCAAAGGGATGTCAGCAATCCGCAACGTCTTGTCGGCTAACACGCGAGACTCACGCTCACGACTCTTGTTTCCGGAGATCTTGTCTTTGATCGTCTTCGCGCGACGGACCAAGCCCTCCTTGGACCACTTCGCCGTCCTAGCGTGATCGTGAGACTCCCGTGACAGGAGGACAGATAATCGAGATCATACCTGACCGGCGCATATTGCATGACGCCCCGATGCCTCATGTTGAGCTGGTGGGTCTTCTCTTGCTTCAACGCCTTCGCCTCCTTGGGATCGATAACACCATCATCGTTCGCATGGGCGTTCTTAGCGGCAATGACCGCGGAACCTTCCACACGGTCATACGCTTCATAGCGGCTGAACGAGGAGAAGAGATCTGAGATCGAAGCGTTCTCAGCGACGAAGGAACTAGACGTACTGCTTCTCATCCCGAGTTTCTTGGCTATATCGATGATAGAAGATCAGCTCACGTTTCCAAGACAAACATGAAGGCTTACTGTTCCTCGTGATCGGGATCCAATCCGGAATCCAGAACAACGGTGCATTTCAGCCAACCGACAATGTCATAATGGTGTGTGTGCGCGGTCTGGTCGTTGACTGGGGGCCACGGATGAGCATAATTCTCAATCTCGAGGCGAACCTGGCACATGAGCTCACTGTAATTCTGCCTCAGCTGTGCGAGCTTCTTGCTCCTCAGCACCGGCACCCTGATCTCCGTCTCCTCGTCGTCGGGCACGTCCTTCAACCAGCACAAAGCCACAAAGTCTGAGTCTGCGCCGAGTGGCCCGATCCCTCCCGATCCGATCTCGAACACCACCGCGGAGGCGTACCGGTTGTACACCGGCAGGCGAATCTTGTCGACGGGCGGATCCCAGGAAACATTCCCTTCCGCCACCGTCGCGGCGCTCGTCGGCACCTTGTACTCGTCGTCGGTCGTCGAGATCGTGAGTTTCTTGGTGCGGAACCCCTCCTGAAACTCAGGCGCGGCTTCGATGGAGATACCACCGACGACCTCAACGGTGCCGGTATCCCAACCGAGCAGAGTTCGGGGTAAGGTGGTCTTGACCTGACGGAAAAGGAACGATATGTTCGCCCGACCATATCCTGGAACCATATTCAAGACATGCGTCAAACCAAGAGACAGTACTACGTACCGACACCCTCTTGAAGCGAGAATAGCCTCGTTACCTCCGAGCTATTCTTGAAAAGCTCGGACAGCTTGACGGTGACGATACCCAGAACAGGATCCTTCTCGCGCACCCTATGTCCCGCGTCAACGAACATCCCTAATGTTGCAGCATCATCTACGCACCTAGCATCTCGCACCTGTACCCGGACGATAGTCTCCCTCCAATCCCTGATGAACCTCTCCGTGCCGGCCTCGAAGTAAGGCATGCTCGTGTACTGCTTCACACGAGTCTTATAGATCATATCGTCGTTCACGATGATCTCGCAGTAGCCGTTCGGCAAGTGCTCTCCTTCCTCTGCAGCTTCCGTCGTGTCCTGACCGGCCTGACCCTCACGGCTGCCAGTGTTGCCCTTGATATCTTGGCGCTCCACTAGCGCGGTTGATCAGCAGACTCGCTCGTAGGAGAATATCGGGGTACGCACAGTTGTTGATCTGGTGAATGATGATAGACAAGATACCACTGGGAACTTCCGGATCCGGTGGTGTCTTGAGCGCGTCTGCCTCATCCTGACTATCCGCGACCGTGGGTTTCTCCGCGACCTTCTCCCCAACGGTGTCCTTCAGCTCCTTGGGTACGTTCGGGCTATCCTCCTTCATCAACGCCCTGTTCAACGGCATCTTCTCGCTATCCGGTCGTCAGCACTCGGTAATCAGGCGCGTCGACAGTCAACCCACTAGTAGCCGACCTCCCAGTACAGCGTGCCGGGCATGGAGTTCGCGTCCTCGAAGCCCTGCAGCTTATCCTGCCTCGCTGTCATCGTGTTAGGCTTCTTCAGCAGCTCCGTGAGCGGCACGGTCACCCGCCCGACGAGGTCGTCCGCGCTCCGCTTGTCCGAGTCCCATAGCGTCGCGCTCAACTCCTCCTCCGCCTTCACCTCGTCGTCCGTCATGAGCAAGAATGCTGTCTCCTCCCACACAGGGTTGAGATCGCCGAGGATGATGCGCGTGGAATAGAGCGGCTTTCCGAACTTCGCGTACGCAAGCACGATGTACGGGTCCGAACCGCCGCCGCGATCTTGTGCGGACAAGCCGACGGCGTGGTGGATGGTAATAACGAGGACGCCGAGCGCCGCGGTGTCTTTCTTGACGCCATCACCGGCAAGCATCTGCGCCAAGTTGAGCGTGAGGCTCTTAGGTGCCACGAATTGGGCAGCCTGTCCAACAAAAGGCATCATCAGACTCGTGTACGGGCCCATATAGCGCAACGACTCTTACAGCGGCAGCGATACCCATCTCCACAAACTGTTTCACCAAAGGCAAGTCGAGCACATTAGGCAGCGCTTTCGTGAATGGCTCCACCGACACCTCGACCTTCGGTACGCCCATCAACGTCACGGTCAAGTTGCGCACGAACGGCGGGTTCTGGATGAACTGGATACGGAGCCGGGCCGTAGCCACGAAGCCTTCGACGACGGCGTAGATAGGGATCGGGATCTTGAGCCAGTCGTAGACGCCGAGGAAGAACTCGAGCATGAGGTGCACGTTGTGGAAGCGGAGCTTACGCGACTGCCCGGGGAGGGCTTGATAGGACAGCGAGATCTCGTAGTTCTGAAGCAGGCTGATATGAGCTGGGTGTATGCGCTATACTGGAAAGAAGGTCACATACCAAGTAGTCGCCAGTCTGATCCTCGTCCACTTCCTCAGCCTTGCCCTTATCCTTCTCCTCAGCCTGGATTTTGCTCTGCGTGTCCTTATCGAGCCCGACCCACTCTTCACGAGGGTAGTCCGGATGACCAGGTTGATCGGCAAGCGCACGCATAGACACAATTCGTAAAGGGTTCGTTCCTTGACCCAGGTCTGCAATACGAACAGCGCTTACGATCCCAGGAAGCGAGGCTTGCAGAACGTCCTCAATCATCTGTGAAGATGACATCAGTACTAGATGGTGTGTCAAGGAAACCAAAAACGGACGTCGACGATCGGCACGAACATATCGGGGTTGACTAGGCCCCAGACGAGTTTCAACAGCGCATTGAGCCACTCCACGCTCTCCGGGGTCGGAGGACTATACTCCTCCGCCCGCCGTTTGTGCAGGTCCATCCGCACCCTCTCCAGCTCCTTCTCAATCTTCCTCCCCGCATTCTCGGAGCCGACCCAGGTCGCACCGACGATCGTGCCCAGCAGCGAGCTTCGCCAGAAGAACGCGAACCAAGATAGGTTCTTGCCGGTCGCGACGAACCACCATGTGACGGCACACAGGGCGGTGACGACTAGCGCGCCCGTGCGCAGGATCTGCTTCGGCTTGGAGATGTCGACGGGCTCGAGCGGTGGTGGGAAAGCTTGCACGCATATGTTGCCGACGTCTGCGGCCGTGGGGGCCGGGTACCGTCCATCCTGTCCTTTTTCAGAGGGATGAGGCGCGCGGCGAAGCGCCGTGCCCAGCTTGTTGTGGGAGGAATCGAGCGCGTCGTTGTCAAGACCCTTTTCGCGGAAGTCTGAAAAACGCGGGCAGGTCAGCAATGCAGCGTAGAACTGTGCCCTGCTGAACACTGGCCTTTGAACTGAGGATCCTTGACGAGGACATCCTGGCCCGTGACGGGGTCGCGCACCCAGCGCTCGCCCTTTTGCTTCCCCGCGTCCGTCGCCTTGGCGCCCTTCGGGGGCTGCAGACGCTCCATCATTTCCTTCTTCTCGTCCTGCTTCGACTTTGGTTCAGGCTGGGCCGCCGGGGTCGGCGGCAGCGACTTGTTCTGGTCCGCATCGACACCCGCGTCTCCGTTCTGCGCAGCTCCATTGACCTGAGAGTTTGATTCGCCAAGGACGCCTACGCGCTCTTGCTCCGCTATCGTTGGACAAGGTCAGCGACGCAGCTTGCCAACTTTCCGATGAACTGACCCTTGAATTTCTCGATGGTTGGTACTGGGTTGCGGCCAGAGTAGCCCTCGCCAGCGACATGGTTTGTCGTAGTCATCGTGTCAACGACGGCGGCGGTCGTCAGAGGTCGCGAAAGGGAGGTATATTTGAGGCATCGTCGGCGGCGTCACCTCGTCTTTAGGGTTGTTGGATGCGCACGGTCACTCTGACGTATGCGGGGACGGCTGACAGCTACGAGGTACGCATGAGGTCATGGCGGAGCCGTCCAACTTCGAGGCCGACATTCATAGCGAGCGTTGCGCGACGGGACCGGGCAATCGCTCTGGAATCCAGCGCCATATGCGAGGAGGAGTGAATGAGCGAGAAAGACATATGCCGTCGACACTGGCTAGAAAGAGTCGCGTTCGACGCGCTCTAGCGCCGACGCCAGCAATTCAACGGCATATTCGCACACGACGTCATACTTGTCGACCCCAACCACCCAATATGCTCGCAACGCTACGGCTATAAGTGCATGCCGACCGACTTCCAAGATCCGTAAAGGGGCTGTTCATCTCGTATGGCATGGCGGACTCGGGGGTTGGCGTTTGGCAAGAGCGAGAAGCTGGCCAAGAGGGCGAGAGACTCCCGCGTGAGGATGCCGAGCATGCTTTCCGCTTCGGATACTGACGAGGACATCGAAACCCACGATTGACCCGGCAGCTTTGGACTTAGATAGATGATGCATCGAGGCATTGGAACGGTACATTCAAGGTTTTTATACGGTAGAGGACATTAACCTCAACATGCAAGAGCGGGATGTCGAGCCATGAGGCCTGAGGACATACTGTATGTCCTCGAACTTGACAAGGCGAGAGGCGACCCAACGCCAAGAAAGGCCGCTGCACTCAGACTGATAAATCCCGCTGAGCGGACGCCTACTGCCGTTCCCAGTGGCACACACGTTCAGGAATAAGATTTATTTGTACCACCGAATACCGTACAGTTCCCAAAACCATCAATCGCGAAGCCCAGAAACCATCGCCCCGAAGTCCAAAGATCGAACCTTTACCCTTGCGCCGCCGCTATAGCCTAAGCCATGGAACTATGAGCAGAGGCCGTGGAGCTCTGAGCGGAAGCCACGGAGCTCTGAGCGGGCACAGGAGCCGAAGGGGTCGGGAGCATATCGAACGGGAGCTGGCGCTTTCCACCCGCAGCCTTCGAGGTGGTAGCAGGCGCCGCCGCAGAGCTCGAAGGGAAAGTGGCAGACTCGGTGGTCGCGAGCGGGAATCCGCTTCCCTTGACCGCACCATCCAATCCCCTGCGAGCATTGGCCGTGCACTTGTCAGAGTTGACAGCGCCCTCCTGGCTGTTGGGACGGTCGGCGGGGCACGATTGGCACTGAGTTTGGGCGCTCGCGTCGTTGTACGATCCCTAGAGACAAAGGGCGTTAAGAACAGCAGTCAATTTCGTAGGTATAATACTAACCGCTGCGCAAGGAGTGCAGGTACCCTGACCAGATTGGGCCGCGAAGGTGCCAGGCGGGCAAGGCGCAGGAGTTTCGCACGTGTTCGACTCGCACTATGACGGTTATCAGCGTTCCGTCTATCTGAGAAGGCGTGCAAAACGTACGTAGTACCCAGGTGCAGCGTCGTTGCAATGGTCTGCGTAGCCGTTGCTGAAGTGGCCAGCGCCGCAAGGAGTCTGCGACGAAGCACCTTCGGAGTCGACGTAGTAACCCGGCTGGGCGGGCTGGCAAGAGGTTGACTCCTGGTTGGGCTGGAACTGGCCCTGTGGGAGTTGGTCAGAGACGAGTAAGGATGGCGAATGGCATGGATCATGCCTTGGCGCAAGGCTGGCAAGGCTGCTGGCCGCTGCCGCTGAAGGTGCCCGCCGCGCAGTGGTCTGCAAGCGCCACACGTTAGCATGCATCGGAAGGGTGAATGCCTATCGGGTACGTACTGTTGGAAGACGTCTGCGAAGTAGAGGCCGAGTTGCCCGAGTTGCTCGCCGAGCTGTCCTGGCTCGACTGAGATCCGACGAGCGGGAGCGAGGGCAAAGTCGCGGCATTGACTGCGACGGCCACGATCGCGAGGGCAAGGATGCGCTTGGTGAACATGATTGATATAATTGAGATTTGGGCGAGTGGTAACGCGGGGATGGACGAGCTAGGTAGCTGTCGGTGGGGTGGCTAGGATGTGAGGGACCGGTGAAAGTCTGGGGAACCAAACGCAAAATGCGATCCCTTTTATACGTCTGTTGCTTTCAGAAGGGAGGCTGGCGGGCTGTCAAGGTTCTGTTCGATGACAGGCGTGCGGGCTCAGTTGTGAACGGACAGGTCGTCGATGTTCAACGTGTCGTGCTGAATATGGTAGTCGCATCCCTCGATTTGGATTGATGACGCGTTCGTTACTGCCGCGGATATGTTGCAACGTCCCAGAGAGTGTTGGCTCGAACCTGATTAGGCTCAGCGCAGGCTCAGGCGATGGACCGACTGCGAGAAAGCGAGGATTAATATAGACACAAACGACAGTAGTATACAAGTGCCACGACGCAGACGAGAGCTGCCAGTGCAAGTTAGTACACCTTCAAGATCTCTGGCGATCACAGATTAGCGCCGGTGGACGAACTGCTCGCAACCGCGGGAGGAAGGTCTGATACGCGTCCAACGATGTTGTACCGTTTTCTGTGACGTTCAAGAACTGTCAGTAACGAGAACGCAACCACCAGCTGGCTGGATTATAACGAAGAGCGGGTCAAAGGAACCGCGCATATAGGCTGGCGAATGCGACATTGGAAATAAAACTCACGAGAAAAACGAGTGCCAGTCGTTGAGCACCTTCTTCTCGCTCCCCGGCAGCTCGCTCCAGTCCGGAACCGCATCCTCCTCCTTGAGCGAGCTCATACCGAGACCTTTCGAACCATCCTTTCCCGCGAAAATGTTGTACGACTTGCCGTGACCGTACACGTCCGCCTTGCGGGTGACGTCGAACACATCACCTGCCAGCGCTATCTGAGTAGCGTGTTCGATAGTCAAATGGCATGTGGCGCACCTTTGATAGCGACGTATATCGGCTTGCTAGGATCGCTCCCATCGAACTCCTTCAGCTGCTCGAGAGTATAGGGATCGTCCTTGGGCGGCGCGAGCTCATCGGAGGGCGGTTGCATGATGGGCTTGGATTCTGTGTTTTCGCTGGCAGATGTCTCACTGGATGTGGTTTTGGCAGCCACAAAGCTGCGACGGAAGACGACGAGCAGAGGGAGAGCGAGCGCGAGCGCGTAAAGCACCGACTGAAACGAGACGGATGATAACGCCATGGCCGAAGTGAAGCAGGTGATTGCGTTCGGGATAGCTGGATAGTGCTGCACGCTGCTTTCTTCCAACTTCCACGAGATATATGCTCGTGTCGAAGGATGATCCAATACAGCCAAGCTCGAGCCTTGTATATATGCGCGGACCCCGGTCGCCAACACGCTCGAACACGTCTTCGACTCGCGATCCTGCGAAATATCCCAGGACCCACTCGGGCTCGACTCTGTCCCGACGCCGGTAGCCCAATGCGTGCGGTAATTGGTCTCCTTCCACGACACTTTCTTGAACGCAGATGAGCACTTCGGGTGTAAAGCAATGTAATTACGCAATATCTGCAATATAGTACTCTGTATGCTCAAAAAGGGGTGATAAAAGAGTGTGTGGTCGTTTTGCCTCCGAGTGTGCCTCTCCTTCTGACACGATGATCAAGCACCAAGCCAGTCCCTCCAAGCAGATATCAACATCAACACGAACGCCTGCCCCTCCGTGCTCACGACGCCAACCTGGTCCCAGACCAAGGGGTCCACCGCCGGACCAACCTCCCCAAGCTCGTTCGCGCCGTTCAAGACCGCATCACGAAGGGTCGCAGCACCCTTCGCGAGCGCCGGAGCCATGGCCGGCGAAAAACGATCCGGATAGAGCGCCGCAAGGCGGTAGTAGACCGAGGCCAGCGCGGCCGAGGACGACGTGTCGCCGAAGTGGGCGTCCGGCAGGGTGGACATGTAATCGGGGATGAGACCGTCGGAGCCCTGTTTACACGCAGGTGAGTGATAGCTTTCGGAGACGCAAAAGTGGTGCGCAAGAGTGGTGTTAACGAACGATAGCTTGGTAGGTTCCGTTCAAGATCTGCTCCGTCCAGTCCACGAGGTCGTTTATCTGGCTCGTCATGTTACTCGCGAAAGCCGACTTCTTGATGGTGACCAATACGCGCAACATTCCCGTTGCGGCCCAGGCATTGCTGAACGCGCGTAAGCGGCCGTATCTCCACGATTGACCTGTTGAGCACTCACCCAGTGCCCCAAATACCCTCGTCCGACCACGCCTTGTTATCATCATCGTAGATATGACCCCACAGTGGTCCATAGCTGGTGGCATTCGGAAGCAGCAACGCGTCCCTGTACAGCCTGCAGTTGTCGTACGCGAACTGCAGGAGCGTTTGGTTCTGGGTGACGGCGCCGTAGTAGGCGATGAAGGGCGGCCCCATGAAGACGCCATCGGCCCAATATTGCTTGCTATCGGCTCTATGCGAGATCGCGCCGGTGGACGTGCGAGGCACGTCGGTCAGGATCTACCGCAACACGCCGTCAACAAACCGAACAATGGCAAGAGATTCGCGAACTTACGTAGTTGAGCTGGGCAGCCGCCGCGTTCGCGAACTGGGTTTTGTATGTCGTATCAGTCAGTGAGCCTGTTCCACGGATCATCAGGATACCATGTTGATCATGGTTGATTCAGAACTCAAATTATCATACCCAACAAAACACCACTTCCAGCACTGGCACCATCAAGAGCTGCGCCGTCGGTCGCGTCGCCCACGTTTTGACTCAATCGTCCATCCGCGGTCTGCCTCGCTACTGCGCTGATTGCGAACTGCAACGCGTCCACAGGGATGCCAGAGCGTCCGAACGGTGTGCTACCGAACAGCGAGTACTCGGGGTTGGAGTATTCCAGGACGGCGGAGAGGGCGGTGCCCTGTTCCCAGCTGGTGCGAATAGAACCCAGCATGGCGCCCTTGATCAAGTCAAACTTCGACGTCGCGGCGTTGTACGCCGCCAGGTCGGACGAGGACGCGCTGGCTGCGAAAGTCGGCACAGCGATTGAGAGCAGGCATGCGAGAACGCTCGAATGCATCATTCTCCCTTGAATTAGCACTGCGAAGCAGAAAGAGAGAGGAGAATGGTGCCGAAGCTGACAGACAACCGTGCATCCCACCTATATTTTATATCAGCGCTGACGAGATATGCCCACAGTGCTTCTTTGATGACCTATGTCGGGAGGGAAGACTAACGCGACCTTCCAGCTGTCAGCCCAAGTCAGCACCTCCGTATAGATACTATTGCAGAAGATGCAACTGAAGCGATCTAGGCCTGAAGCTACATAGATATAGGGTAATCTAGAACCTTGCTTGAAGAAACCTAGCCTTGCAGTGGGAGGGTGTTGTTCGGCACGAGCTCAACCTCAGGCGCAGCGCCTGCGGGATGAAAAACGCGATTGCAAATCGGCGGATGTGTGAGCTTTCCGTTATGCCGATGTATCGGACTGAGCTTGGCATTCAGTGTCAACAGCCTCCAAGCATCCTTGGGCCTGCCCTTACGCTTGGTGGACACGTCTCGTCTACACGCTATTCTAAATTCTTCACAGGAGGACGCGAGGTACGAGTGTCCGCCTATCAGAGGACAGGAGAGCGTCATGGGGCGACAAGGGTGGGAGCACCCGCCCGCCGTAGTTGGTTTGAGTTCGGGGCGGGCGTCGGTGCATCCCACCTCTTGTCGCCGCCGCCAATTCGGTTTTTGGTCGCCCACCTACCCAACCCTTTCGATAGCACCTTGGCACGAGTGGGTCCAAAATCATTGGACCACTGCGTGCCTTGGAGCTCAAGGTCCTCCTTTCGCAGGTGGGGTACCCACCCAGCGCAGCAGGCCTTCGCCCTACCATCCTCCTGTACTGGATGTATTGTACTTATCGTGTTCGACTTTGACAATCCACTCTCAGCCCATAGTGATCCTGTCTCTCTCTTTCGGATGCCAGTGCTTATTGCATATGTCTCGGAATACGCAAACCACCGGCAGCGTACTTCGATCGCGGCAACGACGACTTACGTACAATTGGACAAACTAGTACCGTGATTGTCGAGGTCAAATATTCAACGATGGGAACGTAGAGGTGGTGGCGGTGGTGCTGATAGGTAGGTAGGTAGGTATATTTCCGGCGCGGTCCCAATAGCGTGCGGCTTGGCGCACACAGTGCATCCACGGTTCCCGTGAGCTGCATAACAGCCGACACACCGCTTCAGCACTGGCGCAAATAACTAGGTACATGTATGTGCTTCTATGCGCAATACATTACCTAGCGGCCGCCCATTTCAGTCGTCGAGAGTCAATACCGGGAGTTCCGATAGTGCTGGATTACGAGCGTGGGTCCCTAAACAGGAACGACCCACATACATACCACGAAGTTGCACGGTGCCGGTGGGCGCGAGGCCACTGATCCACTAGGGTGCATCCGCTCTCTGCGTTTACCTAACTCTATTTACCTCCCTCTCGTTTTTGACCAAGCAATCCGAGCGCACCATGCTCCGTCATTGATCGCGCAAGTTCAGATGCAGCCATTTTCTCCCCCTCTATGATTGCATGGCTACCAGCCGTCATTCCGACGTTATACGCAACCGAACCATATATCGACGGTTGCAAGCTTGAGTCTCCTTCGATCGTTGCGTCGAGAGCTTCGCGAATACCGTGTTCGACGCCATGCACAGCAGAGCTGGGATCGGAAAGCATCTCCGCGGCATGGTGGCTCGCGGTTTGCATACTTTTTTTCTGCGACCTCCTTGGGGGGACACCAATATCGCAGACGAAGAGTGTCGCCTTCTGAATGTCGCCTTCTCCTCGATGATAATATCGATGAACTGAGGCAGCTGCCACTGCTATGTCCCCGTCAAGTCTCCCGTTTAAAGATGAAGGCATCGAAGAGGTGGCAGATGGGCCGTCGCACCTAGGTAAAATGGCAAATGGCCGTCAGGATGGATGTCCACACTTGGGGTCGTGTACATAAGCTGCATTTCCTGCAATCGCTGAAGGTGGAGAGGTGGCAAGCTATTCAGACTGTCCCGGGAAGGGTTATCCTCGGACGAGTCGAAATACAGCTGATCGGAGATGCGGAGGAATACGAGGTTGGAGAAAGTGTTGAGTGACTGGATCGTGGAAGGATTGATGACCGTCGGATGTATACATATATCGAGGTATGTCAAAGACTGAGAGCTCCTTGCACTGTGAAACGGCAACCAGGGTATGCGAGAGCGTAAGTCCGTGGAGAAGTGTCGCAACGTAACGTATGACAGCAGACGACACACTCTGCCAGCCCTCCTTCTCTAGGTTCTCCATAGGTATTGAATAACATGACCATGGTATGTGTCCGCCTCAACAAGGAAGGACGACGTTCTGCGACGGAGGCCAGTTTTACCAAGTACTCCATCCGATTGCGGTACAGAATCGGGGTTTTATCCACAGATCGAGACCTGTATCCGATACGCATTTCGGTAGCAGCGCAGATTTCTGCAATAGCCTGTGGATGCCATTTTGCACACATATACAAAGCATAGGACATGTCGTTGGGTAGCCGTTTTATCGTGAAACGAGGCTCGACCATCGTCGGCAACGCGGTGGTATGGCGCGAGCAAGTGAGCCATAGGCCTGGGATTGCGCTTTCAACATGACGCAACACATGGGGCGTTGAGTATATGTTCTAGGCGCGATTTGCAATGTCGAGATGAGTTAGTGAGCACGAACACCCCAAGCTGACAACCACGAGAAGTGGACATCCAGGCCCGAACGCCCGAGTCGGCTGTAAAGAGGTGCAAAGCAACATTGGACAGCACAGCTGCATACCTGGCGCACTCGGCCGCTCTTTGATACCCGGATGGCCATGACGTGTGTATAGTCCAAGCGTTGAGGTCAGCTTTCCAATTTGACGACGAGCCTTCTGAGGATTGCGTCGAAAGCATCCTGCTTAGAACGTGTCACCCCTCGTTTCGCCAGCCGACATACCTCGGAACAGCGTGGGCTTCCATGATACCCTACAAGACTATACTATTATGCGTCTGATGCATAGCAAGGCGTATACACGCACATGAATCTGCTCTCAAGCTGAATCTCGCGTCTTGTGACACTGGTCTTTTTGGCTTTGGCTTTATCGAACATCGTAGAGTGCCAGTAAAAAGCGTTTTGACGGGAAGCCGATCTAGGGTACATATATTTTGATAGTCAACCCTGGTCATAGCAATGAAGAGGAGAATCTGCAAGATAGCGCGCAACGCCGCAAGAGGCGTATTGAAGATGTGATCGCGAGAGTTTACGACTCGCAGATGGCGTACAGAGACGACTAAGATGCACGAATCAGTCTGCCGACAAGGGCCCTCGTTGCTGCCTGATCCCGATCAAACCTCCGAAGGGTCGACCATTCTCGTCCAGCAAAGGAATCCCTTCGGCTGCGAACTTGATGGCCGCTTCCACCTCCTCCGCAATGGTCCACACGACCTCATTTCCGTATTGCCCCAGCTCGGCCGAACTCCACGACAACCCGGTGATCTTGACGTACTCGAGTGCCGGAAACTGAGCCGGATCGATGCGGTTGAGCGTCTCGCGGAAGCTGCCAGCGGCGCTGGACAGTGTCAATCGTCGGAGCGTCGGGTGCGCCAGAACCGAGTCGTTGTCCGGTGGATCGCGAGGGAGCATAGCCTGACACGTGAGGTCGGTCAGCTTGGGCATGGAATCAAGAAGCGTCTCCAGGTCGTCCTCGAAATAGGCTAGGCGAGCGTACAGATGCTCAAGGTCGGATCCGTGCTCCTCAACCATGTCGGTAAGCGTGATGATTCCGGTATTAGCGTGTCCAGTATAGGTCTCTTCGTATACGCCTAGCCTGCGAAGTGCAGGTAGATTGGCGGAGTTAACGATGTGAAACGGAATCGGGCCGATTGGATGCAGGGAGTTCAAGTCGGCCTTAGAAACGACTTCGAGTTCCTGGAGGTTCGGCAAATCGAGCTGAGGTAGATCGCCCGGGCTCTCTGGATAATGCCCATCGTGCACGACGTCGTGCTGCGCATCCGAGAGACGCAAGAATATCAGTTGGTCGCAGCTGTTGAGCTGTTCTATGGCGTCGGAGGGGAAGCGGCGAGGATTAAATTCGAGGCTAAGATGGGTGAGGGTCATGGCGCTGCGGTGGGCGAGTACGGGTAGCCAGGGGACACAACCGACGTGGAGAGTCGTAGCAAACCGGTTCAAGGTGACCCGAGAGAGGATACGACACAAATACACCCCGGCCATCTGCGTGACATGCGCAGGAGACGAGCTCGAAGTGTGCAATTCAATCGAATGCGTCCTATTCGCGAAAAGCTGGGGGTGAATGTCACTCGTATTCGCAAGTTCTTTGAGATAGCCTGCGATGTTGCCAAGACCCGCGAAGGCCGGTGATGCGAGGATGTAAATCTCGCGGTACATGTGCCATTTGGCAATGTCCTTGATTGCAAAGTCAAATTAGAGAGAGCATGATTGAGGGGATCTGCTCACGTTCCACCGGCGACTAACTAGCATGATACTCCTCTTCGTCTCGTTTGCAAATCGTAATTGAAAATGTGGATGTCGGATGCTGTTCATAGGGGCCCAAGGATGGGGGCCCGTGTACTTCATGGCGTATGCGATAATTATGCCGAGTAACTCCTCCGGAAGCTTGTTCACAGCCCCTACCCGCATCGGGATCTCGGCGATAGTGGCTGAACCTATTGGTGGAGAATCTGTATCTCAGCTTTCTGTTGAGGAACGGATTGTCAACACTTACGTCTTCGGGGCATGAGTGTGCTCTGACAACGATTTCGAAAATCAGGGGCTAACGGGACTTCCGTCTTTATAAGGGATGAGCGTGGGAAGGCGACATCCAATTGGTGTTTATCCGCAGCCTTTCAGGAGGTCACTATACCGCACGAGCTCGGACTGCAACAACGGCGTCTCAGCCGAATTCACAGAGTTGCGCACTTGACAGCCTGCATCGTTTACCACCACACCTCGCCCGTCATTAGCCTCCTGCCAGTTCGCACAACCTTCGCGCTCGTCACCTCGCCGTCTGCGTCGAACTCTGCCCCTACGTCAACCATGCCACTAGGATGGCGTATCCTGACGATCTTTGTGTTTGGTGCTGACGACTGAAGTGACGAGTTGACGATCCGGTGGGCAACGGTGCCTTCGATGTTTGCAGCGACGCCCAGACAGAGACCCACAGTCTGAGTCGCGATTTACGTGAGTATATGATGCCTCGTGTATGGTATCCTTGAGGTGGAATGAGCGTACCATTGGCACAGCACGATGTAGCACGCCCATAGATAGCGCATGGACGACTATATGCGCGTCGGAGGCTTCTCCCGGTACCGGCGCGCTGAGCACGGCGATCTTGGGTTGCGCCTGCGCAGTGGGATCCAGAGCCATAGCTCGCGCGCCCGCAGAGCGGATGAGCTCGAGCACCTCGAGCACGCCTAGGCTGGCGTAATCGATCGGTTGGTCCGCGGGCGCGGACAGGGTCTTCGAGAGGGTGCAGGCGGCGACAAAGACAGTTGGGTTGGTTGCGTCCACGAGCGAAACCCGAACGGAAGGAAGGCTTGTGTCCGAGAGGGTGAGGTCTTCGGCGGAGTTCCCCGTTGGTAGGAGTTTGCCCGTCCGTGCCCCGCCGGGGGCCATGAAGTCCAGCGTGATGGTAGACGCTTGGCCGGGGACGCCGGCGATAGACGTCTGGGGCAGGTCGAGCTGCGCGCTGAGGCGTTCCGGTCCCAGGCCGGGATAGGAGACGGACACTGGGAAGGTGCAGTCGATCCGCTTCTGCGTGTTGGTATTGAAAGTGCGGACGGTTGCGCGAGTTATGCCTTTAGCATCGTCGTGCGTGAGCTTGAGATCATTCGTACGCGAGACGAGGCCGGTGTCGACGGCGAAGGGGCCAATCATGCTGGATAGGTTGCCACAGTTGCCCGAGTAGTCGACGGTCGCGTCACGTATACCGACCTGTAACGAAGAGAAAGATCGTCGGCGTGGCGAACGTAAACAACCACGACGGAATAATCACCCTCCCACCTGACAAAATGTGTACTGCACGTCTACTTCGCCTTTCTGCTCCGGCGTTGGAGCGCCGACGACGCAAACCTTGGAGAGGCTCGAGACGCCTCCGCCCATGCCGTCGAGCTGTCTGCCGTGTTCCGGGTCCGGAGAGCCCATGATGCGGAGGAAGATGGGCGCCCAAGCAGCACGGTCGGCGGGGAGGTGTTTCGCGTTGATGAAGATGCCTTTGGAGGTGCCGCCTCGTAGGAAGGAGGCGGGGAGTGGGTTGGGGACCGTTGACATCGTTCGCCTAGGACATCTGCCACGTATTCGGGAGGATGAGAGAGCTCGAACGCGGGGTGTCATCTGGAGGCACGAAACCCTTGACTAGTCTGGATATTCTCAGTTCTGATTCAATCTGACCGTGCGACGACATGATTAAATAGCCTTGATCCTCAACGTCATGTCCGAAAATCCGAAATTTTGAGTGCCCGGGCGCTTACGCCAGACGCTCGACCCGCTCGGTAATCGCCTGCTCGCCTTGCTCATCGTCTTCAAGTGGGTTGCACATCTCCTCGCTGGCACCCGACACCCCCCGTCGCCGGCCATGAACGTGCTGGGCTCGCTGCGCGCAACAGCGGCCCCCCTTGGACTTCGGCCGTCTTGCTCGCGTGCGCTCGTCACCGAACCCGGTCCCTCGCGCCTGCACGCCGCCTTCTGGTCGCACACCGCTCGACGGCGCGCTTACACGTCCCACAACAACGGCAGGACGTTCCATTCTGTCTCCGTTGTAGACTACCAGAAGCCTGCCGGCATCGAGCTCAAGAGTCCTCGTTGGGTCAACAAACCTCGGGCACCGGCGCAGGATGACGTCGATACGCCGGATGAAGATGTAACGCGGATAGAGGGTAGCGAGGATGGGACTGCGAAGGCGACGAGCAGAGGCCCGAGCAAGGCCCTCCTAGACGCTCCCGACGGCGCGTCGGGCTCGCAGGGTGCATCCGACTCCGCCCCTCCAGCATCCTCCTCGTCAGGGAGCGACGGCTCCGACGGGCACGACTCGTCCAAGCCTCCATCCGACTCTCCGCCACCGGAATCCCCTCCAGCCCCATCACAACAGCAAACGTCGATATCGAAGCAATCCGTACCCGATGTCTACCCACAGGTCCTCGCCCTACCCATCGCCCGCCGCCCACTCTTCCCCGGCTTTTACAAGGCTGTCGTCGTCCGCAATCCGGCTGTCGTCGCTGCGATCAAAGAGATGATGAAACGCGGGCAGCCGTACCTCGGTGCTTTCTTGCTCAAGGACGAGAACGCGGACGCGGACGTGATCACGGACGTCAACGCGGTGCACCCCGTCGGTGTATTCGCGCAGATCACTAGCGTGTTCGCCGCAAACACGGGATCGGGCGAAGATAAGGAAGAGGGATTGACGGCGGTGCTGTACCCGCATCGTCGGATCAAGATCACGGAACTGGTCAAAGCAGGTCGGACGATGGACGAAGCGGAGAAGATCGAGCAGCAGCTCGAGACGCCCCCGTCAACTCCAACATCGGAAACTGAAGAGGTTCGCCAGTTGCTACCAGGTCAGCTCTTTGTCTGCCATTCGCGTGCACTTGCGTGCTCACGCGACCTCGCAGGCACGCTTCAAACGTCCTTCCTCCAACAGCACGCGGTCTCCATCGCCAACGTCACCAATCTTGCCACGCAATCGTACAACAAGGACGACCAATACATCCGCGCCTTCATGTCCGAGATCGTCTCCGTTTTCAAGGACATCGCGCAGCTCAACCCGCTCTTCCGCGACCAGATCACCAACTTCTCCATCAACCAGGTCGCCTCCAATGTCTTTGACGAGCCGGACAAACTCGCCGACTTTGCTGCCGCCGTCTCCGCGGGCGCCGTCGGCGAGCTGCAGGACGTTCTCGAGAGCCTCGAGGTGCAGGATCGCCTACGCAAGGCGCTGCTCGTACTCAAGAAGGAGCTCATCAACGCGCAGCTCCAGAGCAAGCTCAGCCGGGACGTGGACAGCAAGATTGCGAAGCGCCAGCGGGAGTATTACCTTATGGAACAGCTGAAGGGCATCAAGAAAGAACTTGGAATGGAGAGCGATGGGAAGGACAAGCTGATTGAGAAGTTTAGGGAGCGCGCGGCGGCCCTGAAAATGCCCGAGGGTGTCCGGAAGGTTTTCGACGAGGAACTCAACAAGCTGCAGCATCTGGAGCCCGCGGCATCTGAGGCGAACGTTACTCGGAACTACCTCGAATGGCTTACTCAGGTGCGTATATGCCCGCCACATACCCCGCAGGATCTGTACTCATGCCCTTCCCCAGATCCCTTGGGGCCAGCACTCGCCCGAGAACTTTTCGATTGCGCACGCACAACAGGTGCTTGACGAGGACCACTACGGTCTGCGCGACGTGAAGGATCGCATTCTCGAGTTCCTTGCTGTCGGCAAGCTGCGTGGCACCGTTGAGGGCAAGATCATCTGCTTGGTTGGCCCTCCGGGTGTCGGCAAGACGAGTATCGGAAAGTCGATTGCCAGGGCGTTGGGCAGACAATTCTTCAGGTTCTCAGTCGGAGGCTTGACGGATGTCGCCGAGATCAAAGGACATAGGCGAACATACGTGGGGTGCGTCGTATAGAAACGTGATAATACCAAATGCTAACGATGTCTCCTTCAGCGCTCTTCCCGGCAAGATCATCCAGGCCTTGAAGCGCGTCGGCACCGAGAACCCGCTCGTACTTATCGACGAGGTTGACAAGATTGGGCGTGGGCATAATGGCGACCCGGCGAGCGCGCTACTTGAGATGCTCGACCCCGAGCAGAACACGGGCTTCCTCGACCATTACATGGACGTCCCCGTGGACCTTTCCCGCGTACTCTTCGTCTGCACGGCTAATATGCTCGATACTATTCCCGCACCGCTCCTTGACCGCATGGAGGTGCTCGAAGTGAGCGGGTACGTGACGGAGGAGAAGGAACAAATTGCAGCACGCTACCTTGCGCCGCAGGCGAAGGAGGCTTCTGGTTTGAAGGACGCCGACATCCAGATCGAGTCTAGCGCAGTGGATATGCTTATCAAGTATTACTGCAGGGAGAGCGGAGTGCGCAACCTGAAGAAGCATATCGATAAGGTGAGCACGGATCGTGGGGATGTTTGCGACTGCTCTTGCTGACACTGCATAGATCTATCGTAAGGCAGCGTTGAAGCTTGTGCAAACCCTAGGCGAAGATGCCTTACCTGAGCCCGCCACGACCGCCACTGCGACCGATGACAAATCGGCCAGCGATGCCACGGTTGCCCAACCGGAAGCTGCCACTGCTACTGTCGAAAAGGTCGCGCCGCCTCCTAATAAACCGGCCGCGCCTGAGACCGCGACGCCGAAGATTGATGAGGAGCATGAAGTTCAGGTCACGACCGAGGACCGCAAGCCTCTGAAGATTCCGGACGACGTGCACATCCGCATCACACCGGAGAACCTCAAGGACTACGTCGGCCCGCCTGTCTATTACAAGGACCGGATGTATGTGAAGGCGCCGCCACCCGGCGTCAGCACTGGCCTTGGGTACTTGGGTAACGGCTCGGGCGCGGTGATGCCCATCGAAGCCACAGTGCGTCCCCTTCTAGAATATGCTCACCTACACTTCCCCTTATTCACGCGTTTTTTATTTCGCAGAGCATGCCGGGTAAAGGTCACCTTCAGCTGACCGGCAAGCTAGGCGAGGTTATCCGGGAGAGCGCGCAAATTGCGCTGAGCTGGACCAAGAGCCACGCACTGGAGCTCGGCATTACCCAGTCCGCTACGGAGGAATTCCTGAACGAGCGCGACGTGCATGTGCACATGCCGGAAGGCAGCATCGGCAAGGAAGGCCCCAGCGCGGGTACCGCGATTCTGACCGCGTTCGTCTCGTTATTCACCAAGACGGCGGTGAACTCGGACATTGGTATGTTATATCTATATCTATTGTTGCGTTGGGAGTTTCTGATCGCGTGCTTGTCGGCGTTTCTCAGCGATGACAGGTGAGATCTCGCTGGTGGGTCAAGTTCTACCCGTCGGCGGCCTGAAGGAGAAGATTCTGGCCGCGCATCGCGCGGGGATCAAGACCATAGTCGCGCCGGCCGCGAACCGCGCAGATATCGAGGAGAACGTGCCTGAGAGCGTGAAGACCGGGATTCGCTTCGTGTACGTGGAGGACGTTCGGGAGGTACTGCACGAGGTATTCAGTGGCACGGCTGTCGCCGAACGGTGGAAGGAGACGCTCAAGCCATGAAGATCAACTGCATACGAGATGAGACGCGTTTACTAGGGCAATCGTTTGCTGATCGCTTTCAGAGTTGATTACAATCTATGTATCTTTACACTCAGTCCCCCCTCCGCTCAGCGCTTGTACGGTAATAGGAACGGCTAATTGCAACAACGCCTACATTTAGTGAACTGGCGTGCGCGAGTCCGTAGGTTCGTCGCGTGAAGAAGGCGTTTGCAGTCACTCGGCAGCAAACGCTTTCAGTGTATCTCAGAGCCATTCTACGGTCTGTGGGTCGTGGGGCTGAGTGAGCGGGGAACACACCGAGAATCGGAGGACGACAGGCTTACCGCAGGGGGTTTAGACGAGATGTCGTATGTGACACGATTTACGCCGGCGACTTCATTGGTGATACGGGACGATATCTTCCTGAGGACGTCGGCCGGGAAGACGAACCTAATACATACCCAATCAGTACTGAGGTATCTATTAACGGATAAGATGTGCCATACCAATCGGCCGTCATGAAGTCTTCCGACTGCACCGCTCGAAGCGCGATAACCTGTGACAAGCCGTTAGCATCGGGTGGAAGGACGCTACTAGAATAAACTGCTCGAAGGGCGGCGTTAAGCCAGCATTGGGCGAAACGCAACGAGAATAAATCGCTCGTTGAATTGGTGTAAGGTATCAACGTGGAAAAACGTGACGAAAATACACCACTCGATGGATGGGGGTAACCTTAGCAGATTGAGGAGGCGACAAAATTGTACTGCTTGACGGATGGGAGTAAGTCAGGCAACACGTACCTGTTCGTACGTCCGCTTATCGCCCATCACGCCGACCGCCTTCACGGGGAGAAGCACGGCAAACGCCTGGCTGATCTGGTCGTAGAGTCCTGCGGCGCGAATCTCCTCGATGTAGATGCTGTCCGCGCGTTGCAGGATCTGGACCTGCTCGCGCGTTACAGGTCCCAAGATGCGGATAGCGAGGCCTGGCCCGGGGAAGGGATGTCGCTGCACGAGCGGCGCCGGGATGGAGAGCAGCCTCCCGAGTGCGCGCACCTCGTCTAAAAGGGGAAGCACGATCAGTTACGCGAGAGCAGAAGGTCGTGCGAGCGCGCCTTTGAAGAGCTCGCGGAGAGGCTCGATCAGCTTGAGTTTCATGTCTTTCAGCAGGCCACCGACGTTGTGGTGGGTCTTGATCGTCGCGCTCGGGCCCTTGAAGCTGATGCTCTCGATCACGTCCGGGTACAGCGTACCCTGGAGGAGCCATTCGACCTTGCCCTTCGCCTCCGCACCCTTCTCGCGCTCCTCGGTCGCGGCCGCGGCCTCGAGCTGCGCCGCCTTCTCTTCGAAGACGTTGATGAAGGTGTTGCCGATGATCTTCCGCTTTTGCTCCGGGTCCTCGACGCCGGCAAGGCGGGAGAGGAAGAGGGCGGAGGCATCGACGACGGTCAGGTTCACGCCGAGGTCTTTATTGAGCATCTGCTCGACCTGTTGCGCCTCGTTAAGGCGCAGGACGCCGTTGTCGACCATGATGGCATGGAACCTGCGTAATCATTCATGAAGATGTTGTGTATGGCTAAACAAGATTTGTACCTGTCGCCGATGGCCTCGTGCATGAGCTTGGCGGCTACAGTGCTGTCAACTCCGCCGCTGACGGCACCGATCACACGTCCCTTGGGACCGCAGATCTCGCGGATGCGCGTAATTTCCTTACCGATAAACTCTTCCTATACATGATGTGTCAGTATAGGGCAGAAACAGTTCGGGATATTTACATGCCATCGTCCAGTTCGCGCGACAGCCGCAGATGTTTAACACGAATTTTCCAATGACTTCCTTGCCGCGCTTCGAGTGCGTGACCTCCGCGTGGAACTGGATGCCGTAGAATGGCTTCGTGTCGTGCGCGATGGCGGCGTAGGGCGCGCTTTTGGTGCGACCGATGACGTGGAAGTCGGGGGGCATCTCAGAGAGCTGGTCTCCGTGAGACATCCAGACCTGTGAGACGAGTCAGGATATGTGTACGACAAAAAGGCGAACACGGACGTACGTCCATATCGTCGCCAAGGCCATCGAAGAGGACAGACACTTGACTGTCTCGCTTGACGATGTCAAGCTTTGCGAATCCATACTCGCGGTGATCGCAAGCGGAGACCTTGCCCTTCATCGAAGACGCCATCTCCTACTGATCGTTCTCAGAAAAGGAGATAATTGCAATAAAATGCAGATGTCGCCACACCTGGAGACCGTAGCATATACCGAGTACAGGTACTCCTAGCTCGAAGACGTCGGGGTCCACATGCGGCGCGTCCGGGTCGTATACGGAGAACGGCGAGCCCGATAGGATGATGCCTGCCAGTGTTCAGCACATCGCGCTTTTCCTACACGCTGCCATCTCCACCTTTTGGTTTCCAGCCGAGCTCTTTGACCTTTTGGGTGCAGGGCATGAGCTCCGCGTAGACATTATGCTCGCGACATCTCCTGGTGATCAGATGGCTGAACTACGGTGCAAAGACCTCAGCCGCGCGCACGACGCCATCAGCAACGCGCCAACCTGAGATCCAAAGTCCAGGATAACGATCGTATCGAACTGGTCGTGTATCTCAGCCATGTTGAGTGACCCGGAGATAATGGCAAGGAACGTGCAGGGCGCATTGCAAAAACACGGGAAGCCCCTATGAATGCATGGTGGCCACGTGATGCCAGGCGCCCAAGCGCAAGGCCGGCGCGCCCTCGGGCGGTCGGTGCTCGAGGCTCGAGCTCAGCTCATACGGGCCCCCTGCTCGGTCTCTACGCCAATTCATGAGCTCAAAGCCATCGACTGCGGATATTCATGCAAAAAACAAGCGGCTATTCGAGCGCCTGAAGGCGGGATGCTCGGGCAGTGACCTCGCCGCGTTCGCCAAGTCTCTCCACACGCTGAAGGATTTCTTCCGGCAAGAAAGGGCGTACTATGCCGACGCGCGACCCGTGGTGAGTATCAGACTTGGGCGTGGCCAGTGGACACGGACTGTGCAGGCTTTGCGGTTCAGTGATCGCGAGGAGAATGATAATCAAGCTGACATCCCTTGCAGATCATCAACATCCTCCTCGTGAGTATCTGCTCGCATCGCGCCTAGGGGACTCGTCCGACCGCTTGTGCAGACCGCGCACGACAATCTCGTCAAGCTTCTGGCGGGGCCGGTGCCCGACGAACCAGCCCTCAAAGTATGCATCGACCGATACTTGGAATTGCTCAGCGTCGTACACGGCTGGCAGTCGAAATTCTTAGAGCTCGAACTCCAAAGTGCGTCGATTCGCGCGTTCTGCATACCAGAGTGATCAGCTGGAAACGACCCGGACAGAGAACCTGCAGCGACTTTACGACGCTAGACCGCGGCACAGCCAAGCAGCCCTGGGCCCGGTGAGCTCATAACGCATCGCTTATCAATCGGCACTGACAGAACCTACGAAGTAGTCCCCCGCCGTCCCGTAAGCATAGCGTGTCCATCGTTGTGTCGTTTTCCTGAAGTTGCTCGTAGATCAGCTTCTTCAGCCTCGCCACAACCGCCAGCCGTTGTCCCTACTTTGCCACCGCAAACCACCACGGTCCAGCCAAGCCAAGCGCCTTCGATTCCGCCGACCCAAGCGTTCCCGCCCACGCTCCCGCTCTCCAACCCGCCACCCGTCGCCGCCTCTCCAGCGCCCGCCGACTTGTCTCGCGCGTCTTCCGGTTCCGTGTCCTCCCCGAGTTCGGGAAAGCTCACAATAAAGATTCCCCCCATCTCCCACCGGCGGCGGTCCCAAAGCGGGTCCGGGGTGCGTCCATCCAACCCGTCGCCGAGAAGATGCACAAAGCTAATATTCCTGCCATTTCCCTTTCCTCGCAGGATAGTCGGGATGTCGATCCAGAGGTCTCTCCAATACAGACCGCACCTGTCGGCGCGAGTCAGAACAAGGCCCACCAGGCGTCCGCCGTCAACGCAGCTCCTCCAGCGCAACAATTTGCTCCTGTTCCAGGTGTATCCGTTTCTGCGTCCAGATCAGGCTCTGCCGCGCCGTTGACATCGTCGGGCATATCTTCCGCTGCTCTTGCGAGCAAAACGCCGGTCCCGGCGCCATCGACCGCTCCGGCGCAACGACCCGCGACAGGATCTGCCCTTACCGGTGCGCGATCGTCCGCGATTCCTGCTTCCGATCTCGTTCTCGGCTCTGCGTTGGATAGCGGGCTCGTAGCATCCGCTGCACGTCCGAAAGCACCATCTAGCGCGGTGCAGATTCCCTTGGCAGTTGTCGCCTCTGGTTCCCCGACGGGGGCGGCGGCACCCGCACCTTCTGGCCTAGCCGGCGCTGTGGTGCGGATCCCTTCGACTGCGACCGCCGTCTCTAAGGATATATCGCAAGCTACTCGTTCAGCGGCACCCGTTGCACATTCCATGTCAGTCCCACCTTCGGCTTCATCGACTACGGCGCCGTATCGCCCCTCAGCAGGATCTCCCGCCGCCGCCACCCCAGCGAGGTCGTCGGCTCCCCCTTCCGCTCCAGCCCGTTCTCCTGATTTTTTGAGGTCCGGCGCGGCGGGTCCGTCATTCGCAGCTCCACCCACGACAACCTCGCTGGACTCCCTCGCCGCTGAATCTGCGCGCGGTCCTCCCGCGTGTCCCATCGCCGTCGCCGCTGCCTCGGCCACCATCCCGTCCCCGATATCTTCAGGCCCGGCAATCCAAAACCCTCCGACTCCCGCCCACCCGTCATCGATCCCACCTCGCGCTTCTTCCGACCTTCAAGCAACAGATAAGCGTCCCGCGCGCGCAAGCGAATCTCCCGCGATGCCGGGTGCGGTACCCCGGGCGCTCAAGCCTCCCGCGAGCGCAAGGAAGCCCCCGGCGAAGACGCTCAGCATCCGAGATCTATTCGCTATCGATCGTGCCAGCTACAATCAGCGCAAAGCTCCCAATCAGGCGAACGCGGTAGCATCCTCGTCCGCATCGGCAGCAAGCCCGACTCCCGACCCGCAGGAAGCACCTAATTCCGTCGGCAGTGTTGTGTCTCCCAGCCCATTCTCGACGCGGGTCCCAGATACCCCGAAAGCAGCGTCGATGTCGCCGGCTTCTCATAATTCAGCGGATGCGTCGCCGGCTCCTCTTACTTTAGCGGATGTGGCGCAGGTTCATCACGCTTCCGCGGGTGCGCCGCCGGCTTCCCGGGCTTCAGCGGATGTGTCGCCCGCACCGACGGGCGCGAATGAACCTCTGGTCGTGGCGAACGAGGAGGGCGACAGGGAGGCACGTGCGTCGCAGCCACCTGGTTCTGGTATTGTTGTGTCTGTGGCGGAAAACACTCGACCACAGAGTGCTCCTTCCGCGGACGCCACAGAGGCGAACTTCGACATGGACTTGGATGCACCGGAAGACGGTATGGGGTTCGGGCAAGAAGCAAGAGATATCAAGCCGGAGGTGGCGGCGCTCCAACAGAAAACAAGTCCTGGACAGGAAGCGCGGGAAGCGCAGTTGAAGAGGGCGACGCCACAGAAGAGACGAAGTCCTGCGCTATCCACCGCAACCCCTAATGGAACGCCTCAGCCGGCATCGACGATTCTACCTACCAACAGCACCCAATCCCCAGAGCCGACAACGCCTGCGTCCTCCGCGTCTTCTGCCTCGTTCGCACGCCTGCAGGCCGATTCGAAGGTCAGACGAGCCAGCCGCAGCCTACAGGAAGCGTCCAACGGCCACCTCAGTGACCTCGACTCCCCTAGTGAGCCTTCCTCCGCGGGCATGAAACGGAAGCCTTCTCCGCTCTCCGAAGACACCAACAAGGTCATCAAACCAGCGCGGACTGCTCCTGTTGACGATGGGCCTTCGGACGATCGTGGTCATTCTTCTACGTCACCCCCTACCTCGAAAGGGTCAACGATGGACTCCCCGGCTGCTGCGGCTCAACGCTGGGAATCGATCTTGAGGTCGTCGTGGCGTGTGCCGCGTCTTGCTCCCGCTAACGGCTCTAGGCCTACCCCCGCAGACATCTTTGGTCCCGACCGGCAGCTTGTAGCGTGCATGAAGACGTGCAAGGGTGGCCAGGTCGTGTCCTCCCAGTTCACGATCACGCCGGACGTGATGGCCGGCATCACCAACTGGGTATCGCGTCACAAGCATAGAGAGTGCGTGCTGTGTCTGTGCTCGGCCCGTTGCTTCGTCACTGACAGTCCGCGAAACTAGTGTTAGTGGTTCGAGGTGTCTCTCGCTGACGTGCCACACTGTCGCCGCCAGTATGGCTGCCATGCGAACTGACGCTGACAAGGATCCCCTTGGTCACGTCATCTGCGAGTGGCCGACGACGGGTAAGGCCTGGGCCTCGTTGAGAAACGACAAGCAGCCCGTCACATTTTCGCTCTGCCCGCCCTACATAGTGCGCATTCCGCCTTCGACTTCATTTATCTTGTGTTTCCATTCAAACGTGTCCTTAGGTGACAAATGACGCGGACAACACGGTCGAGTATTCGAACCTAGTCAGCTTGGGCAAAAATCGGCTGGAGATCACGTATAGTCAGCTGCATTGCGGCTTGCTGTTTGCGCTGTGGCTGCACATGCCCACAGCGGCGCAGATCAGCGAGCACGAAGACTATCACCGGAGGCGAGACAGGCTGGACGAGGGCATGACCGAACTCAGGAAGCCGTTCGTCATTTCCTGGCCCGATGACATCTGATTCATCAACATTTTGTCTTAATCTTCCATGCTCGCTCCTCGGGCCTCGGGCTACCCCATCGTTCTATCATTAGTGAATCCTGCTTATTTTTTGTCGCTTTGACTCCTGCTGTCCTAGTCGAATTGTTTTCCTATGCAAACGCGCGTTTACTCTAGCTTCCCCTTGTCACCACCGGATGAGAGATGCTGCAATACCGGCACGGATAAACGGATGCTTTACCTTGTCCTCACTAATGCAATCTCGATGGCCGTGAAGATGCCGAATCAACTGGTTCCGGCTATCTAGAGCATAATTGCATACCCCCGGCTCTGCGCAGTACTGTGCGTCAGGTCCCCGAGGCCCGGAGCCACCAGGTAGTGCACATGGTTGAGGCGCCGCCATCTTGCGTGCGTTGCTAGAGGCTGACTGTGACATGATTCATGTCACTCTAAACTTATTAAGGCTGGTCATGGGACGTATAGGATTGTCGCTTTCACGGATCTCTCCAAGGGAACGATCAATGAAATCCATTGGGAGTTTGCATCTACAGAGTCCGAGTCGGTGTGAAAGAAAGATATGCAAATACCAATGCCGGTCTACAAGTTAACAATCGGTCAACGACGGCTATACATGTGGTGAGCCTGGGCTTCAGAAGGCACATATCTATGATAGGTCATGCAATACGGGTTTCTCAGTTTTCGGGGTCCTTCGTACGCTGGACTGACCGAGAATGTCGATAAGCACGGCGACGCTATCGCCAGGATGAAATATAGTCCGACTCACCCGGCATTGGCCACCGCGTTCGGGTCTGACCGCGCCGACAACGATGCACTTGCAACGTCTTCGCGCTAGAGAAGAACAGGCCACATACTTCGCAGATGAACTCGCATTCTTTCCCATGTTGCGCGACTTCGTGCCGTAGCAGATCGTGTTTGCGCGAGAACACCTCGTCACACGTTTCACAATGTAACGTTTTAGGCTCTCGAGGTTTGTGGGTTTGCATATGCGTTTTGCGTGTGTACCTGGGTATGGGCTGATTAGTACGTGTGGTCTCCCGATGAAACGGAGAGCTGATAACTTACTCTGACGTGAACATTCTAGTGCACGTCTTCTCGAGGCAAACAAAGCGTCGCACTCGCTTGAACCCCGATGAGGGCTTTCCGAGAGCATCGGACGCACTATCAGGGCCTTGACACGGACTGTCATCGGCAACCACTTGAAGCGGAGGATTGTCGGAGCCCGGTCTCTTGCTCGATTCGCTCTCGCTACCACTCGAAGGAGAGCACGGTGATTGGTCTGCCAGCGTATCCGGAGAACTGACGCCAAATACGCTGTCGTCCCCCATAATGTATTCCGAGGGAGATGAAGTAGCGGTTTGAGCTAGTTGATTATGAGCATTGCTAGAGCTCCGGGAGGACAGTCCGAAGTCCAGGACACGTACAATGGGTTATAGCATTCGTGTTCGAAATAGACCCGTTAATCAGCTCAAACGTGAACCCGAAGTCCATCTGTGCATCGGTGTTTGACGCGTCGAGAATATTGAGGTCGACCCCCGCAACATCTGGCCTTACATAGGCGTTGAAGTCAAAGGCAGGCTCTATGGAGACGTGAAGATGACAACGACCGAAGAGGACTAGAACTTTAATTACCTTCTGTGTCGTTCGGAAATTGATTCAGAGCTGCCGTTGAATGCGAGTGTGGTTGCGACGGTGCAGTCGACTGCCCTGCTGCTAGTGACATGTCAACATCAGGCTCTATGAGATATGAGATATGTTTAGCATTAAAGAGTATGCCAAGCCTGAACGGGCGCATACCTTGAGCCATGACTTCATTTGGAGAGATCTGGTCTTCAGAAGACGTAACATATATCCGCAATCCGGGACCAGCGCGGCCATCAATTTCCTGCAGATGAATGCTTGCACTGGGATCGGTGTGCCAGTCAGCACGGTTCGGCCTCGCGAGGCTGGCGATGTCGAATGTGTAATGACCACGAGAAGGATGCCTTCGTACGAGGATCTCGGACTGGGTGAATAAATGTATAGGAAAGCTGAGGGTCATGTCGCGGGATCTGGCCAGTAGTGTTCGCGAACCTCTCACCTGTGAGAAGGCGCGCTGGGCTTATATGGGTTCTGTAACGCTTGACTCCTTCTTCGAACCGTGGGCAGTCGGCGGGAAACGCATCAACGAAGTTACCCATGAGGCACGCTGATACTCTTCTTACTGCGGCGCTATTGGTCGGGTGTGAACAACTGTCACCATGTGCGAACGACCCCCGAACGATCCTCAGAACTCGGTGTGAATTTTGAAGGTTTCCGCCCTCGGCTGGGCCATCGGGTCACCCATGATGCCCGCACGGGCAGAGTGGCCTCGCCAATCCGGAACTAAAGACTCCAACAATAGGAAGCCCCGTGCTTAGTTGCGCGAAGCCCCACCGCCCCGCGCCCTTCGGAGCCGGAGTAGTACGCGTTACAAGGTGATTCTCCCCGAGAGGAATTGGATACGCGACACCGCGTGCAGAGAGGAGCTGAGCAATGTGAGGGACTGCTTGACCCCGGTCCGTGTCGCCAAGCTTAGACCAAGCCAACAGTGGCTCGGATTGAGGCAACACCGACTGACAGCTGTACTCTTTGCTCGCTATATCTCCGGCGAAGCCAGGGTGTTATTGATTAGATATGCTTTTGCGGAGCAACTATCGGAGTTGTCGTGCGGAGGAGGAGAGGTGATGGTCGTGCCTCAAGCACTGCAACGCCCTGCCGAGTGAAGGGGGTGACCGTGTGATTCATCAAACAGGATCAATCTATTACGCCTTTCGAGCTTGGATCCTGCATAGCAACTCGTAATTTAAGGCTGTCCTAATACTCAATGGGGCTTCCGTCGATACTGTTGAAGGTGACTTCATGTTCACTCCGACGCCCAATGATGAAATATCGGCGCCCCGGCCTCGCCTAGCACTGAGTAGATACTATCAAACCTCTCCCGAGTTCGTTATCGCGAATTTCATCGCGTTGAGCGTCAACGTAAACAGCAAGTAGCATATCAATGTACAGAAGCCAACTGTTACCAATCATCCGCCTAACTTGGACAGTGTGTACTCTTTCATTTGGTATCAGATCAGGCACACGTTCGTAGAATCAAGCAATCCCCCAGGATTCAACCCTACGTGATTCGTGGCTCACGCCTGATCCCAAGCATATTGTACCTCGCACAAGAGGACAGTTGACGCGGCTGATCTTGGCGTACCCGTTATGGTCGGTCGGAATACGGGTGGATGCAGGGTGGATGCCTACAATGTTCACCGCATCTCCATCTCCGTCAACCGCGGATCTCTGGAGACATAGTCGGAAATGACCGAGAGGGTCTCTGACGTTCCGGACAATTCACATCAACATCTCGCTGAGAACCGGTGCTGTGGCCCGCGCCTGCCTATATACAAGTCTAATATCATAACACCGATGGTAGAAGACACCGTCGTTGACCTAGTGCAAAATTAGAAGGATCCGATTTGATCCTTTGTCTATACTGCGCACGATGTACTACTACCATCGGAGCTCGTGCAAGGACTTGCACCCCGATTGTGATAGGTTGACGCCTCCCCGTAGCAAAGGCGCGAGTATCTTGCCCTTCAAAATCGTCTCTTGCACCAGACTTTCAACGTCATGGGGCGTTACGCGACCGTACCACACACCGACGCCGTTGGGAAAATACAGCTTGTCGTTGACGTATCAGCCTTCCGCACATTCGATACTTCATATAACAAACATATGCGCACGATGACGTTACCGGCGAACTTGTGACCGCCAATGTGAGAGCTCTTGAGAATAAGCGCTGATTGGCTTTGACTGGCGGCGTCGAGCTTGGCGCGGTAGTCATTTCCGTTGATCGAGGAGGGTTCGACGGGCGGGTCGGTCTCGATGGAGGGTTCGAGCTGCGTGTGGACGTCCCAACCGCGGCGTTCCAACGAGGCTGTGATGGCTACGAGGGAGCGCCTATCAGTTCGAGGTTCTTTGCCAACAAAAAACGATCGCGTACTTTGCTCCAACTTCCCGGCGGTGATATGACAGCGATTGTCGCGCTTCTTATGGGAGCCTAGCCAGAAACGATGACGGAGTGAATACGGCGGACGGTGAAGCGACGTAGAGGGCAAGTATAAAACACGGTATTCAACGAATGAACGAAGACGGTCACTCACACAGAAGAATAACACAATTATATGGGAGGACATACGACTTCAGATCAGTAGATACGGGCGTTCGAGATGGATCAGGGTGGTACAACTGAGCGAGGGCCTTCCAGAAATCGTCGGCTCCAGCATCCGACGAGGGAACATTCGTGCAAACAAGGTAGTCAGGGAAAACGAGGACGGCGCCCTCGTCGGAGATAGGCGTATGCGAACCATTCAGAATGGAGATTTTGGACGTTGAAGACGGATCCACGAGACCCGGTGCGTTTCCTTGCAGCCCCTTGAGCACTTGCGGAGGTAACGGGGGTTCAAAGCCGGAGTTGTGGGCTCGCGCCAGGTGGTACGCCAGGGTTCCTTTCACGTCCGTCACTTCGCTCGGCCAGTCGGTTTTTCCCGTTGAGACGACGAGTTGTCTCCTGTACGGTCTCAAGGCTCCGAGCATCTGAGTTTCAAGATCGATTGTAAACTTTCTATCCCATTCATGGTCTATGTGAACAGTCTATGTAAAAGTAAGAACGACGAGAGAATCAGAACGCTTTCCTTCATCGCACGGATTAGGACACGAGCGACAGTCCGCGTCTGTTACCGGTACATCGGCTTCCCGCAGAACACGCGCCGTCTCTCCTGCATCCGTGTTCTGCATGAGGATAAGGGCCTTGAGCTTGCGTAGGGTCGCCATCGTCGCGAGGAGAAAGATGAGCAGAAGCAAGTAGCGAGAAGAGCTCAGGACGCAGCATTTCTGGACTTTCTCGACGTTTCAGAGACGCGTTGCACTGGCTGCGACGTAATAGAGCGTTCGTAAGGCGCGCCGACCGTCGTTGACCGCAATACGCACATCCGTCCCGAAACAAACCTGCGCCCACCGCATACTCCGAGTCATGTGATTCATTTGTTGCGCCCATCTCACGGCGGACGTTGGACGCTGCCCACTCCAGTCTCCATAGGCCCGTCCTACATCGTTCGAGCCCTCGTCAAAGTCGGTAGAAAAGCTTTGTTGAAGCTCCGGCTATACAGACAATTCACTCTTCTGCGGCGGACGCCATCTAAGTGTAGGCGGAAGATCCGTTCTAGGGAAATCACGACCGCTGTTGCCTGCATTCGGAAGTTCGGCTCTCAATCCATTGACATCGCGAACTGGTTCCATCTCCCCGTCCAGGACTACGAACAGCCGTGGCCCTGCGTTATGTGGCGGTTCGCTTCGCTACAACTCCCTGCTTGCCAGGGTGGAGTGGAAAGACGCTGTCTGCTCCGTCCGTCTTAACTCTGGCCATTCTCATCTCAGGGGTTTTATATTTCGGGTGCGGAATCTGACGTTGAGATTTGGATATGCACACCCGAGCGCTTCCGGACCTCGTTCATGTGGAAGCCCGAGACATGACCACAAACGACCCGAGCCCGTTGACGCACTCGCAACGCAACGAGACCCTCGAGCTGGGTACATCACCTTCGTACCTGACTCTTGGTGACGATAATCGACTCGAGAATTCGCCATCGTATCAAACACTACGTGGCGACCTCACCGCTCAGGGGAAGGAGCGGGACAGCGATTCCAGCAAGCGCAAGGAGCAATACAGCGAGCGGCCACCCTCGGAGGCTTCTTATCGTGAAGATTTGCAGGTCTCTGTCGATCCCGGGGAGGATCCATACATCCTGACCGGCAGGAGGCTTTATATTCTTTTTTTGTGCGTAATACTTCTCTGAATATGGGTCGCATTGCAATGAGCATTCTTCGATAGTGCCCTCCTGTTATCTGTATTCCTTGTCGCCTTGGATCAGACCATCGTGCGTGCCTATGTCTATCGAAGTTCTCGGATCACCCAATCACGAGCCGCATAGATTGGAACCGCCTTACCGAGGATCGTTTCCCATTTCAATGCACTTGACCAAGTAACCTGGGTGGCAAGCGCATGTACGTCGAAGCCAGGTGTACTCTCCACGTCTCCTCGCGCTCAAGGCGATATGTAGACTTCCTGACAGATGCCGGATTCATGCTCTCCGCCGGTTTGTGACTTCTGCGTCTATGCTTGGACCCTTGCTCATCGATCCCCAGGCCAACTTCTTGCGGTCGCCCCTACGAAATGGGTATTCTTGGCATCGATCACTATTTTCGAGATTGGTTCCCTTCTTTGTGGTGTCGCCCCGACGATGGATGTTTTGATCCTCGGTCGTGCGGTATGTCGTTAATCCGACAAAATAGTGCGATAGTACGTTAGCTTAATCGCTAAATCAGATCGCCGGCATGGGAGGTGCCGGCATCACAATTGCTGTAATATCTATCATCGCGCAGGTTTGACCATCGATGATTCGAGGAATCACTGCTGAAATTCTCGCTGTTCAGGTTACGAGGCTCGAGGATCGACCAGTTCTTTTCGGTGCCTTTGGGGCGTTCTTCGCCCTTGCCAGCGTTATAGGACCGCTGATGGGTAAGTCACTCGTGTGATGGATTCCTTCGTATGCTGACTTTGCATAGGGGGAGCGTTCACCGGTAAGTAATAAAAAACCCCAGCGAACGTTTTACTCAACAACGTATGAAGATCACGTCTCTTGGAGATGGTGCTTCTACAGTATGTGCATTTGTTATTGATCTTCGTGTTCCCGACACTGATGGTAGTCAACAGTCAACCTACCGGTAAGGTTTTCCAATTTCTGCAAAGCTACATACATTGAAGAATCCGTAGATTGGCGCATGTACGATCGTCCTTGTTTCAATAATGCTCGAGGCTCGTCCGCCGATAGATGATAGCAACTTCGCCGGAACTGGCCGAAGCAAGTGGCTACGGTATGTTATCGTCACCATCGCAATCCTGCCTACAGAATCTGATTCCTGAACAGACTGGATTGGGCCGGAACCATACTGGATATCGGTATGACGACCGCTTTGCTATTACCTCTGCAATGGGGTGGTGCTACCAAACCTTGGACCGATCCATCCGTGAGTCCACGCTGCCGATGATTTGTGATAGTAGAGAGCTCAGATCGTGGCAGGTCTACGCTCTGTTTCCGGTCTTTGCCGTGCTTTGTGCGGCCTTCATTTACTGCGAGTATAGGATGGGTCCCAGAGCTATCATTCCGTTGAAGATGTTCAAGCGACGCGGTATGTTGGGATGTGCCCTTGTAGCCTTCTTTGTGTATATGGGCATGCTTGGTTGGTTTTCAAGTTCTCGTCGTGTACACGTTCTGATTGCCGTCACACGACAGTCGCTACGTACTACCTGCCCTTGTGGTAAGTGTTCCTACCCCATCCGTATTTCGCACTCTTAATGTGGAAATCAGGTACCAAGCCACTAGAGGACATTCCGCGACCACTTCTGGTCTCGATATCTTGCCCTTCATGCTGTCCGTTGTTGGATGTGAGCCTTTTTACGTCCTCAATGACTTCCGTATGTCTGATGTTGCGTAGTTGCTGCAATCTCCGGCGTGGTGATATCGGTGACAGCCTCCGTCGCTTTTCTAAGCGACCACGCACTAACGCTCGGCTTCTCATCATCATAGAAAACGGGCAGGGTCATGCCGTGGTTGTTCGGGTCTCCGTTGCTTCTGGCGATCGGCGGAGGCCTGCTCTACACTGTCGACGCGCACACTTCTACCGCGAAGCTGATCGGCGAGTCTTCCCCGCAAACACGCTCAAACAGTCCGTTTCTCACGCGCTCTCTCTCGCAGGTTATCAAATTCTGTTCGGATGTGGCATCGGAGGGGCAATGCAGAACACGATTCTAGGAGTCCAGACGGAGTTTGCAGATGACGAAAAGCTGATCCCTCAAGCGACCTCCATCGCGCAGTTCATGCAGCTTCTGGGCGGCATTATCGCCATTGCGTAAGTCCAATACCGCTTGTCCGACCCTCTGGCCAAAGTAGTTCACGTGTATTGCTATCAGTATCGCCGGGACCGTTTTCGACAACCAACTTCGCGCGAACATCCCTTCCACACTACCCGCCGAGCTTGCCAAGCAGATTTCGCAGAGCGTGTCCGTAATCAAGACACTCGACCCGGCCGATCGCGCGATCGTCATCGAGGCGTACACTAAGAGTCTGCGGCCAGTGTTCATGATTGGCGTGCCCGCAGGCGCTCTCGCTTCTCTCTGCGCGTTGTGAGTTGCGATCATCATCCGAGACGTACATGTATGCTGATCTTGCTCCAGGATTGTACCGAACTACAATTTGAAGGAGCGGGGTGGCGGAGCACACGCCGCTATCGCCTGAGTCCTAGATGCTTTGCTTGCTGTCGACATGTTCTTGATGATCTTGGCCAACGAATGTACCATAGCACACACGTAACCGTCGAGACCGTCTGGTTTTGACCGACGAACATCATATATTCGACGTGCATGTCTGCTTGCATTCGCGAAGGACTGTGACTTGTGATGCCCGCGAGCATCGCATCATTTGGAGGAGCAAAACTCTTGGGATATCCTTCCTAGCCATCGGCTGCTCGTGCGTCATCCCTAGCCCACAGCTCAAGAGCCGATCGTGAGCGTCCTCCGGGAGCGTCATCCAAGGAACTGCGGCACAGTACCACGTCCAGCATTCCGATATGCGGAGGATGTAATGCGCAGCTTTCCGATTATCGGCGCGACGGATTGAGTGGTAGGATTTGGCCTACGGCGCGCGTACTCTGCGTTGGGTACAGGCAGAGCTGCGTGACCTGCGCACGTTTGCAGGCTTGATTGCGCCTGAGCAGATGAAGATGAGCTATCATCAAGATGGAAGCGGCATGCACGTACTAGGATTCATCGGAAGGGGGCTCAGCTCGCCGCCAGCCGCGGGCGTCGTGATTAGCTTGCAGCGCCAACACGAGCAAGGCGGAGCCATACTCGCAACGTCCGTCGAACAGCGCGCGCACGTGCATAGCTTCGTTCGATCCCCTAAGAGTTCTTCTACCTGCCCGGATTCCCTCGCGTAACATTTCCACGCCGGGAACCACCAATTCATGAGGGAGTACATCTCGGGCCGAGTCAGCGATCCGTCAGTCGCGATGTCACCGTAGCTGCGGACAAGTGGCATGATGTCGTCTGGACAATGTCTGCGCAGGAATTGCAAGGCTTCGGCGGGGTACCAGTTCAAGATCCGCATGGTCTCCTGCAGCGGCAACGCGAACATGCAATCCAGGTCTCGGCGGTCGTAGAAGAGTACGAAGTGCCCTCGCGTCGGCAGTTCCTCCGAGCCGGAGAGGCCTTCAGGTAGTTCGGGATGCTCCTTTAGTGTCTACCCCAAAATCCATGCGAGGGGTACGTTTGGCTCAATAAGGTAGACGTCCAGCGCGTTGTCTACCTCTTTCCTGAGGTCCGCGGCGAGCAGGTCTACAGCAACCACAATCTGAGCAGTAGGGTCCTCGTGCATCGCTCGCAACTGCTCAAACTCCCTGCCGCACCCGTCGCGGTACATCAGGATGCGTCTCTCCGGGTCTTTGTCGGGCGCGATGGCCCGCGACAGCGTGCGCAGGTGTCGACAGATACCATGAACGTCCTCTGGACTGGGCGCAAAAATGAGAGCCTTCCGATCGTCGGCGAGAACGAGGTTCAGTTCCGGAAACTGTTTAGAACCTGCACCGAGGCGAGGTTGGACGATCAGGCTATATCGCATGGAAGAAGAAGGAAAACAGCAAGGTGAAGCTATCCCACGTGGATATGTTGACGCGCCTGTCGCGTGAATCATTGAATGCTCCGAACTCATTCCCTCGACGTTATTGATGGCGAACGGCATTCTCATTCTGCATCGTGGAACTCGAGGGCGAGGAGAAAGAATATCAGGTCCTCGAAATAAATGCATGTTGTATTACGGCGTGTCAAGCATGTGAAGCATGTGGGAGTAAAGCATAGTGCGATAGAAACAATGGAAGAAGGTATGCCAGAAATTGCAGCGATGATTGGTCTATAGGTATTGGACGGAATTTTCGTTGATGGGAAGCTACTTACGTGCCTGATACTTCTTGCTGTCGGAACGGAGAGTGCGGGTCGAGGTTGACTGGCTGAGGCGGCTGCGTTTGTTTCCCTCAGAGGTCGTGAACCGGTCGCGGAGTCCTGCGTCGCCATGGCTGCCACTGCGTGTAGCATGCGCGTCCTGGACCACGTCTTCTTCCGTGCGGCTACGCTTATAACGTCTCGACCTGCGTAGCACGTTTGAGGCTGGCTCTGCAGGCTGGTCATTGTTGGCAGGTTGAGCGACGAATCAGTTTTCCGGCGGTGGGTCGTCCACGAGGGGCAAGGCATCACGGCCAACTTTGAGGACGGCGAGGAACTCGTCGTATGTCGGCGGGACATAGTCCGGACCAAATGATTGGCTCATATGGAAAGTGCCCCAAAGGTTCCTGACCGTCTCCTTCAAGGGCTCGAAATACGGGTGGAAGTCCGCGAGTAAGTTATCAAAGCGAGACAGCAGATGCCCAAGCTTGGAGTAAGCTACGCCCTGTACGGTGTCGCCGACAAGCCAAAACTTGAGTTGACTCTTCATGATATCGAAAGACCGTCGATATTGACCCGGGCCTTCGAGCGTGATGCACGCCCAACAAAGCACGTACAAGAACGACTCCAAGTCGTGGTGTACCTTGTGCTCGGTGGATTCATCGCCGAGAAGGAGATGCACGGACATGAATGGTAATGTACCCTTGATGCAGGGCATAGTCAGGTAACCGGCAACTACAATATCCAGCGACACCGGACTCACTGAATGGTGGTTCTTATACTCTTCCGGATCGTCTGTGGTAGGCCGTGTGAGAGTTTTGCCGTAGTCCCAGTCGAGCAAGCGACCTGGCCGCTCTCCCGGTTTCTCTTTCTCGAACGTTGAGATCATGATGTTATGGAAGCGTATGTCGCGGTGTAACACATCTATACCGTACATACGCTTATGCGCTGGTGCACATTCGTAAGAAAAGCTGGTACTAGGATCTTTGTGACATTACTCACCTTCGACGGCATCGATTAAGACGCTGAGGAGCTCTCTACGAGTGGCGAAGTGCCGCAAAGAAACGCCGGACTCTTTGAGAACAAGCCGGTAATGTTCACGCGTCTCCGGCTGCCTTCCCATCTTTGTGGGGACGCCGAGTTTGTCGCGAATGATCTTCGCAAATTGCACAATACCGTTGGTTGCGACGCTCTCGTGATCGATGATATGGCGGATAGAGTGGCGAAGTGGCCAGAGTACGGCGTTCTTTGTGCCTTCTGACCACGTGACCGCGATTCATTACGACCTCCAGATTGGTGTCTCAAGGACGAGGGATATTAAGATCCTAGCGCCTGCCGCAATACTTATGCCATAATGTACTTGACTCGTGAAAATAGTCGTTGTACGTAGGGCGCCACGTCAATCCGAGCTCTCCCTGGCCGAAGACGCGATTGGCGGTGCTGGCGTGACTCATTGAACGCTCCGAACGCGTCGAGTAGCCACGTGCACGAGCGGACCTTGGTGCATCGTCCTCATCGTCTGTCTGCCTTCACGCGCAAGATGTCCCCACCAACCGCCGAGACCTTCATCAAGAAACAACTGATCATTGAGAAGAACATTGTATGTATCTATACGCCAGTTCCCTCGGTGATGCATCGTAAAGCCACACGTACTAGGTCACATTTCGTTCACTCAGTCGAGCTTTGGCTGTACACGTCAATCAGGCCAAAAAGTACGCGCTGTTGCGCTTGATATCCGCTTTGAAACTGATCCGAGGCTGACTGCAGTGAACTGGGAGCATATCACTGTGCGGCGACTGCCCGAGGCGACAAATCTTCGTCTGCGACATATATGCTCGTAGGAGAAAGGCGGCTCACGCGACAAGACTACGCGGACGTTGATGAGGAAGACGACCAAATGAGAGACTTGGAAGAAGTTGAGGATGAGGAGCATATCATGGAGACGACCGTGCTACTAGTCCCCGAGGCCGATCTCGCGGGTGCGCATCCACGAAGCTCTGTATCTTTGCGCGCTATATGCATTTTTGAGCAGAATCGAAAAAGAAGCTATCGCGTGTGTTGTCTGTACACATTTACTGCCTTTCACCCTCCCCGATACATGTGAGCACCCACCGTACTTCCCGGAGGTGGCTACGCTAAGACAGCCCCGCAGGATGCAGCGCTTATATGCGAACCGACACCTCTCGTCCGCAAAACCGATGTGGAGAAGGCAGCGGATCCGGGCTTCGCATCTACTGTGGGGAGGATAGTGGGTCAGGATGTGAAGGTCGGTCACCCTTCATTCCTTCTCTGCTCTGTCCATTCTGACCATATGCGTGCGATCGATAGCTACAAGGGAAGGCGCCGTTAGCTACACGCGACATGAAAGGAAAGACGAAAGCCATCGCCGACGCCGCCAAAGCTGCGATCCCGATCCAGCCGGTTCCCAAACCCGAGCCCGCTCCAGCGCAGGAGGCGAATCTGCCTAAGGCGGAAGACGCGAAGGCGAGCAGGCCTGAACCGGAGGCCCCTAAGAAGACCGACATAAGACCGAAGCCGACTGGCAAGCTCGACTTCAGCAAGGCGAAGACGAAGAAGGACAAGGAGAGGGAGAAAGAGGAGCAGGCCAAGATCAAGGCGGAGAAACACGAGGCGGGGGCAGAGGTTGCCAAGAAGAAGGAAGTCGCGAGTAAGAAAGAGGTTTCGGAGCAGAACTCGAAGAAGGCGGAAGACGAGAAGAAAGCAGGGCAGACAAAGACGAAATCAGTGGAAAAGGTGAGCGCACATATTTCGTCGTCCACGGCTGGTTCTCTCGCGATCATAACTCATTGTATATGACCAGCGTGGCACAAAACGCAAGTCCACGAACGCGTTGATGTCTGATGACGAAGCCTCTGAATCCGGGTCCGGATCCGCGAATGCGAAGTCCACCGCGAGCAGCGCCGTGCCATCGCGCGCGTCGAGCAGTCGGCCCGAAGTGAAAGTAGGGCCTCCGACCAGAGCAACGACTACCAAAACGGTCAAACGCGGCATCATCTTGTCCGACGACGAGGATGAAGAACAAGTGGTAGCTAAGAAGAGCGCGAAAGGCAAGGCGAAAGCTACGGTCTTAGAGTCGGACGAGGAGAGCTCAAAGAGCGCGCGAGCGATGTGGGATATGGATGATGGTAATGCATTCTATCGTGACACGTTTCCCCGGTATACCCTAACATGGATATTCACAGACGAAGTCGAGCGAGTTACGCATTCGAAAGCGACGTCGCCAGCGGCATCGCCAGAACCGGGGGACGATACGGACAGGATGGACGTGGACGACGACGTGGAACCGGTCCCGAAGAAGCCCCGCAAGAAGAAGGAACAGAAGGTGTGGCCGGTTGGAAGCAATGGCCTGAGAAAGAAACGCACGGTGAAACGCAAGATGACCGTCGACGACAAGGGATACACCGGTGAGAGCAACTCACCTATCCCCGAGAAAACTCGCAGCGGAAATTGACAATCTTTGCTATCTCGCCTCACGCAGTGTTCGAAGATGTCTCCGAGTACGAGTCGGTTGATGAAGAAGACGAGGAAGGACAGTCGGCGGAGGGGCCTGCTGCTGTGCCTACCAAGCCGGCGACATCGAAGGAGCCCCCCGCCGCCAAGGACGCCAAGAAGAAGGTGCTGAAGCCCTCGGGCGGCACGGGCGGTGGAGCGAAGAAGGCGATAAAATCGGACGGGAAGAAAGCAAATGCCAAGGCAACTCTAGCTGGCTTCTTCAATCCGACCAAGAAATAATGCATACGGAACAGAATACTTTACTACATTTGATTATCCCTATGATAGTATGCAATACAGTTGCAGCGCGAGCCCTAATGATACACGTCAAGCGATGATGTTATACCGGCGTTGGTTCTGGATTCCTGGGGAAATATGGGCGCGCTGGTGAGAGTCGACGGTTTTATTGCAGTGCCTGGCTAGCGCAGCTGAAGGGACTGGGGAACGTGCCATCCTGGTAGCCTATACCGCAGACGCTTCAGCGAAGGCCAAAAGCAGCGGCAAGTGTCAATCTTACCGATTACGATGGCTCGTATACTTGCATACAGCCCAGCGACCATGATGAAGGCACCCATCTAAGGATCTATCTCAGATTCGATGCCTCATAAAACCTAGTCGAGACCACGCACCAGGATAATGAAACCCCACCAGATCGCTTTCATCTTCTGCCGCGTCGTGGTCCATCTCTGCCCTCGCGGGTGCATATGGTACCAGAAGATGCCCTATGTGTGATACTGTTAGTATACCGACACCTTCATCAGGTATTTCACGGAACACGCACGGATATGCCATAGGTGAACCACGCTGCGAACATCGAGCTGATCACGCTCAGCAGATCATTGAAGAAAGGTATCCTGGAGAAGCGGCACGTTAGCATGCATCTATGCGGGAAAAGTGGGGATAGGAGACATACACCTCGGCGATGATAAACGCCGCCGTCCAAATGACCAGACAGAGGCCAATCCAGGACGACCATCCGGTTACTGTGTGCGACGACATGTGCCTCGACTTGACCCCGCCCGCCTTGCGGAATCTGTTGTTCATCCTTGATCAGAACGATGTTAAGGTGTATTCAGTCAAATAAGGACACTGACATCCGCACGAACGCCAGCTTGGCGCATACATGCCCGTTGATCACGCCCGCGATGACGATCGTCGGGATCGCGATCCCGTATGAGATCCTGCGCAGCGTCGTGCCAGTGTTGCCCAGCGCGGGTGAAACGGTGCTAGAGCCTGCGAACGCATAGACCACAATGCCGACGATGAGGTAGAGCGTCGTGTCCGCGATCTGAAGGGCGAAGAGTGCCTTAGGGAAGTCTTGCGGACGTTTCATCTCGGAGATGAAGGTGAAGAAGGCGACGTGGCCGGCTGTGGAGGCTCAGGTGAGATTGTGATACTCCGATGTTCTGCAAATGGGGCATGATCAGCGTACCATATGCAAAGATCTGAAGCGAGATGGTCAACAGGACGAAAGTCTCCAATGTTGAATTCGGCGTACGATATCCGTCACGGCCAAGAAAGCAGGAGCGAATTTGAGGCCGCTGACGTGACTGACGACGCCTCCGGTTTTGCCTACCACGCCGACTCCGATCATGGTGATGAGGATGGCGGCCATGATGGAGATGAACGACACGACGCTGAGGTAGGATATGCCGTTCAACGTTCGCGGGATTGTCAACGCGAAGCATATGATCGCCATGACGGCGGCCCAAAGCACTGAACAGGATGCGCCGGAGGTTACTGTGGGATGCGCAGTGTCAGTATGCCGGCTTCTGAGGTCCGGATCAGTGGAGGAAGCCTTACTAGTGTCGAAGGCAATCTGACCGGTGAGGACATGGCTGCCGCAGACGAACACCATGAACACGATTTGGGCGGTGCTGAGGAGCGGATGTCAGGACCGATGGTTGAAGGCCCACGAACAGGGACTTACCCTAACACTTCCCGGCCTATAGGCCCGTACATGACCATACCCGCGTCGGCCATGTTATGTACGTGTGGATAACGCAGTTTGAACTGCCCTATAACGTATCCCGTTGCTGTCGCGAACGCTCCGAGGCCAATGACGAGGACGATGCCCGCGGCCATTCCGAGTGTTGCAAATACGGAAGGTACAGACAGGATCTAGAATGTGTTAGATGAGGATCGAGCCCAGGACGAGTGATTCGCAAGACCTACACCGAGAGACACCGTCTCCGCAAGCATGAGCGCAGCAGCTTTCCACCAATGCATTGTACGGTATTGTACTGCAAGGACGTATGCGGTGAGCTCCACCAAACGTTGCAAATAGCAGGCGAGGGGCTTACTGTCGGCGCCTTCTTCCCCATACACGTCGAAATCCTGGTCTTCCCCGGCCATCTCCCGCTCCTTTTTGTTCAGCGGCATCGAGTCGTTAACCGTATTGACAGTGTACTGATTGCTCTGGCGGCCAGCGTTGGACAGTGTTTCGTGACTCGGGCGTCCGGGGGCAATGGTGCCCGCGCCGGAACGATGAGCATGCTGCTTTTCAGCATTCGCCATGGTGTCCGGATAAACAGAACGGTTTCTCCTCGAGCGGGTCGTTCGGGGAGGGAGTGCACAAGTGCCGATGCGGCGGCGATTGGCGGTACTATATAGCTCGCAGGAATATATGCATACTTGGAGGCTCAGCGCGTAGCGACGATGAAGTCATCAGCTTCGGGGACGTCTGCGCCGCCGTGGGGCGCGCTGGGAAGGAGCACGCGTGACGTTTACCGTTACTGACATAGCGCGCTGGGCGGTCGGGTGCTCCAACGTATGTGAATAACCATGGAGCAGGAGATAACGGAAGGAACTGGCAAAGATGAAGCTTTGAAGGAGCCAAGTCGGCATCAGCAGGACACAACTCGCAGATGGCGCGCAGATTCGCACTCCGACGAGCTCCGTTCAAAATCCCGGTGCGCGGTTTCCTCGAGGTTGGTGCGATGTGTCCTCAAGGATGTCCTCGAGGCTGGTAGGCAGGTATCTAGAGGCTCACCGTCCTCGACGGGTAACCGTCACCAACATTGAGCCGCCCCCGTCTACCACTCGGAGCTCATAAACATTTCACTCATTCCTGAAAACTCTGCTCTACTCCGATGCTATACAGGATGTCGAACGTCGAGGAAGAAGACACAGCGATTGCGACCCATCCGTTCGTCAAGAAACCCAGCGCAGATCTGATTCTTCGATCGAGCGACGGTTTCAATTTTTACGTTCACCAATGCATCCTGGCCGAAGCCTCGCCATTCTTCAGCACCATGTTGTCGCTCCCTCAACCCGATGCAGAGGTGGCTCCGACAGGAGAAAAACATCCTGACGACAAGAACGGATCGAGTCGCGCCATCGTCGACATGTCGGAAAATGCACAGACTCTCGAGCTTCTGCTACGCGCATGTTATCCATACGAAGAGCCAGATCTCGATGGATTAGACGAAGTCGCCGCGGTCTTGTCCGCCGCAGTCAAGTACGAGATGGCCGCTCCCATCAAGATGCTGCGAAAGCGCCTATCGAAACATGCACCGACTGTACCGACGCGTGTTTATGCGATTGCAGTGCGTCACAGACTCGAGCCGGAAGCGCGCGAGGCAGCAAGGGCGTCGCTGCGGTTTACGCTTAAACAGTTGGCACTGCAGGATGCGCAGGAGCTTTCCCTTATCCCTGCCCTTACCTATCAGCGTTACATACGCTTCATGCTACGATGCCGGGAGGAATTTTCTACATTATCTACGGACCTTAGATGGATACAGACGGGGATACCATCTGAAGCATACGACGACAAGACTCAATCCTCGTCTGTGCGATGGACTACCAATGCAGGCAGACCACCATGGATAGCTTGTGGGGCATGCGGTAATCATGGCACCGCGCGTATAATCGGGTCCGAAAACCAAACTTTATATTTCAAGAAATGGTGGTTCTCATTACTCGAGCGTGCTCAGGGGCAATCGATGGAAAGGCCGTCTGCGGGTTTGATCCTTGCTCCATCGCTGCTTCAATCATCAATCGACCAAATGGCCGGCAATTGCAAGCTATGCCGCCTTCCCAAGGGTATAGCTTCCCTCAAGGCTTTTATGAGATACATGTCGTGTTACGTGGATCGCAAGACCGCGGAGGTGATTTGTTTTGGGACTAAACCAAATATACAGACCTTGGCTAAATCCTTCATAGATCGCTGCGAAGACGAACTTTTGCTAAGTAATAGCATCCCTCCGGGTACCGGTTCACCAGGTCCGCTGAGTGAACCAGCTACTCAATCTCGTCAGTGCCTTATCAATGTGAGCAGCTACAATCGCAGTGAAGTGCGGTGGTACGTGGTCGCCAATCTGATCTGTGATTTTCCGACGCTATAAACCAGTACGGTCCGGGAATTGCGGTTGACTATAATCTTCGGCAGGCATGGATATATATCGCTCAATCTGTAGAGTACACTAGCGAATCCTTGCATATGCAGTCAGTTCAGGTCACAAGCTGGGATAGTGATGCCTCGGCCTAAAATAGTATCTGGATTATGAAGCCGTTCAACCGTGAAATGAAAGTCATATTTGTGGGAAATTGTTGCTACGCCTGTTGCTGTGACCACACCCGCGTTTTCGTCTGCGACTACAGTATGACCAAGTCCCAGTCCCCAATCGCCATCGACAGCCTATCGAACGAGCTTCTAGTGCACATCATCGAGCATGCCACGAGATATGAGATCTCAACGCGCAACCTCAAGGGCCTGTGGGAGGACCTGTTCCTTCTGGATGAGCCCGCGAGCACGGTCACAGTGAATATCACGAAGCAAAGTGTGCTACTTGTTAGCAAAAGGTGGAATGTGAGTGAGGCCCGCGAAACAGGATTCATTCACTGATGTCAAAGTGGCACTTTTGTCTATCATATCGCACAGGCTGTCGCAGAACCCCTTGTGTTTCGTGAGATGCGCTTTGGATTGAAGACAACACCGGGAACAGATCCCACGTTCACCTCCTACATTGAATCACTCAGCTCCTGCGTTATTGCCTCCAAGTCCAAGCCCGCTTGCTTCAACAAGACACGGACAATGGTGCTCTTCCAGTCTCAAGATTCGCTCGACGCCGCAGGCCAAGCAGCCGCGCTCCTCTGTCACCTGCTCTCGGGCATGCGCCTAAGCCATTTCTCCACTAACTTGCTCTTCAGGACATCCTGGATTCCATTTCTGATCTTGGGGAGTGCGAAAACCCTGACACATCTCGACATTTGCATCCATGCAAGGATCGTTTCCCCGTCTTTCGTCACCGGGTTGAACTCTTTGTCGAATCTCACATTTTTACGCATCCTCGACGAAACACAGTGGTCTTATGTCGAAATCCGTTCTCGTCCGGCTTCCCTCACGAGCCTGCCACAACTTTATCTTCCACAATTGCAGGAGTTGCAACTTATAGTCAGATCGAAGGCTCGCGCTCATCATGACGGTCACATCCCGTTTCATCTCGGAGCGACCGCCAACCTACCTGCTATCAGATCTCTTCTCCTCCATGAGTCACGTCCGATGGGAGACGTACTGCGGGCCTTCTTGGTCGCGTTCGGGGGGACACTGCAGAAACTATCCGTCGGTTTGCGGTCAATGGAAGAGCTGGAGAATATTCATGATCATGCCCCTGGGTTGGTTGAGCTATTGTGTTACGGGAGCACCGACTCCTCCGGCTTCCTCCAGAACATGGAGCACCCACGAATCGAGCGTCTAATGTGCTCTGGACTTGACGGGCTCAGTGAATCCGTACGTGACGTCGATCCAGGCAAACTCCCAGGCTTGAAGACTATACGGATGGTGGAAATCTCTTGGGATAGTATTCTCGACTCGACGTCTTTCAAGGAGATCGGCTACGACCAGATGTTGAAAGTCATCGAGACGGCCGCGGTGCTAGCAGCCAAGGGCATTCATTGTCTCGACCGTGACGGCAGACCGTTTGGTCACCTTGATCCAAAGGCCTAGAAGGTCGACGTGGCGACCGTATCCATAATCCAGTCTCCATTATTCCGAACAAGTATAGCAAAGGCCTAGTTGTCACACTCACGGGGAAAGGGGGTCTACAGAACAGAGTGATCACCAGCGAGTGCCTCCCGGACGTGGCTTCATCTTCACCAACATGTCGCCCTCTGGGTACAGGGTCGCGGAGCCAAATCCGTTGGCGTACTGCAGAACGGCCTTGCCGTTCGCGTCGATGAGACCTGCGTAGTCGATGTCGCAGGCGCGGACAGGAATGATGATCAGCGCCTTCAGCTTGGCGATAGCGAGATGACGGCCGGTGCACTAGGAAGACATGGGACCTCGTCGACAAAGGTTCGACACGCCACCACCGGAAATTGCCGTTCATGCCGCAGAGTACTCTTGTTTTACGACAGTCATTGCGAACTTCCCACGGCCCCCCTGGCGGACCAAACCTAAGGTCGTAAAACTACAGCATGGACAGTTTTGGCATGAGTGCGAGAAGAGGAGATCTACGGCATGACTGACGGTAGTCAATCTGTAAGCAGCAAACATAGTTAGACCAGCAGGGGATTGAGCTCGTTCTGTGCATTCTCGTTACTCGAACGCAAAGAGGCTGAGACGCCAGAGTAATCTCTGTCATATGAGATTCAATGCGCCGTTGTAGTATTTCTATGAATTGTTGTATTCGAATGGTCTTGGCTGACTATGCCTTGGATCGACATTGAACATGACTGTCTGTTGGTGAACGAATCTTACTTTCGAGATGCGTTCGGAGTGCTAGTCACAGACGCGACGGCGATCGTGTCTTCTGCCCACGAGTTCGAAATGGCCATGGAACCGACCTCCATTCATCTCCACAACTGGCCATTTTCGCGAATCACTTTGTGGATCGTGGCCACCAACGGGCCAACACCTCTCCTTGACCGAATGGAGATCATAATGAATCACGATCACGTGGCCCGAAGAAGACAAAGAACGCCCGGCTGAACGAACCTGTGTTCTGACCACCTCGCCACTCTACCATCGTCCACACCTCGCCCCCCTCTCAGTGGCTTCCTCCGGTACTTAGGCCACCGGCATCCGCTATAAGTAACTGCGGTGAGTCTCGATTTCACGCTCTCCCAGTTAGACGATCGTTAATTTCACCATGGCTTCCAGTCGTACTTGTACTCCGCCACCCCCGACAACACATCAACTCGCGTCCAACACTCCTCTGAGGTCGAAGCCTGCTCCTTCTCACCCGCTATCTAGCAATAAATCTGTTAACCTGGACGTGACGGAGCGCGCCATCCAAACCGAATTAAAGGGTGTCATGTTGGAAGACGTGGCAGGACTTCCGGAGGCCGTCTTCCCGTCGTCCTCGCTTCCAGTGGATATTGAAGACGCCCTTAAACATCTGTCTTCTCATACTGTCGGCCAATATTGTTCGGACTCCTGGACCAACCTCACGCGACACTCGCTGTTAAACGTCGCTATCGAGGAACGAGAGGCGTATGTCTGTAACCAGCTCAACGACATCGTGGAAGCCGTATCCAACTGGAACAAGTTCTCTGGACCTCCAGCTCGCCAGTGGACTGGTCATTTTGCTACTACTCCTTTGGGCGTAACGGACCATGCTACGGTGGAGGCTTGCCAGAGGAAACCGGACGGTGTTCTCCTTCCCAGCGGCATGGACCACGCGCAGGCGAGGCGACGCGATGCGGTCGCATTTCTGGAGTTCAAGACCAACCAGGATGGTGCTGGTCACGGTAAATCCTCGAAGCAGCTCGCAGAGAACGTTTGACTGGCGTTCGGCGCTCAATACGACCGGCGATTCATCCTCGGCATGGCTTTGATCGGCAGTTCTCTGCGCCTCTCACTGTATGATCGTGCGGGACTCCTTCAATCCGTGGCTATCGACATCCATAAAAATCCACAAGCGTTCCTCCGCGTTTTATGCGGCTTTGCTTTCGGGGACCAGGCCACTCTCGGTTTCGATCCCACGGTCACTGAGCCCGACGAAAACGGGACTCGATCTATCACGGTTCGCGGAACGAAGTACGACATTGAAAAAGTCGTGCACATGGACAACACGCTCAGAGGCAGAGGGACGATCATCCTTCAGGTTCGGTCAGGCCCAGAATCGACGTCGATCATCAAGGATTCATGGATCGATGTCAGTCGTCCTGAAAAGGAACACGAAATTCTGGAGAAAGCGAAGGATGTTGAGGGGATCGTCCATATGATCGATTTCGAAAGGGTTGAAATCAACGGAATCGTGGATTCGACGAAGATCATACGCGACAAACTCGGCGTCGCTACGAAGATGGGTAGGCAAGCTGATCGGGAGCCGGAGACGCGTGAACATTATCGGCTTGTTCTCAAAGAGTCCGGCGTTTCTTTGCGGCACTTCGCCACTCGGAGGGAGCTCCTTAGCGTCTTGATCGATGCCGTTGAAGGCGAGTAACGTCACACAGATCGTGATAACACATTTCCTTATGGATGTCCCACAGCGCATAGGCGAATGTACGGCATACCCGTCTTGCATCGCGACGTCAGCTTCCACAACATCATCATTTCGACATTCGAGAGAAAAGAACCGGGACAACGTCCAGGTCGCCTGCTCGACTTCGATTATTCCAAGACCTTAAATCGTCCTACCACGAACGATCCGGAAGAGTATAAGAACCACCGTTCAGTGAGTCCGATGTCGCTGAATGTTATGGTTTCCGGTTACCTGACTATGCCCTGCATCAAGGGTACATTACCATTTATGTCCGTGCATCTCCTTCTCGGCGATGAATCCACCGAGCACAGATGTCATGAACAGGCTCGCCGCGGACTTAACGTAGAACGGCCGGTAGCTTTTCCTGATGCTTGTCAGGTTTTTGACGCACCCGTGTCGATTAGTTATAGTTTGACGTGTTCTCTTCACCTGTCCCGCCGGTCTTGGTTGGACTTCGTAGAATACTTAAAGCTCTCTCTCGTCGCATTAGAACCTCGTCTTGGCAACGCCAGTGACTCTCTGTATCCACGCGCTATCTTACTATCTATTCTACGCCCTTACTCCTCGTCTCGCGAACCCTCCCCGGCCTTGGTCCTCACAGTTTGCCAAGACCCCAAACCTTAATTCCACGCCCCCGTTCCCTCGCACCCACGCCCTATGTCCGACGCCTACTCTGGCTGGAACGAGGCCGCGCCCGCCAGCACTGTTGACTTCAACGGCTCTTCGGTTCCTGGCGCCCCGCCTACCGTCGAGTCTCAGTCCTACTCTACGGCTCAGGAACGCCACGATCTCTGGCAGTCCGTCGCCAATCTCGCTAGGCAACAACAAGATACCGCGACGGCTCTGGACCATATCATCGGCGCGCTCAATTGGCTTCGCACGGATACTCCCGCTCCGCCGGTTTTCAACCCTTTGGCGTCTTCTATTCCCTCGGCATCGTCCGGCACCGCGAAGTTCAAGGAGCCGCGGACTTTCAATGGCAAGGCCGACCAGGTTCGCTACTTCCTCGACGAATGCGACACTGGTATCGACTTGCAAACTCGCGCTCTACCCACGGACCGTGCTCGAGTCCGCTATATCTCCTCCTACTTCGCCGACGGCACTCCCAAATCCTGGTGGTTCTCTCTCGTTGAAACTCAGTCGCCTCTTCTCTCCGACCTGGCCGGTTTCAAAAAGGCTCTCATCAAGCACTTTGGCGACTCTGACCTCACTGGCTCGTCTCTGCGCAAATTGCAGGCCTTGACTCAGACTGGATCCTGCGCTAGCTACGCTGCCCGCTGCCAGGAGCTCTACCCCTATGTCAACCTCTCGGAAGAGACGAAGATCGACATGTTCAAGACCGGCCTCAAGCTCGAGGTTCGGAAGCTCATGATTACGGTCCAACCCCAGCCCGACACGCTTGACGAGTACGCCAAGAAGGCCATCAGCTTCGACAATCTACTCCACGCCGACTCCAAACTCTACACCAAACCCTCTGGCAACAACTCACGGACGACATCGACTGCTCCTCCTCGTACGGCGACACCTCGGACGACAACGACTACTACGGCGACTACGACCTCCACCGACGTCGTACCCATGGAAGTCGACACCGTACGCGTACGCAAAGGACCTCTCACCGCTGAGGAACGCCAACGCCGCATCGACAAGAATCTTTGCACGTACTGTGGAGGTTCTGGTCACTACTCGAATACCTGTCCCAACAAATCGGATGCCGCCAAGAAATGCGATGCAGCCCGCGCCGCTTCGACCTCCGGCAAGTCGGGAAAGGCATAGACGGTCCCATCCACGTCTCAGGACTCGCGTCTGGCGCCGGGGCCCGCCATGACAACATCGCTGAGTCCCCTGCCTCCTCTTCTTCCTCGGACTCGTCTCCTTTTGCGCATACATCCAACCACGTCCGTCTGATGGACGGATCGTGGGTTCCACGTCCCATCCTACCCCCATCCTATCGCTTCTCCGCGTCCACCTACTTGAACTCCGCCGATCATTTCTTCGTTAATATCAGTCTGTCGTTTCCCAACCGTAAACCTATAAAAACCTTTGCGCTTGTTGATTCCGGCGCTTCCATTTCATGTATTTCCAAACGCTTCGCATCTCGGCATTCCTTACCGCGGCGTCCTAAGGACGTTCCGGTACCGGTTATGGCTGTCGATGATCGCCCCATCGCTAGCGGCCTCGTGATGCACGATGTGCTCGCGCAGGTTGCGCTTTCCTCTCACACTGAACAACTCCCGTTCGCAGTCGTTTCTGTAGGCTACCCCGTCATCCTCGGTCTCGACTGGCTTCGACGACACAACCCCCATATCGACTGGCACGATATGGACCTCTCGCTCGACTGCTGCAACCTTCGGCGCTCGTCTCCGGTTACCGTAAAAGCTCAGGGCTTTGGTCCTGAGTTACTGCGGCTGACTTCATCGCTCAACGCCCTCGCACCTACCTCGGTCGGCCTAGGCTTCGGTCTCGCTCGACGCTCTCAAGATCTCGACTACGACTCCAACACCCGCTCGTTCGGCCAACGACGCGGATATCCCCGACATAGTTATAACTCTCGCCCCTGACATCGACTCCTCGCCTTCGGTTTTCTCGTCGCTCCCTGGTTACACTGGCTTCGGTCGGTCTTACAAGGGACAAATCATCGACCGCGCTCCCGACATCAAGTTCATAAACTCTCGCCGATTCGCTAAGTCTGCTCGCTCCGAGTACGTTTCGGTGCTGAGGCTCGTACCACCAGATCCTGTGTCCGTCTCGTCGGTCTCAACGGCAGAGCCGTCGGATCTCAACGACGATGACACGTCTCCAAAGGATCTTCAATTCCTCCCATCGAAGTACATGCCCTGGGCCTCCACGGTCTTTTCGGACGTCAAGGTCGACGAGCTCCCGCCGCACCGCCCTTACGACTGTTCGATCGACCTGGAGGACGGCAAGGACCCTCCTTTCGGCCCTCTATATCGACTATCCCCCGACGAGCATACTGCGCTATCCGCGTATTTGGATGAAAACCTCCGGAAAGGCTTCATTCGACGCTCGACATCCTCCGCCGTTTCACCAATCCTCTTTGTCAAGAAGAAGACTGGCGAACTTCGACTTTGCGTCGACTATCGCGGCCTCAACGCTATCACCAAGAAGAACCGCTATCCGCTTCCTCTCATCGACGACTTACTCGACCGTACTCAAGGCTGTTCGGTATTCTCCGTCATCGACCTCAAGAACACGTTCAACCTTATACGCATCCGCGAGGGCGACGAGTGGAAGACCGCGTTCCGTACTCCGCTTGGACTTTATGAAACCCTCGTTATGCCGTTCGGGCTTACTAACGCACCTTCGACTTTTCAGGCCTTCATTCAAGATACGCTGCGCGACTACCTCGACGTGTTTTGTGTGGTTTATCTTGACGATATACTTATCTTTTCACGCTCGCAGGAACAGCACGACCGCGACGTTATGAGGGTTCTCGATCGTCTCAAGGATGCCCGACTCTTCGCCAATCCTGCAAAGTGCAAGTTCGACCGTTCCGAGGTCGACTACCTCGGATACGTTATCGCCGCCGACGGTATCAAGACGTCTTTGTCAAAACTCGACACCGTGACCGATTGGCCCGAACCGAAGTCCATCAAGGATGTACAGTCGTTCCTTGGCTTCACGAACTTCTACCGACGCTTCATGCTGCATTTCAGTTCACAGAACGTGCGCGCTCCGCTTTCAACTCTCTCAAGAAGGCTCTTGTTTCGTTCCCGGTCCTTCGCCATTACGACCCCGCCAAACCGTGTACGCTCTGCACGGACGCTTCCGACTTCGCCCTTTCCGGTGTACTCCAACAACCGGATGAAGACGGTCGCCTTCACCCTATCGGTTACTATTCTCGCAAGTTCACGCCAGCTGAAATCAGTTACGACGTGCACGATAAAGAACTCCTCGCGATCGTCGAGTCCTTCCGGGATATGCGCGCCTGGCTCGTCGGCACTCCCGAGCCCGTTTCGGTCATTTCCAATCACCGTAACCTTGAGTATTTCATGACGACTCGCGTTCTTAATTGTCGACAAGCTCGCTGGTCACTCTTTCTCGCAGAATTTAACTTTAGGTTGACCTGGGGCCCCGGACTAAAGAATGTCGCGGACGCACCCTCCCGCCGCCCCGACTTCGCCCTTAAAGAAGGGGATGCCGCTCGCAACATCATGGCACAGCAAATCCTCTCGGCGTCGCACACAGAGCGACTTTTCTCGACATCTCCAACCGGTCTTTCAATATCCACGCTTTCAGCGCTTACAACTCTTTCGATCGACTCTTCGGATCTTCTCAAGAGATTCCAAGACGCTTTCGAATCCGACGATGAATGGCGCGAAGCCGTGGCGGCCGGAAATCTCGACTTCACCGCTCAGAACGGTCTTGTATTCCACAAGGGACGTCTATTCGTCCCGCGTTCTATACGAGCCGATATTCTGCACTCACGACACGACTCTATCACCGCAGGACATCCTGGTCGCGCACGGACTCTGTCACTAGTCCAACGAGATTATTCCTGGCCTGGAATCGTCACGTACTGCCGTTGCTACGTTTTGGCGTGCGATGTGTGCAGTCGCATCAAGGCTGTCCGACATAAGCCTTATGGGCTCCTCCAACCTCTCGACATCCCCACTCGACCTTGGCTTTCGATATCCATGGACTTCATCGTCAAACTTCCGGCGTCTCACGGCTACGATTCTATCTGGGTCGTCTGCGACCGACACTCTCGCGCCGCCCACTTCATCCCATGCAAAGAGGCTATGTCCGCGCCGGAACTCGCCTGGCTCTTCCTCGATCGCATCTTCCGATACCACGGCCTGCCAGAATCAATCATATCCGACCGGGGAAGCGTCTTCATCTCACGTTTCTGGTCGGAGCTAATGACCCTGTTGCAGATCGATGTCCGCACGTCAACAGCGTATCATCCCCGCACGGATGGTCTCACCGAGCGCACTAACCAAACGCTTGAGACCTACTTACGTGCCTACTGCTCTTACCAGCAGGACGACTGGGTCGACTATCTGCCGCTTGCGGAATTCGCGTTCAACAACGCGGAGAACGCTTCGACCCGTGTCACGCCGTTCTATGCGCTTACTGGACATCACCCCGTTTTCGAGCCTCGTCTTACTGATTCGTCCAACGTCCCCGCCGCCTCGGATCTCGCCTCTCGACTTCGACAAATTCACGCCGAGCTCAAGGCTGAGTTACAACACGCACAAGAAGCCCAGGCGAAGGCTTTCAATCGACACGTCCTCTCAGCTCCGGATTTTCGGCCGGGCCAGCTCGTCTGGCTCCTTCGGCGAAACATCAAGACTTTGCGGCCTTCCGACAAGCTCGACCACCGACATCTCGGCCCGTACCCGATCCTTCGCAAGTGTGGCTCATCCTCGTACCAACTCCAGCTCCCCTCGTACCTTTCTCGTCTCCACCCGGTCTTTCATGTGTCGCTTCTCGAACCCTATCTCGATCCTTCGGAATTCCGCACGCACGCCTCGCCTGAACCATTCGATCTTGCACCTGAAGCCGATCCCGCCTCCCGCATCTCGGCGGTTCTCGACGTTTGCAAGATCGGCCAGCGCTACGAATATCTCGTCCGCTACCAAGGCGCGGACGAGTCCGAAGACTCTTGGGTTCCCTTGTCGGATCTTCCATCGACGCTCAACGAACTGACTGACCGGTTCCACCGTCGTCACCCGCGAGCGCCTCGACCTCCCGCCGCGGCTCTGTCTCGAGACTTATCAGGTGCTATTCACATCACTAATTCTACTCCTTCGAACAACTTGAATGATGCCGCCGTGACAGACGAACCCGCGCCTCAAATCCCTGAAGCTGCACCGCGTCCCGCATCTCCACCTCCAGCCGCTCGAGTCAATCTTCGATCCGACTACGTTCCCCCGGCGCAGACCACGATGCGCTCCGGACGTGTCTCAAAACCTCCGACACGATACGACCCTGACGCTTAGCGGAGCTCCTCCTTCGCGCCTAAAGAAGGGGATGATGTCATGAACAGGCTCGCCGCGGACTTAACGTAGAACGGCCGGTAGCTTTTCCTGACGCTTGTCAGGTTTTTGACGCACCCGTGTCGATTAGTTATAGTTTGATGTGTTCTCTTCACCTGTCCCGCCGGTCTTGGTTGGACTTCGTAGAATACTTAAAGCTCTCTCTCGTCGCATTAGAACCTCATCTTGGCAACGCCAGTGACTCTCTGTATCCACGCGCTATCTTACTATCTATTCTACGCCCTTACTCCTCGTCTCGCGAACCCTCCCCGGCCTTGGTCCTCACAACAAGGTACACCACGACTTGGAGTCGTTCTTCTACGTGCTATGTTGGGCGTGCATCACGCTCGAAGGCCCGGGTCAATATCGACGGTCTTTTGATATCATGAAGAGTCGACTCAAAATTTGGCTTGTCGGCGACACCGTACAGGACGTAGCTAGCAACAAGCTTGGGCAGTTGCTGTCTCGCTTTGATAGCTTACTCGCGGACTTCCACCCGTATTTCGAGCCCTTGAAGGAGACGGTCAGGAAACTTTTGGCCACGTTCAACATGGACCAATCAATGAAACCAGGCTATATACCCCCTACATACGATGAGTTCCTCGCCGTCCTCAAAGCTGGCCGTGATGCCTTGCCCCTCGTGGACGACCCACCGCCGGAAAACGGAATCGTCGCTCAACCTGCCAACAATGACCAGCCTGCAGAGCCAGCATCAAACGTGCTGCACAGGTCTAGACGTTATAAACGTAGCCGCACGGAAGAAGACGACATCCAGGACACGTATGCTACACGTAGTGGCAGCCATGGCGAGGCGGGTCTACGCGACCGGTTCACGACCTCTGAGAGAAACAAACGCAGTCGCCTCAGCCAGTCAACCTCGACCCGCGTTCTCCGTTCCGACAGCAAGAAGGCTCAGGCGCGTGAGTAGCTTCGCGACCGGACGAATACCGTGTATCTGCTCCAACTTTCGCTGTCCTTATCGTTGTGCTTTCTCCTGTACTCGCTACTACATGCTTGATCAGTCGTAATTCAACATGCGCTTCTCTTGATAACCAACTGTTTCTCATATCCATTCTTTCAAACGAGTACAGCAAACGCCTAAGATACACACATGGAAGGGGGAGGGGTCTAAATGACAAAGCGATCACCAGCGCGTGCCTCCCGGACGCGGCCTCATCTTCACCAACATGTCGCCCTCCGGGTGCAGGATGGCGGAGCCGGAGCCGTTGGCGTACGGCGGGACGGGGTACGACTTCTCGTTCTTGCCCAGCGGGAGGGTGGAGGACGGGACGGTCTTGCCGTTCGCGTCGATGAGGCCGGCGTAGTCGATGTCGAAGGCGCGGATGAGGATGATGATCAGCGCCTTCAGCTCGGCGAGGGCGAGGTGACGGCCGGTGCACTAGGAGGGAAGACGTGGGCTCTGTCAGATTGCGATCCTGAACGGGTATCGGCGAGAGAGACACGTACGACAGAGACGCCTCCGCCGAAGGGCATGAAGAAGCCCTGCCTGAGCTTCTTCGCGCTGCTGTCGTCCATGAAGCGGCGGGGGTGGAAGCGGAACGCGTCCTCGAACTCATCCGGGTTGAGGTGGTGGTACCGGTTCGGCATGTAGATGATGTCGCCCTTCTTGAAGAAGACGGGCTTGGGCGCCGGGTGCGCGTCCGAGGGCGGGACCTCGGCGACGACGTCGTTCATCACCTCGCGCACGCTCGTGCCGTTCGAGCAGAGCCGGAGGGACTCGTTGATGATCGAGTTGAGGAGCGGGTAGTCGACGTCCATCGTGCCGAGCTGCTCGAAGAGCCCGTTCGGGTGCTGGTTCGGGTTCTCGGCCGAGAACTTGGCCTGGGCGAGGTCGACTTCGTCCCGGATGTCGGGGAGGAGCCACGGGTTGGAGAAAACGTAGACGGTGACCCAGTAGGCGGCGTAGATGGTGTTGGAGGTGAGCGCGAAGAGGTAGGAGTGGAGGTAGGCGGCGAGGTCTTGTGAGGACCAGCCGAGGGTGTGGCGGAGGTCGAACATGACCTGCATGAAGTAGGTCGGCTGCGCCTCGCCCGACTCGTACTGGGCAAGTGCCTCCTTGACGCGCGCGATGCAGCGGTCGCGCCCGGCGACGCCCCGGCTGACCAGGAACGGGAAGGGCAGGCCGGTGTACATAAGCTATAAATAGCAAGCATGAGCGCGTCAGGTCCGGCCTCTGGAGTGGATGTAACGACTCACACCAAACTGATCCTCGAAGTCGGTGTTCGACTTGAAGATCTCGTCGGCCGGGAATGTGTCGCCGAACATGCCCTGAGCACTCGCGGCGTAACTGGAGCGAACCGCGATCAGGCACTTCTCCATTTGGCGGTTTGAGAACTGGAACGTACAACAAGGGCGGGATGAGCTTCATGAGCTCGAATTGTTTGCCGTTCTGGCGCTCGAGGGGCGTCATCTGGTCGATCAGGGCGCCGAAGCGGGACGCCATGTTGGCCGAGATGTGGAAGACCATCGGACCGAACGCCTTCTTGGCGAGAACGCTGTGATGAGACACAAAAGGGAGGGAGGATCAGAGACACGCTCCACGCGCACTCCATACAATAAGATGCCGCGTACCGGGACAACTCCGCAAACATGGCACGCTGGCCTTCAGCGTCGGAAACGGCAACTTTGCTTACAGCGAACACGCGGTGATGCGCATCGGTCCTAATGGGCGTGAAGGAAAAATCCTTGTGGTTTTTGAATATCTCGGCAATGAGTTTCCTCTGGGGTGAGACACGTTAGGGATATTTCGAATAAACGCGGTCACAGAGAGAGGTCCTACATGCAAGCAGAATATGACGGGTTTGCCCAACACTTTGGAGCGGAAGACGGGTCCGAGTCTCTTCTCGACGCTACGCGTCCAAGTATCGGGCCCGTTCTTGTAGTCGAAGGCATTTCCGACCCAGGGGATCCACGCCCATGCCCAAGGAGGGCGAACGGCGAGGCCATTGCCGCCCTGGGCCCTCAGCTTGAGCCATGCAGAAAGGCCCAGGAGGGCGACGGCGACCGTGACGGCGGGGAGGTCGATGGCCGGCATTACTTACTTGGATCGAGGTTTGGGATGCTTTAAGATTTGTACTCGCGGTCGCAGCAGCCGCGGTGGATAGGCTAATGGACGATCGAGGCTGACAATCGCCATCTTATGCCATGTTGTGCGGACGCCCCGGTAAAGCATTTGGTGTGGCGGCGCGCTTACATAGGGTTAGGGAGCCCGTGGGGGGCGGAACCGAGTGTATCGGACGCGGACGTTGGTGTCCCGACTTGGCAATCAACGCTGGCCTCCATCGAGTTCCCACCGGGGTCCCCACCGCTATGCTCGAGATGGGCGCCGTTGCTCATAAAAAGTGCATATCTAATGCGCTCCGGCTGAGAGGCCCCTACTCCGACCACGTCTCCGGCCATGTCCCTCTTCGCCAACCTCAACAGCAGCGAGACCGTCCAGCGCGTCGCCGCGCCCCTCCAGTCCCAGTGGGAGTCCGCCCCGGGCACCGTCATCGTCTCCGGCCTCGGCGCGCTCCTCGCCGCGTTCGTCACCTACCAGTACGCGTTCACCGACTCCGTCCTGCGCTCGACGCCCTTCCTCGGCCAGCTCGGTTTCTTCTCCGCCCGACATGACTTCATGGACAAGACCCTCAAGGACGCGCAGAAGAAGCAGATCCGCGAGAAGAAAGACCCGCTCAAGGGCGGCGTCTACGAGTTCAACACCGTTGGCTACACCGTCAACGTGAGACCGCCCGACTTCACTCGCGCAATGAACCACGATCTGACCGCGGCGAACAGGTCTTGCACGGAGAGACGGGCCGCAAGCTCTTTTTCGGTGACAAGAACTTGAGCTTGTACCAGGGCTACCTCTTCCTGCGTGGAGGTTTCCCCACTACCTCCAAGCTTGGCGCGAGGATCGAGACCGACAACGGAAAGCTGAAGGAGCGTCTGCTCTACTTCATCAGGAGAGAATACATCACCGATGGTTGGTGCCTCGAACGTCATTCGTATACGCAGTCGTGCTGACTCCGCCTCAGTCCTCCCCACCATCTTCCGTGAGATCTCCGAGGAGTTCGACACCTGGGGCAAGAGGAGCCGTGTCGACCCGTTCGATGCGATCTACACCGTAAGAAAGGACTCGCCCTTGTCCGAATATCCGCGTGCTGACTGTCCGATTTAACCAGTTCGTGTTCAAGCTGACCTGCCGTCTCCTTGTGTGCAACGAGATTGCAGATGATCCCAAGGTACGCGCCTTTGTGCTGGATTTGTTTCCTTGTCTCAATGTCCCCTTCAGTTGTTGAAGCACGTCCGCTCCCTCTACCTTGGCATCGAACAGGGAGCTGAGGATTTGTAAGCATCGTCTCCCATAGTAGAACCCGTGCGGAAGCTGATTGGCTTACAGCACGACCCTCGTCAACTGGTGGCCGACGAAGCAAAAGCGCGAGAGCGCCGCCGCGACGAAGGAGCTCGCGGAGATCATCTCCAACCTCATTGCCGCCCGCCGCCGCGAGGGTCGCCGCGAAAACGACCCCATCCAGTACCAGATGGACATGGGCGACGAGGACAGCGACATCATCCAGTACACCTTCAAGATCCTCTTCGCTGGATCGGTCAACACCGCCGCGATGGCCGCCTGGACCTGGGTATACGTGAGTCCTACTTCGGTGCTCAGACGCGTTGCTCTTTTTTCCTAACCGGTCCGCCTCATAGCTCACCCTGCACAAAGACCAGTACGACCTCGTCATGAACGAGATCACGACCCAAGCGCACGCGACGGGCGCCCCGGGCACGCTCGCGGAACAGGTGACGCAGATCCAGCTCGACGCGTGGGAGAACGAGATGCCGGCGCTCGAGCGTTGCATCAAGGAGACGATCCGGCTCGTGTTCGCCATCATCGCGCTCCGGCGCAACATCGAGGACCCGGTCACGATCGACGGCAAGCGCATCAACACCGGCGACTTCCTCGCGTACTTCATCCACGACACCCACCTGAACGAGGACATCTACCCCGACGCGGAGAAGTGGAACCCCAACCGGTGGATCGACGAGCAGGGCGTGAACGCGAAGAAGCTCGCGTATCCCTTCTTGGGATGGGGCGTCGCCCGCTTCCCGTGCACCGGCATGCGGATGGCCAAGGTCGAGATGAAGACGATCGTGGTATGTGTTTCTTTTGGTTTACGCGATTTTCTGGCGACGGCGAACTGACGGGCGGCCTTGCTTGTTCTAGGCGTCGCTGCTCGCGACCTTCGAGTTCCAGCCTCTGGACGGGAAGGGCAACCCGCTCACCCAGGACCCGCCCGTGAACCGCAACGACTGGCAGCGGTTCATGCCGGCGGAGCAGGTGCTGATGGATTACGTTCGCCGCTCATAGATGATTTCTTCTGTACTCTCATCCTCTATCGACATTCCATGTGTTTCCTTCTTGGCTACGACTTTAAACTGCATCCATACGCGCAATTCTATCTCAACCCGACCGCAATTTCAATTGTCTGTTAATCCTTAACGGGATACGTTGATCAACCTGTATAGGTAGTCAATGTAAACGTGCTGTAATGTAAAATGCTGTTGATTTCCGGGAGTGAGATTATTGCTTCGGGTGGATGATGCAAGACGAATCACTTTTCGGGCAATGTTCAGGGTCGAATGGAAGCTGCAGCAAGATTTGTTGCTTACGTAGGCGCACGCTATGCCCTGGGTTGAAACAGCGAATTGTTCCAGAATCTCTGAGATGGCAACGTTCCTGGGGGATGCTGCCGATAAGTACTAGAGATATCAAAGAACAATGTGTCCGGTCCCGTACTTGTCCCACACTGTCATGTAGCGCCACCTCAGTCGCAGCACCCACACTTATCTCGTTATCTTCAGAAGATGCGTACGACGAAGCGGTTTCTGCCGCTACGAACGGATGGACGCGTAGCCTCGGACGCGACGCGACCGCGTTTCGCGCACGTGCTTTCAGCCACCTGCGCGAACTTGCCGTTCGCACGGCGCTTTCACTTTGATTTCACCATCTGGCTTGCGAGTTGAACGGGCTCGCAGCATTTGTCGAGTCCGAGGATATCAACCACCCAATGGGATACGCCGCTGCATTGCCTCTAGGTGTCCGGCAGCACCGGAAACAAAGCGAAAGCCAATCCGCGACGCCATATGACTGCGCCGAGTCGTCCATCCGCCGTCGGTTTCCATATCCGGTCGATGGCGGCGTTCCCGGACTGGGCGGCTCGCCAAACCGCACTGAATCCCGTCGCGACTCCGTGCATTCGCCCTTCACGTATTCCTGACTGCCGCTAGCCATCGACGCATACATTGTCTTTTTAAAATGCTTGTGACCCCGATCTATCAAGCTCCCATTCGCCATTCGCAACGATGTCCACCGACTGGTACGGTTCCGCCAACGCGCTCCTTCGCAGCCTCACGTCCCGGTACGATGACCGGTACGGGCTCGGCACGATGAGCGCCAGCATCTATGATACCGCCTGGGTCGCGCTCGTCTCCCGGACCATTGACGGCCAGAAGCAATGGATTTTCCCTGAATCCTTCCAATTCATCTACGACCAGCAGGCGGAGGACGGCAGCTTCCCCGGCGATGGCTCCGTCGCGGACGCCGTGATCAACACCCTTGCGTGCTTGCTTGCGTTCAAGCACCACGAGAGCACCTGGAATGGCGGCAAGAACGACATCGCGGCTCGCTCCGAGAAGGCCGTTGCCTTCCTCAACACCGCGCTGCAGACCTGGGACGTCAAGAGCACGGAGCGGATCGCGCTCGAGATGATCGTCCCGAGCCTGTTCGAGCAGCTCGCGACGTTTGGGCTCGACTTCGACTTCCCACAGCGCAAGTACCTCTTCGCTGTACGCGAGAAGAAGCTTTCCATGGTCGACATCGAAATCGTGTACAAGCACCACACCACCGTCCTCCACTCGCTCGAGGCGTTCGTCGGCAAGATCGACTTTGATCGCATCGCGCATCACGTCCGCGGCGGCAGCCTCATGGCGTCGCCGTCTTCCACTGCCGCCTACCTTACGTATGCGTCCAAGTGGGATGAGGCGGCCGAGGGGTACCTCAGGCACGTCATTGAGCAGTGCAAATCGTACGGCTACGGCGCCGTCTGCAACGTCTGGCCTACGACCGTGTTCGAGTTCTCCTGGGTATGTGCTCACGCTGAATTGTGGTACCAGGCCACTGATAATCCTGTTGCTGTAGTCCGTTTGCAACCTCGTCGAGAGTGGCTTCGACCTCGCTAAGCTCGATCAAGACGCTCTCGCCCGCATTCGCGACGTGCTTTACAATGCTCTCGCGGCAGAGAAGGGCATCATCGGGTTTGGTACGTGTTGATTCCGCTTCATCGATGTAACTGGTCAACTCATACTATCGATGCAGCTGCTAACGTTGGCCCCGATTCCGACGACACCGCCAAGGCGCTTACGGCGCTTACCTACCTGGGGAAGCCGTTCCCCTACGACGCCCTCCTCAAGACTTTCGAGCTCCCGACGCACTTCCAGTGCTTCCAGTTCGAGCGCAACCCCAGTTTCAGCGCCAACTGCAACATCCTTATCGCGCTCCTCCGCTCTACCGAGCCTAAAAACTTTACCAGCCAAGTCATCAAGGCCGCGACCTTCATCACCGAGGAGTGGTGGACAATCGAGGGTCCCGTCGAGGACAAGTGGGTTAGTGATCATCTATCGTTTCAGATGCAAGACTTGGCCCTGACGCCGATTATCTTAGCATCTATCGCAGTGGTACCCTGCCATGCTCGCTTCTCAGGGCTTGCTCCGCCTTCTCTACCTTCACGGCCAAGGCTTGTTCTCCGAAGTCTCCGAGCACCTCTTGACTGTAAAGATTCCTCTGACCCTTTTCGGCATCCTCATTCGTGTCCTTCAATCACAACATGAGGACGGCTCCTGGGGCGTCAACAAGAGCCGGGAGGAGACCGCTTACGCCATCCTCGCGCTCGCCAACCTCGCCTCGCTCCCCTACGTTGACCTCATCCGCGACCAAGTGAATGCCGCCGTTGCCAAAGGGCGCGAGTACCTCCTCTCCGTCAACGCCATAGAGAAGCTCCACATCGCCCCTGCGGATTACATCTGGGTCGGCAAGATCGGCTACGGCGTCGAGCACGTCTGCAATGGCTACGTCGTCTCCGCGATGCACATCCCCGTGCCGCTTTACGAGCCTGCGTCGGTCGATACCGGCGTGAACGTGTCCGCGGAGAAGATCAAGGGCTTCGCCAAGTTCTACTCGCGGCTGCCGATGTACCAGGGCTTCCCCCAGTGGCGCATGTACGCCTGGCTCATTGAATCCTTCCTCTTCCTCCCCGAACTTCGCAGGGTGCACCACATCGCGTTCGACAGGCAGGGCATGAAGGAGGACCCGTACTTCGAGTACCTGCCCTTCTCCTGGACGGGCCCGAACGGTATGGAGGAGACGTACGCGAGCGCGCAGACGATCTTCGACATGATCGTCATCTCCATGGTTAACTTCCAGGTCGACGAGTTTTTCGACATCGTCGTGCAGAAGCACGGCGAGGGCGCGCTCGCCTACCTCCGAACGCTCATCGATGAGATGATGGCCGGGATTGAGAAGGGCATCATCCCGCCCGCGATCCCGCAGAACGCCGGGAAGGCCGACGGCGAGGCGCAGCCCACCGGCTACGACGAAATCCGCGCGCGCCTCGGCCACTTCGTCAACTTCGTCTTCACCTACCCACGGATCGAGTTCGCAAGCGAGAACGACAAGGCACAGCTCCGGAAGGAGATGAAGATCTACCTCCACGCGCACACGACCCAATGCGAGGACAACGTGAAGCTGCAGGCGCAGGCCGAGTACGACCCCTTCCTCTCCCCGCGCTCCTCCTACCTCAAGTGGGTGCGCTCGACGGCGGCGGACCACCTCTCGTCCCAGTACGCGTTCGCGTTCATCACCTGCCTCCTTGGCCACAGCCAGAACAAGGGCAAGGAGGTCTCCAAGCGCGAGGACTACTTCCCGACGGCGGAGATCAAGTACATCGCCCAGGACTGCAGCACGCACCTGTCCGTCATCTGCCGCATCTTCAACGACTGGGGCTCGATGAAACGCGATCGGGAGGAAAAGAACCTGAACGCGGTATTCTTCCCCGAGTTCGAGGGCCGGGCGAAGGGCAAGGACGAGAAGCAGCTCAAGGCGGAGCTCCGAGCCATCTCCGAGTACGAGCGCAAGTGCCTCAACCTCTCGTTCGACGAGCTCCTTCGCGTGGCGCAGCGCACCGTCGGCCCCCAGGCCGGCAAGCGTCTGCACGAGGTGAGCATAAATTGCGGCCGTCTCTATTTTCGGTTTTGTCTGATAACCACCCCCCAGGTTGTTCGGCTGTTCTATAATGCCAGCGAGATGTACACGGAGATCTACGAGTTCAGGTTCGTCAAACTTTATCTTCGTCTCCACGGACTCGCCTCAACGTTTGCACACTCCACAGGGACATAAGCACATGGAATTAATGGCTGGCACATTATATCACGGGCATTTTGTGTATGTATATTATGGACACATAGATTAACGATAGGCATGGAATACAAGCAGTATGATTCTTCGAATCTGCTATCGATAGCCGAGCCGCTGAAAGCCATCGAACGTCCAGCCCTGAATGTAGACATGACCATAAGGCGAACTTGTAATTGGCAAGACGAAGGTGAAGAAGCGCATGAAGTCGCCACATGCATGCCATGCCGTCCCTGAGCGGGTTTCTCGGTAGATCGCCCTGTGTTGCTGCCCGCCCAGCCCTCCAAACAAACAGAAGTCGCGCTGTCGCGCGAAGGAGAACCAACGTTGCGCAGGTCCGCTCTGGCCTTAACGAGGCAGATGTCGCCGATGCGACCGTTGACGCATTCATGATATGATGGCGCGCGCGGAGCTCCATACGGCACGCCGTGCTGCAGAGTCGGGATCGGCGGGAATTTAACGCTCTTGTTGCCTCTAAAGGCAACGAGTGCGAGTTTCGGGGTGCTGCATGCCCTTTCCGCTAAAACGGACCGTGAACTTGAAGGTTTCAGTCCAGGGGCAGTTTTCCCCGGATGCGTCGGCGCACTGTGTGATCAGCAGCGTGCGTATTTCTTGGAGCTTGCAGGGCGTACGAAATTGCGAGAGCGTGATAGAGAGTAGCTGCCTTGCCGGTCTGAGATTCGTGCTCGGGATGACCTCCTCCTAAGTCCGCCGTTTATATGTCAACAGTCGCACCGGGAATGGCGTGGAGCAGCCTCGCGCGATATCGACTTGTAGCTGAAGTTGCGTCGATACCATGATACGACGACACATACGTCCTATTGCTCGAGATCAGATGGGAAAGCTACGCCGATCAGCCAAGGTTGGCGAAGCTTTGGGACGATTGTGGGACCGCAGAGACACTCGGAACGGAGCAGAAGCCCGCCAGCGACCCAGGGCCATCCGGACGAGACAAGCAGCCTCGTAGCTCTGATAACTTCTTCATGCGCATCGTGGACAGAAAGATGCCCATACCACAACAAGAAGATGCCGTGTGAGAACAAAAGCAGAAGGCGATTGCTCATTCAGACTACGTCGTTGCGGCAATCCGGATCGGCGAGAGTTACCGCGCGAGGCACTAGACGCCGACCCCGGCGCTGCGGCGACGCAAGCAAGACGGCATGTCCACGTACTACTGATGGTCGAAGGGAAAGTAAATATATCGTTCATGCAGCAACGACGCGCGCCCGATTTAGGTATTCGGAGTTAAATCTGAGGTTTTGCTTCCACGTTGCATGATATAACGTGACCAGACGACGAGCGATCTAGAGTGTCGCAAGGAGACATATAAGGATACTCGGAGCAGGTATGGCAAGCGGATCACGGCTGCGATTTCTGGCTGCGGGACGATTGCCGATAACGCAAAAACCGGCCAGCGCGCACACCCTTTTGATGGTGTTGGCAAACGTCCAGCAACAACTTCGCGCAGGCCGCCGTACATCTAATCATGGAAGGGTGGATGACGTCGTGCCAGCCTAAATCGGTTTTCTGCCGAGGGATGTTCCCGGCGCTCGCAGTGCACGTGCGGTGGAGTCGTTGCACAGCAGAACAGCGCAGAAACGCACCTGCTTGGCAGCCTCTCAAGCTGTGGAGTTCTGCGACATCGACGTGATTCTTCCTGTCCCTTGACTTCGACACTTCGATACACACGCCCTGTCGTAAAATCGGACAAAGGGGCCAAAACGACGAGATAAATCGGAATCGCAACAGTCCAGATTGGACAAAGAAGCTTTATTTGCTGATTCCACCGAGCTCTTAAGCGATCCTCCGCACGGTGCTCATTGCATGCGTGAAAGTGACAAAGAGACCACGTGGCCCAAAGAACCAATCAGGAACGGAATCCTGGTGAAGGGGTTACGTAACGACCTCTTGACCTCCTGAAAGCGCGGAAGAAGTTTGTCTAATCGATACTCGAGCACCGCCACTGACGGCCGACGTACCTTCGGGTTCACCCGATCATTATGAATGCGAGTACCGCCCTCGTTTACAGACGTCGACGTCGCGATACTGCCCCACCAGTTCATCCGTTCATGCATGAAACGAGTCGCCGTGATGTTCTACAACCTACTTGGACGTGTCAATATCCGCTCCACGTCATGTACGCATGTACACGAGCGCCCTGCATATATTGGTCGGCGTTCAGGCGCTACCTCCCACCCCATGCCATGTGATGGGCGGGATGCGGTCATTTTGCGTTTCGGATCCTTAACGATCATCGAAATACTATGGATTACGCGTGCATAGCACCGTAATAACCCTTCCTTATCCAATTCTTTGCCCTGCGTAGGTATGGGCGCCGTATAATCTTCAAATACGAAGCTCTGCGCGATAGCAACCTTCTTTGACCGCAGCCTGAAACGGCCTCTAACGGTGCGACGGACTACGCACCGATGCCATGGGAAAATCGCTACGCCACTGACGCAAGGGGTGTTCCTCCTCGACCTCATTATCAATTCCCTAATCCTAGGGGATTTCGTGGATTTCTTTTTCGCATATAACGCACGCCCAATGGGGAGCGCGGTAATTGCACGTGTAATGCCATCACCGCGAAGCTGATGTGCGCCTGAGCGAGGCAAAATATGTATAGCCAAACCTTGGCCAAACCTCGAGCGTCAGTTGCTGAGTACGGGTCCCGGTATGCAGTCTTGCAGTTGAACGCAGAGGAGTCCGTAATCGTCCCTACTCCATTCGAACGTCGCGATTGGCTCTCACCGTTTCACTGCTTGCGATGAACTCGCAGGGTGGCTTGGCGTGATACGGGTATCGTCCAAGAATGGACGATTGTGCTTATGTAAGATCAAACCCGGCAGCTTCTTCCCGTTCCCACCGCGATGACCTGTGTAAGGAGGCGCGCTCGGTAAGATAATGGAATTTAAAATCGGTTGACCCTCCGAGGTGATCGCGGCCAGTGGGTCGGGGCGAAGTCGGAGGTAGTGTTAGGGCGGACGTCCCTATATAACGTTCACACTCTGTCACTACCATGGCCGCCTTCAGGACATCCGACAACATGACCCTCAGCTTCCCAATCCATCTCTTCACCGCTTCTCAGATCGTCGTCGAGCGCGATGCCCAGCGGGGCCGCTTCACCTTCGACATCGCCCGGCTCTCGAGGCCGAACCCTCCGGACTGGTTCGTCAACCCCAACGCGAGCATCCATTTGCAGGAGACGGACGGCAGGAACGGATACGGGCTTCGTATCTTCGCCTCGGTTTCCTCCGCTCAGGAGCTGGATAACAATGACTTCACCGATGGTAAGGAGGCTATAGCCTCTTCCTTTGTCAGGACTGTCCCATCCTGATGAACGTGCGAAGAATGCCAGCGGGACATTTCGGTATCGCCTTCGTCTTCGGGGGAGTCTACGACGGCAACGCCGCTGCGGACCCCGCTTCCCGAGACTCAACTGAACGCTTTCGAAGGTTTGTCAGCGTTGCCCAGCGTTTATGGAAGCGTACTCATATAAGAGGATCGTACAGTACCACCTTTACCGGAGCCGCAGATGTCGACCATGCCGCACCACCCCCACTTACAAGGCGCCACCGACCCGTTCGGCTCCGGCTCCATCTTCGACACGCCCCTTGACCTGAGCGCCATTCTCGGGATGGACTTGGGTTTACCAATGGGTGAGGAGCCCGCGCTCAATGGCAAGGCTGTTGTCAAGGCGATCCCGACGATGGCTCATTTCGCACATAGGTGACGCAGCAGCACTCGCGGACGGCTTCATGGACCACACTATGGACGCGTCGAACGGTCTCTTCCAAGATGTCCTCACCTCGCCCTCGATGGTCGGGAGCAGTCCCGCTGCCCTCACATCCCCCGAGTCTATTGGCTGCCACATGGAGCACAGCAGCCCCGAGGACTCAGCAGGTAGCCTATCAGCCGCTGATGGGTCGGCGTCTCCGGACTCATCGCGTGGAGGCGTCAAGCGCGCCCGCCGGTTCCGTTGCCTCGAGAAAACGTGCACGCGGATGTTTACCTCTGAGTGCGTGGTTCCGGCGTTTCAGCCGGAGACCGCTCCCGCTGATCGTCTCTCACGCAATAGATACACCCGTAAGACGCATATGCAGACGCACAAACCCCGGGCCCCGAAGTCTTTGCAATGCGAAACTTGCAAGGAGACTTTCTCCCGACGACACGATCTTCTCCGCCACGAAGTCGTGCAGCACGGGAAGGAATGTGAATGGGTTTGCGACCTTTGCGGCCTGTTCTTCTCGAGCTCCAAAACGCTGCAGACGCACCGATGCCGGCGTGGGTTGGGCCAATCGCGGTGGCCTATCGTAGGTGCGATAGCTTCATGCACTCCCCCTCGTGACTGGCTTTCCAGAAGTGCTGATTCGACGTTTCGTAGTTCAGCATCCCAAGGGCGCAGATTAAAACCAGCACCACCCCGCCGGGACTCCGAGAGCCATTAATACGCGTTCTCGCCGTCTTTGGACTCTTTATATTTCTCTGTCATTCACCAGGCCCCCACCAGATATCATTGTAGAATTCCGTCATCTCTCGCATCGATACCTGTTGTTTCATCATATTCGCTTTGTACGTTAGGGTAGCGCACCGCCCTCGCGGTCAAATGACAAAACGCCTGACGTCTGGACGTCCCTGTATATTGTTCTCGATAGCAGATTGACTGCGTTCGCGTCGTGTTCATAGTACTTATCGTTGCTCTATCTATTTTTGCTGCGAATCCGGCGAGTAAGATGAAAAAGCAACCGGGCTCTTGACAATCGCTGCATCGATCAGTTGTCCTAACGCCGGTCTATTGATAATATACCTATGACCGACCTTGAAGGGGTCGACAGGAACAGGTCCTCTACATACGATAAGTAGTGGCAAAGCAGTACATGTTGCTCATCAGAACTGGGGCGTTTGCAATTCTGTGTGGAGAAGGCGTGTATTAGAGAGAACCTTCGGTGACGTTCGCGAAGTGTGTCCATATAGAGAAGTCTTGTAAATCGCATGGTTATCGTTGTGTCACACTAATTCTGCCAGGCACAAGGTCAAAACACTCCAGCGGACGGGTCGATGTTCTATCCTCTGTTTCTATCCAAGGATTGCATTAGAGCCCCGTTCTCATGTCATCGTCGAACTGCAGTCATGATGTTCTAGCGTATTCCAAGTTGCATGCAAGCCGTCGTGCGGCGTTCAAAACTATTTCGGCCTCCCGGTATCTTAGCTCCAAGCGGGAGCCACCCATTGATCCATGAGAATCGCCAATCGCTGCCGGAGATAACCAGCTTTTGTCCCGTGCAGTGCGCGAGATGCCCTCGCAGCTTGTCATCGCTCTATCCATGTGAAAGCAGAACGTGCGAGGTAATGATATTGTACGTACTACAAGCTCAGGTCCAGTGAACCTGCCAAGGAGAAATACAAAGTAGAGCAGTCAGAATCCGGAAGCACTGATGATTACATTGATTCGCGATGGCGATAGATATAGCATCACCAATGGCCGGGGGATGCGGCTCAGAGCAAACAAGACACGGTGCGAAGACGCTCGCCCTCCTCCGAGGTCTCGGCCGTGATTATCATGTATCTAGACAGATCCCGAGCCGTCCCAGGGCAAAAGTGGCCCTCCGCAGATGACCACTTCTGGACATCCTGGGAATCATGAAGGTCGAATATTCGGCGTGTCATGTTGCGGGGCATATGGTCCAGTGACACACGTATGGGCCCAGGCAGCTCCTTTTCTTCGATTTGGTGAGCACCGGTGAGCATCAGCATCTCAAGCAAACGTTGTAACCCCCTGACTGCCGATTCCTTTGTATTGAACGTGACGTCGTCCAATATCGTCAGCGACCCAACGAATTGAAACCGCGGATCTCGAAGGGTGTGTAGTATGGGGAACGTGTCTTGTAATTGAACGTCGAAAGGGTGGTCCGTGATATGGAGGGCGAGTTCTCGAAGAGAGATGGTCTGAATGGTGCGTAATACGTCCGAAATCCAGGTTATCGACGCGCTGCCGTCTGATTTTGGTCCAACCTTGAAGGTCAACGATTGGAGGATGGCGCAAGATCGCAGATTTAGCCGCCGAGTGACGCTATTGAAATCGTCTGACACTCCATTAACGGTATGGCGAACGTGAAGCGGGCGTCAATACTTACCTGCTTGCATCCGGTCGAGCACGAGCTCGATACTCCGAAGCGATGGGCCGAAGTGCTCGAATAGGGTGCTGGCGATATCCGCGTCTTCCGGATAGCTGAGTGATAGTGAGAGATGTCGAAGAGAGTCGATTGGAACCACGGCCTGTACCCATCCACTCATTAGATCGAGTTCGTTGATATAAGACATCTCCAAAGCTTGCAGGTGAAGATGTCTTGCATCTGGAGGTAGTGTATGATCGGCATCTGGCATAAACTCAATGTCGACCACGCTGAGGTCATTCAGAAGTGGTATGGCGGATAGCGCGTAATGCCATGATACAAGGGAGTCGAACGGGACGTAGTCGAGCTTTAGGCGCGTGAGTGACGTCAAAGAGCTCAACCCGCGAATGACGTCCGGAAAGTTGATGCCCAATCCCGTGGCGTTCTCGATTTCCAGTGTTTGTAGTTGGGGGAGGTAGGTCAGGAAGTTGAACCAGTATTCGTCCAGAGTGAAGTTCTGAAACGTCATAGCTCTCGTATAGGGAATGAGGTGCGGCGCTGATTCGAGAAACTCGAGGTCCTCCAATTCGTAGAAGGTCATATGTCGCCAGATGTTAAGTCTCGCTCGATGCAGCAGAAGTTTGCACGTCAGCGCGAAGCTTCGCTGGGATGCCGCGTCGCTTCGATCCACAATGGCCTCGATGAGTTCGATCGGCAATCGTGGCAATGATCTATCGTCCATGTTCGTCGTCTCTTGGTGCCTGCCAATTAACTGGTTACAATGGTGAGTATATGCCATTATCCAGGTCATTTTGTGACTCACCGAGCTTGAATGGCGGAATCGTTACTCCTGTCGACCCCCCTAACGTTATCCTGAAATGAGGAGGGGGTTCGGACCCGAGCAATGCGGGGGGATGATTACATAAGGCACCCACCCGAACCCGCTCACCACCGCTGACGTCGATGGCTACGATTACAGACGTTGAAGGACTCAGTCGGGGGCCTTTTGTAGAGACGGTTAGATGAACCAGCGAGAAGTGGAGCTTGCCGGGCACCTAGAACGACATTTGACCGCCAAGACTAAAGTATTGCTTGCCAACGATACCGCAGTCCACCATGTCATGCGGACGTTACCATAAGTAGGCTGTGCTTGACACTTGTCGCAGCAGTTCGCAGCGTCGTTGCACTTCAGCGCTTTTCGGATATATTTCCCTACTACTCGACGCCATGATCAGTAGAGATTATTCACCGCGATAGATAGCATGGCACGGAGCCCCGCACTGAGCGTGAGACAACGGGAGGTGGACCGTGGGATCGCAAGATGTGATCTTTAAGAGTCTTTACCGTTCGATGTGCTACCGATGCACCCTAACAGGCAGGAACTACGCACAATGCCGCTCGGAGATGCTGGGTCCATTCAAAGTGATGTGTTCACGACACCTGACAGTGACTCCATCCATGTTGCACGGTATTCTCATGGCCGTAGCGAACTGGTCGGTGCAATCGGGCATCGTAAGACGGAGGTAAGTATGCATCCAACAGCGGGATGAGGAGCTTGTCAGAGAGGGAGGCGGTATGGCGAGATAGTGGAGGATGTGTCAAGCCGGTTGTGAGTCGCAGCTCATGAAGTTATACACGAGTTGCTCTTTCTCGACGATCCGCCTTCGGGTTTTTCTATTGTACCTTTCCGACGTGTGGCAAAGCCGCGTGTCCTTGATCCCGGATTCTCATCCTTGACTGTGACTTTCCTTGCCGTTCCAGGGGATGGTCTATTCTATGTAGGTCACACTGCGCCTCGTGCCAAACCACAAACGGGGAGATACGTGGCAATCAACCTTCGCTCACCTTCTAATCTTGAAGATGCGGTCTGATTGTTCCCATGCTAGTATACTGCCTTCCATGCTGGAGAGCTCATAAGCAGAGTGTTGGACCTCGAACAGAATACTACCCCTGGAGTGTGCTATACGTTCGCAGCCATTCAGTATGCTGTTCCTGTGCAGCTTTCTTCTGTTTTCGACGTCCCTCGCTGCGGTCTATGATGATGTATCAAGCCTACCCCAGAAGAACTGTGACTTCGTGATTATTGGCGGTGAGGCTCGTCGCATTCGAGGTAACACGTTCAAGTCGGTAGTTCGAGCTAAACATGAAGTTACAGGAGGAACCTCGGGGCTTGTAGTTACCAATAGGTAAGTGTTCTTATCTATATCACAAACGGGACGTAGCATGCTCTCAATCAGGTTGTCCGAAGATCCCCGAGTGTCGGTGCTAGTCCTAGAAGCCGGGCTTTCGTGAGTTAATCCCAAAATTACGAACATGTCCAAGACGAAGAGCCGATTACTGTAGCAATTGGAATGTTTTAAACTCCGAGGTCCCTTTCCTCACTCCTCGGTTGTGGGGCTCCCAGTATGATTGCAACTACACGACGGTTCCGCAGCCTGGTTTGAACAACTGTTCGGTCACGTATGGACGAGGGAAGTTACTAGGAGGAAGTAGCTCGATCAGTAAGCCAGATACCATAGTAAATGCCCAAGACCTATACTGATTGGAATAGATTCGATGGCGTACACAAGGGGTTCTGACGATGACTGGAATAAATACGCGGGGATCACTGGTGATCCGGGCTGGTCTTGGGAAGGCATACAACTGTATATACGCAAGGCCCGTCACTTACTTTCCAAGTATGTTAGTAGAATACTATGGGGCTTATCGTTGTCGCATCCACAGAACGAGCATCTGATACCCCCCAGCCCGTCACGTTTCGATCCGCGGTATGATCCTGCGTTCCACTCTGACGCCGGTCCCCTGCAAGTTAGCTTGACCAGTTACTTCTGGCCGTCCACTCATCGCGTCATACAAACAACGGAAGAACTTCCTTCTGAGTTCCCGTATAACTTGGATGTTAACTGTGGTGATCCATCGGGAATAGGTAAACCCATCACACAATGCACCGATATTCGCTTCCGCAGCTGACTGTCATCGGGTAGCTTGGATTCAGGCTACAATCGGAAACGGCACTCGTAGCAGTGCGGCGACCGCATACCTCAATGACGACTTTGCGGCTCAACCCAATCTATGCGTTCTGATACACGCTCATGCTACCGAAGTCAATCGTGTGACACGATTGACTTCGAACAATCGAGAATTTGGGCAGCCCGTATTCGACTCCGTCGAGTTTGCGTCGAGTGCTGACGGTAAGCCACACACTGCTTTGTGTTTACCGTGCTTACAATGATCACCCAAGGTTCTGGGTACAACGTCACGGCGCGAAGGAGATCGTCCTTGCCGCGGGTACCTTCAACACACCTCAGGTACCGTGGTTTGTTAGGTCGTCAAATGGGCAACCCTGATCGACAGTGTTCATTTGTAGCTACTTCTGTAATCCAGGTGGTACCATGGTACCATTAGTATCAACTCCACCAATCCCTTCCAGGCTCCACTCATAAACCCAAATCGCCTCGGAACTACGTTCGATGCTCAAGTTATGGTGTACGCTATCAAGGCCGCCCAGCGATTCGTCGAGACGGCGCCGGCGTGCAAGGGCTACACGATAGCGGAGTTTGGTCCATTTGCGAACGCTTCCACTGACGCCGAGCTACTTGCGTTTGCGAAAGCAAACGCCCGCACTGTGACTAGTTACTCTTACCTGTGACGCTTATCGCGGCTCATGATCACAGATTTATCACGCAGTGAGTTCATGCCAGATGACCGCTCGGAACGCGACGACAGGTTGCGTGGATCCGGACCTAACGGTCAAAGGCGTTCAAGGGCTGCGTATTATTGATGGAAGCGATCTGGTGAGAGGAGTATGTTCTGTTACTTGCGCAGAGATTTTTGAACTCTGTTGATAGCCCTTCGTATCCACTGCCCATACCCAAGTTCCCATATATATCGTTGCGGTAAGTAATGAATATTACCTAACGATTCGAACGAAGGACTGAACCTTTTTTCGATTTGGTGGCAGGAGCGAGGCGCTGACCTCATCAAGAAGAAGTGGGATTTGGCGTGAGTGATCCGAGTCGGAGGCGCTTCCACGGGGGACGATCCCGGAGCGTCATTAGCGTATAGTCATGACCTTCGCGCCCGACGTGAACGGTCTTTCTCATGCTCTGGTGTACAAATGCGGAGTGCATATCAACTATGGCACTAGTCGTGGAAGAGAGCCCGCTCGACTTTAGTCAGATGACCGACTCGGAAAGCGCCTGCTGAGTTTACGTTCGATGTCCAGAGGGCCAGATCTTATGCAAGTGCAAATATAAGTGGTGGTCACGGTAGCCCCAACTGGCATGCTGTTGTCCAGCCGTCGAGTGCGTATCGTACTCGGTCGGGCCGATATCGGCTCAGCACAGATTACAAGTAAGGATCTGGCAGGAGCTCTCTGAGTGACTGATGCAAACCTTGAGGCTATCCCCGGATCGACTGCATGATCCTCGATGCCCATTGTCGAGAGTATCCCGGGGGTGTACTGATCCAGTCTGTTTATGCCGCAGCCATTGCTTACTTGTTGTGGATTGTGATCATTCTTGGGACATCTCGACAAATCCGTTTCGCGCACGCAGCGGCCCTCAGTCGGCAGACTAAATGTAACTCAACGAGTTCGGATGAATGGGATAATGCTATGATTGATTGTGAAGCAACTGTTGCACTACATGGATTGATGACATCTAACTGGACTCAAATATACTGGTACATAGATACAAGGTCACCGGATACGCCCGTGAGGTATGAAGTCCAATTGTTGACGAGACGGATCATGGCCCCGCGTCGATCTTGTCGACACCGAGCTGGTTCATGAAGGCTTCAAGGCCCGGGCTGCCGCCGAGAGCCTTGATTTGCGCCTTTAGGCGGTCGGCGACCTCCTGAAGGCACTGCACGCTGGCCTCAAACGAGTGCGTCCGGCGCATAATTTCGATCGCGCGCTGCTTCTCGGGGATGTCCTCCGGCCTCTTGTCAAGGATTTCTATTTATCGCACGTCAGCCTTGATCTCCATCACCGCGTTCTGGAAGACATACCTTTAAGACCGCTATCGGGCGCGACCATCAAAGAGTGGATCATGGGGAAGGAGTACTTTCCCTCGCTGATATCCTCAGCGAAACCCTTCTGGGTGCTGTAGCTGGTAGACGCTAGGTTGATGTAGTCGTCCCGGAGCTGGTAGAACACGCCAATCTGCTCCGATATCGACGCGAGCGGGAGGTCAGTCTTCGCGTCCGGGTGGCATTGCAGCAACCGAACGCCCAAACGGAGCAAACCCGCCGTCTCTGAGAGTTTTTACATATGTCAGCATTAAACTCTGGGCGCGAGGAAAGGGCGCTAACTTCGCTCGATCATCACGAGGTACTCGTCGACCGTGGGGCAGACCCGGTTCGTCCGCCACCAGATCTCCATCCCTTGGCCGCGGTGCAGCTCGAGCATCTCCTCAACGTACGCGCTGACCATGCGAGCAGTGGCCGTGTCGAAGTCCGTGCCGCTGGCGTGCGCGCGAGCGAGAGTGGTTATTTTTTCCATCACCAAGAAGTAGACGTAATTGGCGGAGTTGATTGTTGGTGCCACGCCGAACTTGATGTGCGCGGTCGGGGAGCCGCGGCGGAGCGGCGACTCATCCTCGATGTCGTCGATTCTGCGTCGTCGGTCAGCGAGTGAGAGCGACAGATAAGGATGGGTCTTACAGTAGTGACGAATTGTGCAGGTCCTCGATGATAGCGACAATGCCATCGACCCACGTCTGAGGCAGGTTCAAGTGGTAGTTGAAAGCCTGGAGCAGAGCCTTGCGAAGACCCTTGCCCGAGAGAACCTCGCGGTAGTACGAGAAAGGTTCGAGAAGTTTGCCCTGTATTAAGAAGTTAGCTATGGCTTTCGCGAAGAGCTCTGCGTTGCTAACCTCGTCGTTCTTAGTGATCTCCGACTTGTCAGTAGAAAGTGTCGCTGAGACAGGGGGAAGTTGGACGTGGTCCAACCTCGACAGATCCACTGAGGGTTTACGGGTGAATAATCTTGAGAGGAGCCCGGATACGCCATTAGACATGCCGTTGACTGAGCTCATGACGCTGACGGCCATCGTGTCGACAAGATGCTAGGAAAAGGTGAAGGAAGGGGCTGGGTAAAGCGACAACCGAGCCTGTAAGTTTTTAATGGAGCGGATTGCCCCGCCTTCCCGTGTTGTGAGTGGCCCATAGGCGGAAAGAGGCGGGGAGTGGCTGGCGTACCGCTACACACCGTCCCAACATAGTACGTTGCCTTCCTTATAAGGAAGGTGGCGGTCGGCGAATCGGCGCGTGGAGGAACCCGCGGTAGCCTATTGTGGTCATGGGCGGCTGGCTGCGTTCTTCGCAGAACCGAGACAGCATGTTCAAAGACCAGCCTCGCACACGCCCCCCTCTTCCACACCTACCCCCGTCGTCATCGTCGACGCCAACGCTGAACGAAAACAATGGCTCCTTTCTCTGAGGCCGACATCCCTGACCTCACCGGGCGCATCGCCATCGTCACCGGAGGCAATTCCGGTATCGGCAAGCAGACCGTCAAGGTCCTGCTCTCGAAGGGCGCCAAGGTCTACCTGGCGGCGCGCTCGGAGGAGAAGGCTCGCCAGGCGATTGACGAGATCCATGCCGCTGACCCTTCGACCAAGAAGGGCACGGTCGAGTTCCTTAAGCTCGACCTGAGCGAGGCGAAGAAGGCGAAGGCTGCTGCTGAGGACTTCAAGTCGTGAGTGTGGCCGCCTGACTACGACCTGACCATTGCTGAGCGCTGTCGAGTAGGCGCGAGAGCAGCTTGCACTTGGTGAGTTTCGCAGTGTTTTCGGACGAATTCTCCGCGGTTTCTCACGCATTGGGTAGCTCTACAACAATGGCGGAATCATGGGTGTTCCGGCTGGTAGCAAGTCGGCTGACGGCTACGAGCTCGTACGTTGTATGCAGACAACCCGTGCTTTCAGTGACTAACCTCGCTCTTCAGCAATGGGCGACGAACGTCTTTGGCCCCTTCGTCTTCACCTACCACTTGCTGCCTGTTCTCCTTGAGACCGCCAAGACGTCTCCCCCGGGAACGGTCCGTATCATCAACACCTGTTCCAGCGGTGCCGGTCAGGCGCCCAAGACCGGAATCCCGCTCGATGACCCGACCGTAGGTGCCGGCGCTTCGCACTCGGCTTGCTACGGCCACAGCAAGCTCGGCGACCTTCTCTGGACCCGCGAGCTGGCCAAGCGCTACACTGACCAGGGCGTCTGGTCGTTTGGCCCTCACCCGGGGCCGGTTCAAAGCAACCTCACCCATCACTTGGGCATTCCCAAGCCTGTCATGTGGATTCTCAACGTAAGATCAATACCTTTTCCTCTGTGATGCGGTATATTGACATCCATCTGACACGTACCCAGCGCACGGTGTTCAAGCCGGTCGAATACGGGGCCTTGACCCAGTTGTTCGCTGGCACCTCGCCGACGCTCACCGCAGCTCAGAGCGGCTCCTACCTTGTCCCTCTGGCGAAGATCGAGCCCAAGCTGCCGCACGCGCTTGCCGGCGACGATGCGCTGGCCAAGAAGGTGTGGGACTGGAACATCGAGGCCATGAAGAAGGCCGGCGCGGACTAAACGACCCACCGCCGCGTTCGAGTCGCCAAATTATACCACTTGCATGCTTGCATCGTTCTTGTTGTCATTTGCTCCTGGACCCTGCATTTTGTTGGATACGCATATAAGATTCCTTGTAATCATAATAGATTTGCTTGTTATGCAAACCCTTACTATAAACGTTCTCTTCTGCCGTCGACCACATGATGACTCGCGTGAGACACAGGATGCAATTGAACGCCACATCCACTGTTTAACTGGAAATCCATCACCTCCGAATGTCATCAATACTGAGTACTCATTGGTCTAGAGACCGAACGTGTTCGCCCCTGGAATGCCCGAGTACAAACGATTCCCTGGCCGTGGAATGCTATCAGTTCGACCCGCCACTTACTCTTTTCTGTCATCGACGGCCGGGTCCGGAGGGTTCCGACGCAATGTTTCTCAGGGCACCCACGAAGACATCCTCAGCGAATGTTCGCGTATGGTTGGGGCGATGCATCGAAAGCGTACCTGCCACAAGCGGCCGCCCTACCCAAGCTTAGCCTATCACCGGAAGAGATGAATAAACCAAAGCCTTCAACAGGGCAACCTCGAGGCTCTCTCTGACCTCGACTTCATCATCTTCTCAATCTCTCCAGGCAGCCATGTCGGTCGCACAGCCAGATGGGACGCAGGACGCGTTCGGGCTCATCACGCGTCGGGCAGCGATAGTATTGTATGCAATTCCGTGTTGCCTTTTCTCGCGAGGCGAGCTGACGTTACGGCAGCGTATTCATCTATGCACTTCGCGCTATTGTCGCCCGTTACCGCCGCCGGTCCTCCATCATGGACCTCATCCCGGGACCGGAATCCTCATCGATTTTGGCTGGAAACATGTTGGAGCTGTCGACGACGGGAGCCGGATCCCGCGTCTTGGACTGGAGGAAGGAGCACCACAACAATACCGTGCTCAAGATCAAGGGCCCGTATTTCGCCGTACGTGGTTTCCGTACGGTCGTTCATTCGAACGCGACGGTCTGACATTCCCTATCACTGGCACAGGGCGACGGCTTGTTCATCTCGGATCCTACGGCATTGTGGAAGATCTACGACACGAACGCGACGTTCCACAGGCCGCCCTCTATGACCGCCTTAGGCGAGAAGTTGGTTGGCAAGGGCGGTATCATCTTGTCTGAGGGCGAGGCGCACTATCGCATCAAGCGCGTCATGCAGGCGAGTTGCAATATTTCTTCTGCGGGAAACTGTGCATTTATGCTGATACCTTGCAGCCTGCATTCAATGCTAGCAACGTTCGCGCTTTGCTTCCTCGCTTCAGACACGGCGCGTTAGCGGTATGTCTCGTTTCTTCACCAAATATAAGGACGAGACTGACTCGGTACTCAGCTCGTCGATGCTTGGGGTAGTCTTGTCGACCGCGAGGAAAAACAGGCAGCTGTCATTGATGTCTTCGAGTAAGAAGCTTGACCCCTCGGTAAGATGCGATGTTTCTGACGGATGACAAAGCTGGCTAGGCGCGTCCGCTCTGGACATGATCGGTCTCGCGGCGTTCGGCACGAAACTCGGAGCGGTGAACAAGATGCAGGGCGGAGAGAGCATCTCAGATCTCGCAGACGCGTACAAGGGTGTTCTGTAAGTGCTCATAGGCGTGTCCACGATGACTGAGGGGTTGATCATAGTCGTATCAGTGATGCCATGGGCGCCGAAGAAACCGCTGCTTCTATTTTCATTCGCTACAGCCCGGCGTGGCTGATCTCCATCCTCACCTTGTTCCCTAACAAGCTCATGCAAGTTGTTGTGCAGTCTCTGTCCCGAGCGCACGATGTAAGAACCTTGCCTTCACTTCCTTCAAACGGATCTGTCCAACGTTGCACATCACCCAGGTCGCGAGTACCTTGATCCAGGAGCGTCTCAAGGACATTCAGGACGGCGCCACCAGCGTGGACTTGGAAGGTGCCGGTAACGATGCCTTGACCATGATGCGTAAGCCCGGTCCAGCCTTTAGCTTGATCTTGGTACGATGACATTATCGCAGTGAAAGCCAACTTATCCAACGATGCGAAGATTCGTTTGTCGATGAACGACATGACGGCCCAGATCACGTCTATGTGAGTATGCTCTTCAATGCAGCTTCAGGATTATATGCTTATGCCGCGTTGCAGCTTGTTCGCAGGACATGGTGAGCGTCATATAGGGCACTTATTGATCTGGAGCTTGCGCTAACGTTATGCGTGATATCGAAGGTTCCTCCGCTGCTTTGTATGTCGTCTGCCTCTGTCTCTTTTTGCCACGACCTCACATCCGTACAGCATGTCCTGGGCTCTGTATCAGCTTGCGCACGACCAGTCCCTTCAGGAACGAGTCCGGGAGGAGATTCTCGCGCATACATCCCAGTATGACGCCGAGGAAGACGCGAACATCTTCTCCGGCAAGGATATGCCGCTTTTCGATGCGTTCATCAAGGCGAGTACCCGCTTGCCGTCCCGTTTGTATGAAACCCTAAACGCATGTCATTCTTCAGGAGGTCATGCGATTTTACCCTGTCGTCCACTTCAACGAGAAGCAAGCGGCGTCCGACACAGTGCTGCGCCTATCGCAGCCTTTGACTCTGGCGGACGGCCGTACCGTCAACGAGATTACCGTTGAGAAGGGCACCATCGTCTACGCGGATATCGTTTCGTACAACTACTCTGAAGAGGTGTGGGGAGATGACGCGGGGAAGTTCAACGTCGATCGGTGGATGAAGGAGGGAGGTGGCCCTGGCTGGAACCCGAACGCGAAGCTGGCACCCAGCGTCTACTCTGGCCTCTTCAACTTTATCGCCGGACCAAAGTGAGTCTGATTGGCATCCCATATTTTTCGATGTTTCTAACCTTTCTGTGAATAGGGCGTGTTTGGGGTATGTGTATTCGTAGCGGTTCGTGTGGGACTGATTGACTGACTTCGACATTGCTACGCATCGTTCAGCTGGCGTTTCCTGTGAGTGCTCATGATGCTCGGAACGATGTCTCGACTCAACGTATTCTGCCAGCATTCTCGAGTCGCAAGCCATGCTCTTCGAGCTCATCAGGAACTTCAAGTTCACCCCGTATGGAACGAAACCGATACACAAGCGCATGCAAATGGTGATGGTCCCCGCCATCGACAAGAACGGCGAGCTAGTGGTGGAGATGCCGCTGGTGGTCACGAGGGTGTAAGATAAACTATCCACGCCAGTTATCCGCGGTTGCACGGTATGTCCGTTCTAGACCTACCTCGCAATGCATCGCACCGAACTATGCTTCTTCAGTCGCAATCTGCATTCTCTACCTGCTAGAATGTATGTACACCAGATCGTAATCTTAAACTAGGCCCCCACGCGTCCCCACGATTTCCTCAAACGGTCAACGACGGCGTGCTTCTTCCACTGTGCAAGTCCACCTGCTGACGTAGGGGGCATATGCATGATCTCAGCCATCAATACAATAAGTAAAGACGTGTGAAAGGCATCGAGAGAGAACTGCGAGAGTGCGCAATCAGCTACACCCTGCACCATGGCGTCCACAGTCCCTACGTTCACGCTGAACAATGGCACGACGATCCCTGCTATCGGCATGGGGTATGCGATGCTCGGTCGCGACTCAGATCGTCACAATCATTCATCGCCCCCACTTTAGGTGTTCAATGCACTCGCAAGGAGGAGGCGATCGCGTCGAAGAGATGGTCAGGAAGTCGCTAAAGGTGAGAGGCTTCCGAGTCTACTGCGTCTCATGCGAGTGACAAGACATGCCACACAGCACGGCTATCGCCATTTTGACACGGTGAGCAAGTGAAACCCCCCGCATTGACCTGTGCATTGACTGGAAAGCTATTTTAGGCGTCCATCTCTGGTATGTCCAATGCATATACCACCGCATCGGCTCACGCGTTATGTAGCCAATGAGGAAAACCTCGGAAAGGCGTTGAAGGAGTCAGGCATTCCGCGGAAAGAGCTCTATGTTGCCACCAAACTATGGTGCGTGAGTTAAGCCATTGATTTTTCCATCGACATGACCAAATAATGAACAGGAACAACGAACATCACAAAGTCCAGGAGGCTTTCGAGGCGTCACTGAAGAGACTCGACACCGAATACATTGACCTGTACGTCGCCGCTCTGATATGTGCACAGCACCTTCTGAAACGCTGTGTGATAGATATCTCATGCACTGGCCTCAGGCCGTAATCAAGGGCACTAACTGGTTCGATCGTAGGTCGCTGTGCCCTGGTACCCTATTATGGAACGTGCCTTACCATCCGAGCAGCCCCCGTTCAACCGGAGGAGAGCCCAACGTACGTCGAGACTTGGAAAGAAATGGAGAAACTGCTGGCGACCGGTGAGTGCCTGGTGCCTGATAGACGATCGCGACGCGTCGCGTGAGCCTTGACAATATTGTGGTTTAGGGAGGGTTAAGAGCATCGGTGTCTCCAACTTCTCCATCAAGACACTGGACCACCTGATCAAAAACTCGACCGTCGTCCCTGCGGTTAACCAGGTCGAGATGCACCCTTGTTTGCCCGAGAACGAGTTGAAGGAGTACTGTGACTCAAAGGGGATCCTTCTCGTCGCCTACTCTCCTCTCGGTACATCTTTCGCTTGCATATATCTCGATTCTTGCTCATACACGCACTTCTCAGGCCAATCGAACCCGCTCTTGCTCGCCGAGCCTACGATCACCTCGGTCGCCGAGAAGCACAACGCTACCCCCGCCCAGGTGCTGTTGAGCTGGGCAGTGCAGCGCGGTACCGCTGTTATCCCAAAGACCGAGAACGAGGACAGGATGAAAGCTAACCTCCAGGTGCGCTCACCCCCCCAACGAGTCGATTCCTAGTTCTTTCGACAGACCTGATTTGAATGACTGAGCAAACCGTTACAGCTTCTTAAACTATCCGAGGACGACATGGCTGCCGTGAACGCGATCCACAAGAAGCCGGGGATGCACAAGTCAATCTCTGTCGTGCACACCTTATCCGATGATGGTACCGTGTTCGGGTGGACCTATGAGCAGCTGGGATGGAACATGGTCAAGGGCGGTATCGTGCCGCAGTGAATCAAGGACCCTCCCGGCCTCCGGAGAGTAATGTATGATGACACTGAAGTATCATGAGAAATAGTGTAATACCACAGATGCCTCTTGAATGATGGATGTCTCCGCAAGAGACGCTTTCGGTCGTCAGATATGGGTGTGATACGAGAGTCTCCGGGCCACGACTGCTTTTACGGCCGCCATTCATACCTGCAAGCGGCGGTGAATTACTAAAACGACATTGATTGTCCGGCCGCTGTCTGCTAGGTGCCGAATGCAACTGGACTTGCCCACCACGTGTTAATTCATCATAAACTAACTTGATCAGCCTCGTAATCGGTACGACCCAGGTACTAAGCCCGGTCTTGCGCCCATTCTTGTGAATATAACAGATGGTGTGGATGAGTGATACTGATTTCCTCCACATGACATTGGCACCGGAGAACAATAATGCGTATGAAGTACAACGTTAAAAATGCAATGCGATGCGATTTAGACCTCGTCCCAACGCTTGACAACGACGTGACTGTACTTCGGGGACAGCGTCAGGCCCTCCGTGATGTCCCACTTGTCGAGGTGCCCCGGGACCTTGTCCAAGAAGAAGGTCGCGCTCAGAATGGCGAGGTACAGCTTGAGGTCCAACATCTGGATGCGGTCATATGAGCAACACGCGTCGTATAGTACAACCAACCGCAGTAGCGAGCATACCGCGAGTTTCTGGCCGTAGCAGCCGCGCGGGCCGGTGGAGAACGCGAGGTTGGGGCCGGCTTTGGCGTCGAATTTGCCGTCGGCGTCGATCCAGCGCTCGGGCACGAACTGCTCCGCGTCGTCGCCCCAGTAGCCGAAGCGGCGGACGGACGACTTGGAGCGGACGTTCGCGAGCGCGTCCTGCGCCGCGCGATCCTTGGACGTCTCGGAGAAGGAGGTGCCGGTGATGGTGAAGAGGATGGTGGTGCCCTTGGGGATGTGATGGCCGAGGATAACGGTGTCGGTCAGGGCTGTGGGTGTACACGTGAGCTGAGGGTGAAGAGAGAGGACGGGAGAGGGGAGGGACGTACTCTCGCGGGTGGTGAGGTTGGCGAGGCGGGAGAAGCGGAGGATCTCGTTGGCGACGGCGTCGAGGTAGGGGGTCTTGTCCGAGTTGACGTCGGCGAAGGTCGTGAGCGGGGCGTCCTCGTCGAGGGCGGAGGGGATGCCGGCGTTGACGAGCTCGTCGTGCAGCTTCCGCTGCTTCTCCGGGTGAGCGGCGAGCAGTTTCACGACCCAGCGGAGGGCGACCGCGGTGGTCTCGGTGCCGCCGATCATGTACGTCCAGAGCTCGTCCTGGAACTCCGCGAGGGGCATTTTGATGTTCGCATTGGATTCCTGGCGTTCGAGACCGGCGATGAGGTCCACGACGCAGTTGGCGTTTTCGACATCGCTCGTTTCGGCCTTGATCCGCGCCTCCGTGATCTTCTCGGCGAGGAACTTCCAGACGGTAGTCTTCGCCTTTCGGTAGTCCGCGCGGCGGCGGACGAAGAAGTGGTAGTAGCGGGGGAAGAGGGAGTTGATGGTCTTGCCGGCGTACTGCGAGAGATCTCAGCCACCAGTCGAAGTCGAAAGATAAGGATGATTTACCTTCAAGAGAAGGTTGTTCGCCTCGTGGATGTCACTGGTGGGGCCGACGATGTTCTCCGGGGTGGGCTCGATCCCTTGCGCCTTCAGTTCTGACACCTTCTGCTCTGCCCATTTCCTCTGCAGGCTGATCAGTACATTGAGTCGGGGCACCGCGTATGAAACTGACCTGCTGAGAGACGAGTCCGAAGGATTGTCCGAAAGTGAGCTCAGAGAGCGTGTCCTATATTTAGATGGGTGAGCGGTGACGTCATGGCGTAGGTGCACTAAATTTACGGTGATCGAAATCTCGAAGTCGACGGTCGGGTCAAAGGCTTCGCCCCTCAAGTAGTTGCGCTTCTTGTCCCAGAAACGATACAGCTCGCGCGCGTTCCACGACATGCCAGGGGTCATGGCCGAGAGGTATTTCTGGGTCATGGCAGGGGTCAAGAACCGGCGGTGGTTCTTGAACTCGGTGTCTGCATGGAATGGGTCGGTACGGATGCTGCATCGCGAATATTGGAGCGCTCACCCGTCTTCAACGCGATTTGTCCATGCGGGATGAACTGGTCGAAACTGCGGGACGGCGAAGTCAGCATTCAAGACTGGCTGCACTCGTGGATCGCGAACTTACCGAGAGATCATGTCGTCGGATCGGTCAAACTCCTTGGTTCGCCGGAGGAGAATGTCCTCCGTCTCCTGAATGTCGCTCAGGACGATAATCTTCGTCGAAGGTCCCATCTGAACCTGCCCGATAGGGCCCAGGTCCCTGGCGACGATGCCGAACCAAGTCGACCGGAACCCGGTTTCGCGGACGTGCGCGAGTACGCGTCCAAGGTCTCCAAACGGTCTAACGGGGTAGTGGGGGATACCGGGAAGCGGCTTGGGGGTGACGAGCCAAAGCGCCAGGCGGTAGATGAGCCAGACGCCCGCGGGGACGCTGACCCAGACGGGGAGGCTGGTGACGGCGTTGACGGCCGACGCCAGGGGGGGAGGCAGAGTCTGGGACGACATGGCGCGCGATGCGAATGGGAGTCGACCATCGCCCGCTGAGATATAAAACCCCACCGTTGATGACTGCCTCCATCCCGCACACCCAGCCGGTATGGGTCCGTACCACCGCCCGAAACGGAAACATGCACAGCCACATATCAAGCCCGTTTTGGCTTGCGACGTCCGCATGCGATGTCATTCGCCCATGCTGACACTGCCTATATCGCGTTTCTCGTTGGCTCCCGGCCCCGATGATAGCTTCTAAAAGGCCACCGGGTCTGCTGATTCGCTCCCGCCACTTTCTATAGACCATGTCGTTCCTTGGGCTCCCCCCCTCCCTGACGCTGACCGCCCTGGTCGTCTTCACCGGCCTGCTCTATGCCCAGCACCGACGCCAGCCGAAGGAGCCAGGACGCCCGAAGGTGGCCCCGTACTGGATCCCATGGATCGGCAGTGCGCTGAGCATGGGCCTCGATACGGACGGTTTCCTGCTTAAGAATGCGTAAGTGCCGTCCAGTTCCAGAAAGATCTTCTTCGAGGCTGACAACGTCGTTGTTAGACGCCGTTACGGTCCCGCTTTCTTTGTCGACGTTATCGGCGTTCGGTTTTTGTACATCGTTCACCGGGACCCCATCAAGTGGGCGCTGCGTCGGCCTCGTGACATTTCAATCCGCAACGTCGAGTTCGACTCCCTGCAAGCCATCTTTGACATCTCGAAGGAAGCTGCAGCTCAAGAGACCGCGAACGCTGTCGCTTTCAAGACACTCTCCAGGTTCGCCAACGAACTTGTTGAAGTGCGGTGCGGATTTCTCACGCTCACGTTAGGGACACCACGAAGTGGAGTGTCAAGCCTACTGTAGCATGCTTCAACGAAATATTCCAGAACGGTGTTGAGGAACTCAAGGCTGGTTTCACGAAAGATGAACTTGCGAACGGCAAGGTCATCGGCTTTGCCGACGTCTTCCTCCCCGTCATGTACGCAGACAACCTTTAGCCATTATGATCCTATCTGATGTGTTGTCTGCAGCTACAACGCCTTCTCCAAGGCGGCTCTCGGTAGGAACTACGCCGGCACGCCGTTCTGGAAGTCGCACAACGAGTTCCACGACGCATTTCCCGTCCTCTTCTCTGGCATGCCAAAGATCCTCGCGGGCGCCGGTATTAAGGGTGAGTCTCTCTCACTTACATGTCGATATAGGGCGCTCATGGTATTACGGTAGGTCGCGATCACCTGTGGAAGGAGACGTATAAGCTGCTGCTCGAGCACCTGAAGACAGACGACCCCAAAGCCCACGACGGGCCGATCTTCATGAAGATCCTTGCCAAGGTGATCGACCAGCAGCCGGACATGGACATGCACGACGCTGCGAAGATGGTCAACCTCTACATGTTCGCCGGCGATAACATCGGTCTCGGCTCGTTCTGGATCGTGTCCCGCATCCTCGCCCACACCGGACTGTACGCGCAGCTCTCCGCCGAGATCGAGCGCGCGTGGCAAGGGTTCCGCGCGCGCACGCCTACCATCGTCGTGGCCAAGTCCGAGGGTGACGTCGGCGTCGAGCGCCCGGTGACGTTCGCGGACATGCTCAACGACCTCGAGACGCTCGACCGCGACCTGCCGCTGCTGAACAGCGTGTTCAAGGAGATGACCCGCTTCCACGGCAAGCAGATGTTCGTCCGCCGCGCGGAGACGGACATGCTCCTCCCCGTGGGCACCGACGACGAGCCGGACAAGACCGTCGTCGTCCAGAAGGGCGACAACATCATCCTGTACATGCGCCCGACCCACTTCCGCGAGGACACGTTCAAGGACCCGCACACGTTCCGCCCGGACCGGTTCGTCTCCGTCGACGGCAAGGACGTCGGCGAGATCGACGAGAGCAAGTCCGGGTTCATGGTTCCCTTCGGATTCGGCACGACCGTCGTGAGTCACCTCTTCCTCGCAGCCCGCACCTCCGCGCTCTTCCTCACCGTCGCGTTTTAACAGTGCCCCGGCCGCTACCTCGCGTCGTTCGAGATCAAGAGCGTCGTGATCTGGCTCCTGCACGCGTTCGACATCGAGCACGCCGGCCTCACCGGCCTGTCTCGCTTCCTTCCGCACCAGACCGCGGGCATGGACAAGCCCGTCTGCCGCCAGAACCTCGCGACGTTCGGGACGCCGCTCAGCATGCCGTTCGGTGACCAGCTCGTCAAGCTGAAGCCCAAGGCCATCTGAGCGCGAGCGTAACGCTTGATCCAACGTTGGTTGTTAGTCCCGTCGTGTGTTCCTCAACGCATCGCATCAGTAGACCGGTGTACACGAGGTCCCATGCAGGGGTCGTTATAGTCTATCGTTTCTTATCACATTGTATTCTTCTCCAAATAAGGCGGTGACATTCCCTTACCTGTGGAGAACGCAGTTCGAGCACCAACCAAAGCACCGTAAGTCGCGCGGACCGACGAGTCACGCGCGGTATGCAAGACAAAAAAGAGGGATCTGTGCTACGGCCGGCGGAGAGAGGTTGCACGCCCAGTTTATGTGCACAAATCTTCCCAACGGCGCAGGGGCGAGACTGCACCCAGATGCGCCCCCCTGCTGATTTGACCCGCGGTCCGTGGCGGTTGAGGTAATTCTGGATGCTTACCAACAGCCCGCGAGATACGTCGATTCTGTGGCAACCGGTGATCATGAGGTCACCACTCGCAGCGTAGCGACTGTGACAGACTCCGCGCGCAAGGTTGGTCGGTCAAATAGTTCCTGATGGGAAAACGTGGGGTAGAGTGCTGTTCTTGAAAGCCTGACGCCCTGAACCCATCTTGCGGAAGCTTTTTTTGTATGTGTATGTATTGAGAAAACCTTCCCGACAATGCCGCAAGTTGCTTGCTTCGCCTTGTAGCCGCTGTATGAGGATCTGCCCCCGCATATAGAGACATGAGCAAGTTTAGACCTGCTCCCGATGAAATCTCCGGGAGTATAGGAAGGCTTTGAATGAAAGCCTCGTGCTCGTTCCAGCGCCGATTCGGTGAAGCTATGTACGATCCAGGTACAGTAGGCAAATCTCTGGCGCGCCGGCCCGGACACGATCGCAGTCCCCTTCTGATGAATTTGTCGTCATCTGTAAATCCGGCCGTCGCGAATTTGCGTTCGAGGTCGCGCAATGCATGTCAAACGCCGTCCATGTGCACGCTCGAGTGCTGGAACAAAGCTCGCGACACTGGGGGATCTAGGCCGTCGTTGTAGGATACACGCGTGCGGCATATGCGGACGCTCGTCAAGCCCGGTGAGACACCGCACATGATAGTATAGGATGCAGCTGAGTGAAGCGGTACATTCTCCGCGCGCGACTGTGCCTGCTACATGTTTTGATGTGGGGGGACCGGGGCTCCTTTAGTCGCAGTCGTCGTCGTAATCGGGCCGTAGAATGATCCCTTTGATGTGACTTGTCTACGTAACCCACGCGCGACGTCGTAGGTTACGTTCTTGACCGATGACGCAGAATTTTGGCGTGGGCGATGATGCAGATGCAGAACATTTGAGGGTGCCGTCTCTTGATACGACTAACGAGGTAAATATAGGATAGATTTGAATAGCAAGGTTCGATCCATGCGGAGCGCACACGCAAAGATTAGAGACGAATGAGCTTGCAAGTTAAAGCACTATAGCACCGGAAAACGAGGACTGCGCCGGCGGTTGGTTACGCACGATGGAAAGAAGCGCTCGGGGAGATGTGACGTGAGCGAATGGCGGTCGCACCGCCACCATGATTCATGATGCTTCTCCCAGCGGCTGTCACTGCGACGCTGCCTTTAGCTCGTCGTCCGTGATGTTCTCCGTCGGCAAGCCACTTTGCAATACACCGCAGACCTCTCTTTATGGAAAGGAGCGAAAATACGCACCCGTTATTCGGGGTTTCTGCGCGGACGCCGGATCCCGCAGAGTCGGAATGACGCCTCGACTGTGCCCCGCCCTGCTCATCCTCCTCTCGCAAGCGTAGTGCCCCACATCGAGACGCGTTCCGTGAGAGCGGTACACTCTCTTCACCGATGTAGCCTAGGAGACCGCTAGCACTTTGCATTGGCCCGCCCACCACTCGATTTGGGGAGGGGACGCTTTGGCGCCCCTCTGGCCGATGTTCTCTGCGAGGGGCGAGCAAGGTTAAGAAGCAGGGAGCGCTGCTTCGAGCATTCATCGAGCTCAGCGACACCGGGCACTTTCAAGACCTCATGGCACGCGCTTTCTTGCTTCCTGCCCTTCTTGCGGCCTTCGCCGGTGGACTCGCCTCCGCGCAGAACGCGACCGACGACAACGCTGCCGCATGTGCTGACATCGCGAGCAAAATTTCGAGCGCGTCCGAGGTGTTCTACCCCAGTGAGTTGCCTATGGTCTCGTCGGCGCTGCGTGCGACGATGTTAACGCGCTTACCTCGACAGATACTACGGAGTACACCGCCGATATCACTCTGCCAGCGAGTTTTTTCAACCGCGCGAACGCAACGTGCGTCGTTGAGCCCGGATCCGATGAAGATGCCGCGATAGTGGTAAGCGTCTTGCGCCAATGCATCCGTTCATGGTGCTCACGTTGCGCCGGCGTCTTCACTAGATGACGTCTCTGCGCGAGCACTCGAATGCCGTTTTCGGTATCATGGGTGGTGGCCACAATCTGTTAGTCGCCTTTTCCGACGTCCAGTTATCCGAAAACGGAAGCTGACTTCTTTTCTCCCGGATAGGAATGCCGGCTTCTCGTCCACCACCGGCGTGCTCGTCGCCCTCCGGCGCTTCGACGAAGTCACGGTCATCCCTGCACCTGGAGATAACAACCAGGTTGCGCTGGTCAATATCGGTGCTGGCCAGACCTGGGACCAGGTCTTCGCCCAGACCGTACCCCAGGGCGTGAACGTTGTCGGTGGTCGCTTCGCTACCGTTGGCGTCGCAGGTATCTCGCTCGGTGGTGGATACTCGTGGATTTCTAACGAGCATGCGCTGGCCATCGACAACGTTGTCTCCTACACCTGGATCTCGCCCAAGGACTCGTCCATCAACAACGTCACCGCCGAAAGCAACCCCGACGTATTTTTCGCGCTCAAAGGTGGCCTCAACAACTTCGGTCTGGTGACCAAATTCCAGACGCGCGGGTACAACCAGACTAACAAGGTCTGGGCCGGCACCATCTACACCCAACCTGGTGTATCCGACGAGGTCGCAGAAGCTCTCGCTGACTTCTCGGAGAACAACACGGACGTGAAGGCGCAAGTTGTCGGCACGTTCGCTCGCGGCAGCAACTCGGTGCGTTTTTCTTCAAATGAACGTGTTTCGGTGCTAATAAATCCTGCCTTTGTATAGTCTTTCGAGGTTTTGGTTCTGCACTACAACGCGGAGACTCCAGAGCCGCCCGCCGTCTTCGAGAAGTTCTTGAGGTACGCCCGACGTGGTTGCGATCCGGCGATCATCTCTTGCTTACCCTGTTGTTCAGCTTCCCGCGCCAGAATCAGTCCGACTTCTTCCTGCGTACCTTCGACAACTTCACGAGCGCCTCTCTCCAGACCATCACCTTCCTTAATGGCGAGCGGTAAGTGCCCCCGTATCTAGTACCTAGCGATATGCTCAACTCTCGGTATAGCACCCGCTACTCTACTCTCGCCGTTGAGGGCCACCCGCTCAGTGTCGTGAAGGCCTTCCAGAACCAGCGCGACACCCTCGGCCCACAGCTCGAAGCCCTCGACCCGACGTTCTTCGGCTCCTGGACCGTCGAGCCGTTCATCAAGTCCTACTGGGACACCGCCGTTGAATCCGCGACGCCGCACAGCTCCGAGCACGTCCTCTTCCCGCCCAACCTCGAGTACACCTGGAACGACCCCTCGCTGAACGACTTCATGTTCGAGTCGCTCGCCAACTCGACCAACGCGCTCATCCAGGCCGCGCTCGATGCGGGACAGAACGTGTCGACGCAGATCATCTACCCCAACTACGCCCAGCCCCAGACCCCGGTCGAGCAGTTCTACGGCCAGAACTTGCCCCGTCTGCAGCAGATCCGCGCGACGGTCGACCCGGAGAACGTGATGGCGCGTGCTGGCGGCTTCAAGATCCAGTAAACGGGCTGCAGCTTCGCTAAGGCGCTTCGTGCCCCTCCAAGTTCATCGATAGATGATGTTCGGTTGGTTATCTAATTATGCTCTCGATAACTGGCGCTGTCCTATATATCTTGCTCTCGACTCATACAATCCTTTCCATGGTCTAGCGATGCATTGTCAATCATGGACCGATATCTCATAACTTGGTTACAAGTCGGTAATCGCATGTAACTATTAGTATATCGCACTCTTAATAACTATCACGAAGACAAAAAGACCTCGCTTTGGATCTCAGTATCACATTAGTGTTCTGGCCATGATAAAGGATAAGGCCTTCGATTAGCTGTGGCAGTAATGGGGAGCGTCGCGTTTCTTGACCTGGGGAGATGTTTATCCCGCTTGCGTCCCTTTAAGAAATGGAATGAACACCGCGAGAGCTGCCGTGCATGATCACATTGTGAAAGCAGAAATATATTTAGTAACAGGAAGGTACTAGAGTAGACTTCCGAATTCGAATGCTACGGATCACAAGGACGCAACGTGAGCTTGACGAGAGCTTCAACCTATGGTGTTCACCGCTGCAGATCAAGCCCTCCACGACGCCTGTCGTGCTCTCTCTCCAGCCGTTTGTAGTGCTTCTGCGCGCCCGCGGACATGAGTTCGTCCACGACGTAAAATTCATGGCATTTCGCGCAGGTGTGATTGCCCACCCTCGTCTGGGGATCGTTGTAATGCCCGCATTTTCTGCACAGATTGTGGTAAGGGGTGTTGGGGAACGACGGGGGCGCATTCTGGTTCGAGGAGGGCATGGCGTCTACTGCCGACGTGTGAGCAGCCAATCAGGAGAAATCAAGGATCCGGGGACGCACTCGAAGTGAGTTTATGTGGAGTTCAGGGTGGGTTGAAGTAGAGGAGGATCGAAAGGCTGTGATACTGTTATGCTGCTGCAAAAAGTTGCTCGTTATATACTGCGAGCGCTGGTGTGGTAGTCGTGGCATGAATGGGCGACATGGCCATTCGCAGAGCCATAGCTGGCGGCAGCGAGCTGACTGGGAGACATGGCCAAGCCAAGTGAGCATGTTGACGCAGTGAGACATTGCAAGATGCGGGTGGGCCAGGCTACAAGTGGACCATTCAAAACATGGCAAGCCGGCTAGCCATCGCATTTGTGGCAACCATGAAACATGACCAACAAGGACTGAAAAGGCCCTATCAACGCGAGACCTCGGGACAATCGTAGTCACAAATTCAAGCACGTTTGGAGACTCCTTGAGCAGAAGACGTACTATCATGCAGAGGTCTGACTCAAACTCGGTATCGCCAGGGTGATTCTCCACTGAATACGTGGGTAGTAAGCGCGAGGAGCACACACAGACCAGAGGTAATGTCCCGGGGTACGCGTGCGAAAGCCTGACGTTGAGAAAGACGAAGCCAAAAGAGCTCCAAGAGCAGAAAGACAAGTCGCTATTGCAAATGTTGGCATGTTGTGAATCCAGGCCACATTGTACCCTCAGGCCAACTGTGTAGCAATTACTAGTAGTAAAGACGGTCGCTATGCGGTCATTCCGAGCTTGGCGAGGATTTGCGGCCACAGTGAAACCGCACGTGAGTTTAACAATGTTCAATGTTTGGCTGTTTTGTCACAGCAGCCTCAATATTTCGCGCCATACTGCTTATCGCTGGATCAACCGTTCCCGAAATCGTTTGAAGTTACAAGCAACAAACCAGGCGAGGATTGGGTCGGCGAACCGAACCCCTTTCCACTGCCCACTGCCAGTTGACATTGTCGTTGTCAGAGCAAATCACGGTCACATGATGCTGATCGTTATCATTCAAATTGCTTGTTGTAGCTTGCGACGAGGATACTTGTGTTTCGCAGGCCAGTCATATGAGAGTCAACGCGCCGTTGCAGTGTTTCTATACATCGTTGTATTCAAATGGTCTTGCCTGACTGTGCCTTGGCTCGACACTGAACTTGATCGGCTGTTGGTGAACGAATCTTACTTTCGAGACACGTTCGGAGCGTTTGATAATGAATCACACGGCCGCCACAGACGCGACGACGATGTTGCCTTCTGCCCGGGAGTTCGAAATGGACGTGGAACCGACCTCCATTCATCTCCACAATTGGCCATTTTCGCGGATCGCCTCGTGGATCGCGGCCACCACCGGGCCAACACCCTTCCTTGAATGGTGATCATAATGAATCACGATCACGTGGCCAGAAGAGGACAAAGAACGCCTGGCTGAACGAACCTGTGTTCTGACCACCTCGCCACTCTACCATCGCCCACACCTCCCCCCCCTCTCAGTGGCTTCCTCTGATACTTAGGCCACCGGCATTCTCTATAAGTAACTGCGGTGAGTTTCGATTTCACGCCCTCCCAGCTAAACGATCATTAATTTCACCATGGCTTCCAGTCGTACTTGTACTCCGCCACCCCCGACAACACATACACCCAACACCGAAACTCCTCTGAGGCCGAAGACTGCTCCTTCCCACCCGCTATCTAGCAGTAAAGCTACTAACCTGGACGTGACGAACCGCGCCATCCAAACCGAATTAAAGGGTGTCATGTTGGAAGACGTGGCAGGACTTCCGGAGGCCGTGTTCCCGTCGTCCTCGCTTCCAGTGGATATTGAAGGCGCCCTTAAGCATCTGTCTTCTGAGACCGTCGGCCAATATAGCTCAGGCTTATGGACCAACCTCACTCGACAGGCGTTGTCAAACGTCGTAGTCGCGGAACGAGACGCGCATGTCTGTAACCAGCTCAACAACATCGTGGAAGCTGTATCCAACTGGAACAAGTTCTCTGGACCTCCAGCTCGCCAGTGGACTGGTCATTTTGCTACTACTCCTTTGGACGTAACGGACCATGCTACGGTGGAGGCTTGCCAGAGGAAACCGGATGGCGTTCTTCTTCCCAGCGGCATGGACCACGCGCAGGCGAGGCGACGTGATGCGGTCGCATTTCTGGAGTTCAAGACCAACCAGGATGGCACTGGGCACGGAAAATCCTCGAAGCAGCTAGCAGAGAACGTTCGACTGGCATTCGGCGCTCAATACGACCGGCGATTCATCCTCGGCATGGCTTTGATCGGCAGTTCTCTGCGCCTCTCACTGTATGATTGTGCGGGACTCCTTCAATCCGTGGCCATCGACATCCATGAAAATCCTCAAACGTTCCTCCGCGTCTTATGCGGCTTTGCTTTCGGGGACCGGGCCACTCTCGGTTTTGATCCCACGGTCACTGAGCCCGACGAAAACGGGACTCGATCTATCACGGTTCGTGGAACGAAGTACGACATTGAAAAAGTCATGCACATGGACAACACGCTCAGAGGCAGAGGGACGATCATCCTTCAGGTTCGGTCAGGCCCAGAATCGACGTCGATCATCAAGGATTCATGGGTCGATGTCAGTCGTCCTGAAAAGGAACACGAGATTCTGGAGAAAGCGAAGGACGTTGAGGGGATCGTCCATATGATAGATTTCGAAAGGGTCGAAATCAACGGAATCGTGGATTCGACGAAGATCATACGCGACAAACTCGGCGTCGCTACGAAGATGGGTAGGCAAGCTGATCGGGAGCCGGAGACGCGTGAACATTACCGGCTTGTTCTCAAAGAGTCTGGCGTTTCTTTGCGGCACTTCGCCACTCGTAGGGAGCTCCTGAGCGTCTTGATCGATGCCGTCGAAGGTGAGTAACGTCACACAGATCGTGATACCATTTTTCCTTATGGATGTGCCGCAGCGCATAGGCGAATGTACGGCATACCCGTCTTGCATCGGGACGTCAGCTTCCACAACATCATCATTTCAACATTCGAGAGAAGAAAACCGGGAGAACGTCCAGGTCGCCTGCTCGACTTCGATTATTCCAAGACCCTAAACCGTCCTACCACGAACGATCCGGAAGAGTATAAGAACCACCGTTCAGTAAGTCTGGTGTTGATGTATAACACAGTGGCTGATTAGACCAGATTCGCAGCGAATATATATCCATATCTCGCCAGATCTGTGTAGCTCTTGCAGTAGTTCACACGAGCTACTCGATACGCACCCAACAGCACTCGCAGTATATCTGAATCTTTGTCATAGTATATTCTGTTTATCTATGGATAGCAATCACACCATGTCTTTCTGAACAACATGCCTGAGCAAAACCGACCAGTGACACCGCTCTCGAGCACCTTGGCAGCAATTCTGGCATACGCACATGTAAAGCCCCCTCTCTCCAGTGCTGCTGCAATACTGGCAAGCCCTACGGTTGCACTTCCGGACAGGCCAGATGCAGACTTCGACCAATTCACGGCCTACCGGCGAGCACATCTGAGGAAAAAATATACGCAAACCCGCCCGAGTCCTTCAGGACAGCGAATCACTTGGAGGTGGCTACAGGAGATTGGCGACGGCTATTGCATGGCAGAATTCCGGTGTGTGCAAGTTGTCTTATGTAGCATGTGCACACTGTTGTTGACCTGGGATGGGCTTAGGTTCACTGTGAACGAGATCATAAGCCTTACACAGGCATTAGAGATTCCCGACCCGGTTATCACTACATCCCGACACCGATTCTCAGCTGTTGAGGCATTTTGCCTTCTATGTGCCCGGTTCCGCAGTGCCGCAGACTTGCACGAACTCACCATCAAGTATCGGAGGAGCGGATCTGCCCTATCCGAAGTTGTGAACTTCCTCGTCATACATCTCGATGACACTTGGGGTCACTTGCTCGGCCTTGATAATCGGGCCTTACTTTCTCCATGCCGCCTCAAGCAATATGCTGAGGCTACAGATCATGTTGGGGCTATGGGCATGCAAGTTTGGGCCTTTATCGACTGCACAATTCGTGTCATATGTCGGCCAACGTGGCATCAACGACAGGCGTATAATGGACACAAGAAGTACCACGCACTGAAGTACCAAGCACTTGCTTTACCGGACGGGCTTATAGGGCACCTTTATGGGCCTCTCGAAGGTCGACGCGGTGACGGGTTCCTCCTCAGTGATAGTGGGCTCCTCGACTGGTGTCTACAGCATGCGAAGTGTCTGGATACTAGTCCTGGACAGACCACGTATTATCACCTGTATGGTGATCCCGCATATGGCCTTACCGATGTCCTCATCAGTCCTTTCTCGGGTCCAGGGGAGCGCACAGAGGAGGAACGGGAATTCAATGAAAGAATGTCATCGCTGCGCATTGAAGTAGAGCACGTATTCGGCAACGTGCTCAACAAGTGGGCATTCCTCCGTGGAGGATGCAAGATGAAGGTATATGCGTCTCCCGTTGGTTGTTACTACCGCATTGGTGTCCTTCTCACAAATGTGATGAACTGCCTCCGCCCAAACCAAACCTCACAATTCTTCCGGTGTAGACCACCTCCCCTCCACGAGTATCTTCATCACTGATGGGCAAAAGCATATATGTATATAGAGATACAGTATGTAGACATAAAATACAGATAGACATAAGAATACAAGGACTTGCGGCGGTTAGATCTCCTCCTCATCGTCACAGAAAGGCGGCGGAGCATCATCAGTACCAGTTGACGGCGTGTCAACAGCTTCAGCTTCCGCATTGCGTTCCGGCACAGCGGGTTGACGAACACCGAGGCCTTCAATGGCAGCAACAATGGTGCTGGTACCATGCTCGTAGACGTCCACCATGCGGCGAAGCTCGCCAGCGAGAGTATCCTGACGTGCCTCGATTCGAGAGTAGTGAGCTTCGAGGCACTCGTAGTGGTCCGCCATGCGTTCTTGCATGGTGAGGGCATACTCATCATCCTGAGACTGCCGGCCGGCGCGCCTTCGTTTTGAAGGGCCAGGTTCGAGATCAGACTGGTTGTCCGAGTCTTCATCGTCACTGATGCGGGAGTGGGTATGGCGGCTCTTCATTGTCTGCATCGCAGCAGCTCGTACCCGTGCTCCACCTTTCTCATCGTCGGCTTTCTTCTGTTCCAAACATGAATGAGCATCCGGCATAATGACAGAGGAGCCTATACCTTTCGCATTCTGGACTTTTGCTTGTCACTCTTGTCACGGACCGCATCGCGCTGGGTCACAGCCGTGTCGAGAATCGACCCGAAGCTGGCTCCTTCGGGTCCATCGAGAACTTCCTGGATATCGCGGCTCACACGTAGGGAGCTCCCCTGAGTACGTTAGACAAGATTTGGTACAAAAGAATAAGGCGTACCTCATGGTACGAGACCATACTGTTCATCTTGTTCTTGATCGTCTCTACGCTGCTCCCGACGAACATGCGCTTCTCCCACAGGTGCTCCGCAACCCGTTGCCAGGCTTGCGTGATCTTGCCCCATGGCTCGCTGCCAGGGTCAATGTCGACAGCCGTCCTTGCAAGTTCATAGAGCTCGGCCTTCGAAAACTTCGTGCCGTGTTTGCGTTTTGGACGATTGGGTGCTGGCGACTCTTCGGGCTCGTGCACGGATGGTGAGCAATCGCGAGGACCATCACCTGCCGAGTTGCCTGTGCTGGGAACCCCAGCGTTGCTAAGACCCTCGACCATCGCTGGATGCATGTCGAGATCATAGCCAGAGGCTACCGGCCTGTCCATGTCACTCGGAGCGACGCCAAGTGAGCCCATCGCAGGCATGGGCAACACATAAGGGTTATACTCCGGTGCAAACTGCCAGGCATGACCGGGTCAGATGGAATCAAAATACTTCAAAACCGACGTGAACAACATACCGGAAGGAACCCAAAGCCATTCTCCGCTGCTGGAAGATGACCTCCAGGGTGCAGAGCCGGTTGACTGTTCTGAATTGGTGCGCGGCTAGAGTGAGAAGCGTAAAAAGCACCAGGGCGGTTGTCGCGGTCGCGTTTGGGCGTGTCAGTGGCTGTGTTTGCGCGACGACGCGGCGACCTGTCGCCGCCGCCGTCGTTTGTTAGGTCCTCGAGAGGTGAAGACATGAACGCAAGATTGCTGGGTCAAGCACGTCGTCAAAACACATTTTATACAGAATTTGAGGGTCTATACTGTACTCCACAGTAAGTTCTCCGCAGCTCTGTAATATATACAACGCCGCTCGAAGCAGCTGCGCAATGACGTCCATCCGCAGCGGCAAGAGTTTTGTTACACGAAAAATCACCGATTTTTCGAAATATACTCGCTGCGAATCTGGTCTATTCACTGACCGTGCCTCTCATCAAGGGCACGTTACCATTCATATCCGTGCATCTCCTTCCGGGCGATGGATCCACTGAGCACAAGGTGCACCACAACTTGGAGTTGTTCTTCTATGTGCTTTGTTGGGCGTGCATCACGCTCGAAGGCCCGGGTCAATATCGACAATCTTTCGATATCATGTAGAGTGAACTCAGGTTTTGGCTTGTCGGCGACACCGTACAGGCCATAGCTACCTACAAGCTTGGCCAGCTGATGTATTACTTTGATCGCTTACTCGCGGACTTCCATCCGTATTTTGAGCCCTTGAAGGAGACGGTCAGGAAACTTTGGGCCACGTTCAACATGGACCAATCAATGAAACCAGGCTATATACCCCCTACATACGATGAGTTCCTCGACGTCCTCAAAGCTGGCCGTGATGCCTTGCCCCTCGTGGACGACCCACCGCCGGAAAACGGAATCGTCGCTCAACCTGCCAACAATGACCAGCCTGCAGAGCCAGCATCAAACGTGCTGCACAGGTCTAGACGTTATAAACGTAGCCGCACGGAAGAAGACGAGGTCCAGGACGTGCATGCTACACGCAGTGGCAGCCATGACGACGCGGGACTCCGCGACCGGTTCACGACCTCTGAGAGAAACAAACGCAGCCGCCTCAGCCAGTCAACCTCGACCCGCGTTCTCCGTTCCGACAGCAAGAAGGCTCAGGCGCGTGAGTAGCTTCGCGACCGGACGAATACCGTGTATCTGCTCCAACTTTCGCTGTCCTTATCATTGTGCTTTCCCCTGTACTCGCTACTACATGCTTGATCAGTCGTAATTCAACATGCGCTTCTCTTGATAACCAACTGTTCCTCATATCCATTCTTTCAAACGAGTACAGCAGATGCTTAAGATACACACATGGGAGGGGGAGGGGTCTAAATGACACAGCGATCACCAACGCGTGCCTCCCGGACGCGGCTTCATCTTCACCAACATGTCGCCCTCCGGGTGCAGGATGGCGGAGCCGGAGCCGTTGGCGTACGGCGGGACGGGGTACGACTTCTCGTTCTTGCTCAGCGGGAGGGTGGAGGACGGGACGGTCTTGCCGTTCGCGTCGATGAGGCCGGCGTAGTCGAGGTCGAAGGCGCGGATGAGGATGATGATCAGTGCCTTCAGCTCGGCGAGGGCGGGGTGACGGCCGGTGCACTAGGAAGACATGGGACTGTCAAATTGCGATCCTCAACGGGTATCGGCGAGAGACACGACAGAGACACCTCCGCCAAAGGGCATGAAGAAGCCCTGCCTGAGCTTCTTCGCGCTGCTACTTATGGTCGTAAAAGTACAGTATGTTACTGTATGTAGGCTATCACCATTGCCGTACTGCATTTAAGTTGCCCGCGCCATCGATGAGTACTACTATACGTTCATTTATCCACCTTGACTGTGACATCCTTTCATCGCTCTGGCACACCGTAGTCCATAATCCAACTCCGCAGCGCGTGCCCGCTCGTATTATTTAACGTAGGCCTGTTCCGCGACCACCAACCACTCCTACCTCACCGACGCCCAACTGACGCGCCGAATCGGCTGCCATAGAAGCGTAGTGGTTGCCCACGCGGCTGTATCATACAACATCTCGTGGCCTTCGCTCGCCCGTTTTGGACGAGCAGCGAAGTACGCGAATCTGGTATATCCGCCACCTAACAGTACTACGACGACGACGGAACCCGGAACCCGCTGTCACCAGGACGCGGATCAAACCTTGTCAACACATCGTCCAAAGCCGTTACACCAAGTACATGACGACGATAAATCAATATCCCAACGAATTATTGGGGTGTATCATCAAGTATGCTACGATCTACGAGTTCGCGGTGCACAGGGAGGCAGACCCATTCCTCCTAATTCAGGCCCCAAGTTCCGCGAATAAAACAAAGCAGAGTTGTGAGTGGGCCTCGCGAATAGCCCCGCATACAAGCGGCATGATACTGATACTTGTCTCACAGGCTCTTGCAGAGCACTGGATCCTTCGTGATGTACGCATGGGATGGAGGACATACTCTGAAGAGGTATCTGGCTTGATCAATCCTGTTAAACTCCTCAAACCCCTCGAAGCCCTCGTCTCCCTATCCATATCTCAGCCCGCCTTGTTCACAAGGACTCACCCGTGCTTCTTGAATACCACGGATCACCTGAACTAGCACGTCGGGAAGGCGCTCAACTCTGCCATTTGCTGTCTACCGCCAAACTGCGCTATTTCCCGACCAACCTCTGCTGACGGCCTACCTGGTTGCCTTTCCTCGCCTCGGGAAGCGCGGCATCCCTTACTCATCTCGACATCGTAGTCCACCCTAGATTTACGCCCGCGTCTCTGGTTTACGGGCTGAACTCCTTCCCCAACCTCGAACTCTTGCGGAACACCGACGATGATCGTTCGGACTACAGTTACGGCACGTTTTCGCAGCAGCACAGACCGCCACAACTCTTTCTGTCACGACTGCGTGCAATGCATCTGGCGAGCAGAAATTAGACATCAGCCGACAGCATAGCTGATACTTTTGACGACGGCCCCCTCCCATTCCAACTCGGTACAGCCGCTTATCTACCGGTTCTCCGAACTCTCCGTGTACACGAAAGCCAGCTTACGGGAGCGAGCGACACTTTGCTTGGAAAGTTCATGAGCGCATTCGGAGGAACTCTCGAGAAGTTGTATGTCAGCATTTGTTGCATGGACGAGCTTGAGTTGATTTGCGAACATGCTCCTTGGCTTACTGAGCTGGGTTTCTACGACCTGCCGAGCGACGACATGCCTGCGTTCCAATCGGCCATCGAACATCCTGGGATCCGGCATTTATCGTGCTCCGGACGCAACTCGTCCTCCGACGCCATTCGGGGCATCGACCGGATCAAACTCCCAGCATTGGAGGACGTGCGATTTGTTGATATCTCATGGTATGATATCCGCCAGTCGGCGCCACTCGTAGGTGATAGGCGGGACATCATGGAGGGCGTCAAGACGGCTGCGATATTGGCGGAAAAGGATATTCCTTGTCTTGACCGCGACGGCAAGCCCTATTTTGGTACATCTTGACATATGATTACGAACGAAGCATGTGGATACAGTTCGCTCTTGTCTTTGCGTGTTCTAGCCCGATGGTGTGTTCATGATTGAGTACTCGCCATGAACTGATTTACTACTCTCACCCAGTATCCTCATCGCCTCCTCATAACACGCCTGCTTCCGTTTCTTGTATTTACTTGCTACATATGCGATGCATTGGACGCATTCTCCTAGCATCCTATGCCATTCTCTGTCTGTCTTCACTGGTGCAGTTTGACCAATGGCGAACGAGAACGCATCATTGCATCATAGCCGGAGATATTTTGTAACACAGAGAGACAGCGCATTAATCTGTGGAGATCTTCGCGCGATGGGTGCGAGGGGTCAAAAGGTCATAAATGATGATGGCTACTTCCGCAGACGAATGTAGATGTTATCCAGGTAGCTTGGCTGTGTTGCGAGAGGAATAGGCGCCCGCAGGCCCGCTCACGCGCTCGTCGTCATCCTACCCCGACCTCAGCGCTTTGTCGCAACATCAACACCAGCTTCGGTACCAGTCCAGCAATGGCGGCCTTTCCACCAGACCATGACGTACGAACGCCGCTAACTTCGACGTCGCAGTTCATCCAAGCTGGTGAGCGCCCGCCACGACTGGCGTGTTGCGTGCAATCCGAGTCCGTGGTCTGAAGTGAACAACGCATAGACGATGACGACGACCTTGACGAGGATGCCATCCCCGGATTCTCGCACCCTACCATCCCAAGCAGTCCACAGCCGCAGCAAGACAAGGGCAAGGCACGCGCGCAACCCGAACAACTTGCACCTCCGGGTACCATGGGCGGGCAGTCGCCTGGGCTGTCGGGCAACATCATGAGCGGAAGTGGTGCTGGAAGCGGACCTCCGAGGCCCGATAGGCAGACCATTGGTGGCGTACGAGTTGAGACGAGGTGCGTATCTCTGGACACCGCACTTCGTCGTGCATCATGCCGAAGACGATATAACCCATTCATGTGTCTCGATCCTCCACAGGTATGCGGGTGCAGACACGCTCGACGAGCCTATATCGGCCACAATAGGACGGGACCTCTTCTCCATCTATACCAAGCTCATCCAAGTCTTGTACCCGCGCCGGTCGGGCGCGGGACGTGAAGTCCTTCGCGACTGGGACTTGTGGGGTCCACTCATCTTATGCCTTTTGTTGGCGATCATGTTGAGCATAAACGTGCGTATATGCGCATACCTTCCTATACCCACGCGAATACGCGTTGATACATGCGACCAGGCCCCGGCGTCTCAATCGCTTGCTGTGTTCACTAGCGTGATTGTCCTTATATCTGTCGGATCCCTTGTGGTCACAGTCCAGGCCAAGCTTCTCGGAGGAAAAGTGTGCGTTGACTTCCTTCAACCGTGAGTATCCCAAAGTGATAGGGGTGCCACAGATCCTTTTTCCAAGGTCTTTGTATTCTCGGCTACTGTATAGCACCGCTCAACATCGCAGCCCTTGTGGCATGCTTCGTCCGCGCGATCTACGTTCGCGCGCCCGTCGCGCTCGCGGCATGGGCGTGGAGCATCTGGGCCAGCGTCAACTTCTTGGATGGCAGCAAAATTGAACAGCAAAGGGTGCTATTGGCGGTGTACCCATTATTGTGAGCGTCGGCCCCCTTGAACTGCTTTTCAGGGTGGCCCTCTGACTTGTGGACGCATTGCAGATTATTCTATTTCATACTCGCGTGGATGATCCTCATCCAATGAGCGGATATTGTGATCATGTGCTATAGGAGGCTGTCGATAATGATATGCAATTCCCTGCCATTCAATCCCGGCTACTGCTGCACCGATTCTCTTTTGAGCACTGATACGTATTGCCAGCATTTCTCTTTCATTATTACACGCCAGTGGAGGCTTTTCGGAATTGGCAAAGCAACACGGTGGAATGATGCCCCTAGTGCACAAGGCCGACCAGAACAATGCGCCCAAGGGAGAGGTGGCCCTAAGTGATCGATTTCGGCCAAAGCACAAAGCCACTGGCCCCTCTGCAACATGATAAAAAACCTTCATCACCTCGTTCAGTAGCTGACCGGAGACCGCCCCTGCGATGACCCCCGCGACCAACCGATTCGTGCCGCGATACTCCACTTCGCAACACGACGAACTCTTTGGCTACCTCTTGCCGCTTCGTCCATCTGTTGCCGCTTTCCGCATTGAACTCGAGAGGATTCGACCCGTCAACAACATCGGACGCGACGATACCAACGACACTAGGCTTGAGGCGCTGTACGTGAGCGGTAGGCACTGCAAGATCGAGTGGCAGCCGACTGTGGGCCAAGTATGGATCACGGACCTTTCCTCCAGGAACGGTGTATTCGTTGAGTTTGGAAGTCTTGCCGTCGTGATGCGTTGAGGCTAACCCACGGAATGCATGCAGCTCAACGGTGAAAGAATCCCTGCAGATGTGCCTCAGCAGCTCCACGATGGATCTATGGTTGCCTTCGGCGATCCGGAGGAGAACATGCAACACCCGGACCATGATTACAGTTAGTATTTGCTCTCAAATCGTCTGCCGCGCACTCAGGATTCGCCGAAGGATACCGGTTCTTCCAGACCGGCAGCACCAATCCTACGGTGCCCGACAAGACTCAGTCGTTCTTTGCGCGCTATGAACTGCTCCCGGCGCCGAGTGGAGTGCTCGGCCAAGGGACTTTCGGCGTGGTTTGGAAAGCAAGGCGCCTCACGTCCGGGAAGCTATATGCTGTGAAAGACCTTTCTCTTCGCGATAATCTAGAGGCTGCCTACAGCCGCATGCAGAAGAGAAGGTCACAGGAAAGCAGTACGGCGTCCGGAATGACAACGGAAGATGTTCATCGATTGATCGACAAGGAGAAGCAAACTTGGGCGAGAACTTGGGCAATGGACATTAGCGTTTTACAGCTGTTGCGCCACGATAACATTCTCAAAATACGCGAGGCGCATAAGTGTCAAGACCACTTCTGTGAGTCTCTCCCGCCTAACTACGTACACGGATCCGTCATATAGATTTTCCTAGATGTCGTGACAGAACTGCATGACTCGGACCTTCATTGGTACATCCAGAGCCAGAAAGGAATGGCTGATCCCGACGTTTGGCGGGATTTCACTCGTCAACTCTGCGAAGGTCTTGCGGTATGATCATACGACATGATACTTGGTGCAATTGCTAAGACTGACCTCAAAACAGTACATGCATGATCGGTCAATCATCCACTGCGATATCAAGCCACGCAATATATTACTGAAGCACACGAGTAATGATTCTCTGCCGCGTGTCCGAATCGGCGACTTCGGTACATGCGTAATAGATGACGGCGAGGGCACCCTGAACGTGAGTGGTCACCCGTCTGAACAGTTGCTAGTCGTGCTGACCACGGACCCACAGGCGGGTACACCTGGTTATATTGCGCCCGAGGTTGCGAGCGGGGCATATAGCAACGAATTCACGGACGCATGGAGCGTCGGTGTGGTTGTCACCGAAATGCTCGCCGGCTTCAACCCTTTGGCTCCGCCTTGCGGTGTGGAGTTCCATTTCTCGAATCCACATCCATACTTTAAGAACCCGCCCTTGGAAAAGGTTGTGGAGGCGTTGACGCCTAGGGAAGGCAGACTGGCGGTATACTACAGGCTATCGGACGGTAAGGCTCAAGCTGCATCCATGCATCGAGCAGGTTCGCTCACTCCGCCTCCAGCCCAAGATTTTGTGCAGCGCCTGCTGCAGGTGAATTTCAAAGAACGTGCATCGGTCTCCTCCATGCTAAGGTCGCGCTGGATGGCAGGTCGATCCCATCTAAAGGGATCGTAGGGAGCCGGTGATGAGCGAGGATGTTCATTAGTATGATACAGATACGATAGAGTGAAACAAAGGGAAAGTGCACATTGTGGATCTACGAGAACGATAACTACGTCAACCGGGTGAATGTGATAGATGATCGGATACCATGCTTGATGCCTGCTATATGGACAGGGATCGGTTCCCCAAGCCGGACATCGGAGTCTTGGTCGTTGTCAACATCCAAAGAGCCTGTGAGACCTAACGCAGGGACTACTGCCTTGCACGCCCAACTGCCCGATTGAATGTTTCTGGTCATGTCCGATATAGGATATGCTACCATATCTTGCGAGGCGAAGCCTTGGGCGAGATTCTCGTTCTTCCGGGGCGTATGAAGCGCCCGATCGAGGTACAGTGCGACCCACGCGAGCTGATGCGCCCTGCCTTTCAACCTGAGTCGGCGCAACGTCACCTCCTGCTCGCGGCCAATCTCCTCCAAAGTCTCTGTCTCGAAGAGAGGTCCTCCGTCCGGATGAAGGATAGCATGTTTGATTTGCCAATGCCCTAAGAGGTCTATGTATCGCCGTAGTGGAGAAGTGACCCAACAGTACCCTTCGCCTGCAGGTACGCCGAGTGTCCAGTGTTCTTCCGGACGGGTTGTGAACGTCGATGGAGGATTCGAAGCCCCGACTTTCACCACCTCCCGGTGGTCGGCCATGCCTAACTCGTTCTTTGATTGCAGGAGGCGAGCAAAATCCTCGTCCGAGAAGGTCAAGACCTGGCCGCAAGCGCGTCGCAGGATAGGGATGTTTCGTTCGAGACAAAACCGGGATGCTACCCTGTTCGCGGCCTTCATCATCTCGGAAACCATGGACCTCGCGCCCATTTCAAGGTGTTCGGGTTTGTGAACGGAGAAAGCCATGGAGGGAAAACCACGGTATGAAGCTGGCCACTGATCAGGCGTGGGTCCGGAGGGGATTGGTTTCGTCAGAAGAGACACCCGTGCCGAAGGGTTGCCAAATGTGAACGTTGGCAAAGCGAGCCTAGCTTTGAAAAGCCTGCGAGAGACATCGTAGAGAGAGCGGAGATTATGTATGTGTTCTAGAGATAGTGATGCGCACAACTCAGGAGAGGGGGACAATTCCGGTTGGCCAAAGGGATATAAAATAGGAATCGTCTGCAGTCCAAGCATCTTGTCTACAGCGTCATACTGAGTGATGATCATGTTCCGAACGAGCCCAGGGCGAACTCTGTGTTCCGTCAGTGCGCCTTTCTCGTCGACCTTGAAACTGAACGAGAGGACGGATTGAGGCCGCCCTTGTAAGCTGCCTAAGCTGAGACGGTTCTCAATAAGGGCGAGTGGAAGCATAGGCCACGTAGCATGATTAAAGTATACCGTGCTGCCTTGCTCCCGCGCTCTGCGCGCAAGGATATGGCCAGGTGGGAGAATCGACGTCGGGTCTGCGATATGAACGTGTATCCATGCGGATCCGGGCTCGGTGGGGATGGCCTCGAAGGATATGCTGTCGTCCAGCTCTTTCGCATCGGCATCGTCGATAACGTACGCGGGCATGTCACCAAAATCGTGGCGTAATGAATCGAGAGGATCGACACGATAGAGATCCTCGGGTCCCAACGCTCGTTCCGCGTTTCCGGGAAGAGCGACTGCATCCAAACTTCGGCGTATCATCTCGTCTTTCGGTGGTTCCGCTATAGATAGTCCTCGGCCCGCTGCCTCAAGCTGCAAAGCACGCTCCGTGAGATCCTGCCATGGAGAGAGGACACCGAGATCGACAAGCAATCGATGTATCAGGGAGTCATCAACCTTTGCGTCGTACATCCCGACTTTGCGAAGAATGCCGGCGACAGGGACGGCATAAGGGTCTTCCTGGACGGATCTTGCCTCACGAAGTGACTCGAGCACGACCTGGATGATGAGTCGATCTGTCTCGTTGAAGCTGGGTAATCCATGAGAGGGCGTAGTCGATAGACTGGGCTCTTCTTCCCATGACTCGGCAGCTCGTTCCCGTGAAGCCGTTATGATTCGCCGAGCCTTGGCAGCAAAATCATCCAACGCCTTCCCATGATTTCTGACAATGTAGCCGACAGTGCTGAGACGACTGATATGTGCCTGAGGTCGCAGTTGGAACATCTGCTGGGTGAGATAGGTTTGGTGGACAGCGACGAAATGGGCCGGCCGCGAGAAGAGTTGCTTATGGACGGCGAAGATCTTCAGCATCCGAGAAACCTGTCTCGTCTCGATCATATCCACCACTTGCATCAAGGAAACCTCGACCCAGCCTTCCGGGTCGGAGGACTTCAATTGGTCGTATATTCCGGATATCGGGATGTTGATCGAGTGCGAGAGCCGCTCTACGGCTATACCAATCTCGCGTATGCGTCGAAGAACCTCGACGCGAGCGTTGTTCTGCACGGCGTTTTCCGCGATACGTTGCCAGCCACATCGCGCAGCCATGTTGGCAGATATGAACCCAGGCACGGCGAAAAAGACATCTGCAGGAAGATGAGGCCATAGATCACCATCCATCGTAAGACTCATTGTCGTGACTTTGTGGTTCAGTACGGTTTCGAAAAGGACGACGCCATGAGTGACAATTCCATTCCTGTCATCGCGGTCGTTAGACAGTCGCATTCGAGCACGAGGAAAGATGGTCGCACCTTCGCATTTCGACGAACGTCCCAGGATCCAAAGACATCGTATTCGTGTTACTATCAGGCTCGATGGCGGCATCGTCGACCCGGCCAGTGGTGAATTGAGCCTTCTCCATGGAGGCGAACGCGGAGTTCTCTTGCAGCCGCGCGGAGCGTGCTATGGCGGCAAGTAACCGTTCCTCTGCTCCTCTTCGGGTAGTAGCAAACTGGTATCCCTGAGCCGGGGCTTTGTCTCCTTTGGCCGCGATTTTCAGGAGGTGAGTGGTCCATTTGTGTATGGATTCATGGTTGCGCTTGAGGGTTCGCGCGCGTCCGGCGGTGACAGAGCGATGGCGGCGAGTAACGACTATAGGAGTTGGTACATGCGAAGAAGGACCGCTGCTGTTAAGGCAAGAACTGGCACATTGTTGAAGGCCGCGACGATGCATGCAGAAAGAATGGCCAGGTGTCGGAGAGGTGTCCAAGTTGAGCAGGACTTGGACGACTCAGAAATTTCGGAGCACGTGGAATTGGCGTGGAATATATTCCGCATTTCTGACTTCACTGCCGACTTTCTCGCCTCGGTATCCTTTTGGCAGTTCCTTAGACACTATCTACATATCAACAGAATCGATATGTTCAAGAGGGTCTCCAAAAGGATCAGAAAACGCGAGGAGGAGAAGGAACTCGGATTAGACGATGAGGCAAAAGAAATGTTAGGCATACAGGACACCGATTCCGAGGAATCTGCGTCAGACTCGGACTCTGATGAAGCTGAAGAAAACGGAGAGGAGAACGAAGATGGGTCCGAAGAGGAGAGGGAGGAGGAACTGCTTACCTCCGCGCGTCGTGGTATGAAGAGGGGTAGAGAGGAGGAAGACGAAGAGCACGAGGATGAGGACACCGACACCGACGAGGAGCCAGCACCTATATCGCTGTCTGAAGCCCTCCGCGAACCCATATACACCATTTCTCTAGCCCCCGATATTTCCGCGTGTGCAGTGTGTCCGGGAAAGCTTTTGAAGAACAGCATCATGATCGACGTGCACCGGACGTCCAAGGTACCACGATTTTTACTCTTACAATCATTTGGGGTTCACTCATGGATGTTTATGCAGCACCATGTCAGACGGTTCTCCCGGTTCACGACCATTGCCGAGGAAGGTTCAGCGGACCGCGACGTTCGAGAGATCCTAGCGGAACTCAACGCAGGTGGAGCTCGTGGGAACATGCTTGAGGAGGGGGAGTCGGAGAAGCCGGAGGGTCTTTCAAATCGAGCACTGAAGCGGGTTAGTGATACCCTTGATGTCTTTTTCATGTTGGCTGATTGTTATCGCATGTTCATAGAAAGCTAAGCAAGAGCAAATAAAACAAAAACGGGCGAGACAGAAGCAGATGAAGGCGAAAGCGCTAGCTAAGAAAGCCGAGAATAAGTCTGCAGAGCATGTGTCCGACCCTGAGGGGAGCGAACCGGAACAGGAGCGACCACAGACTTCGTCTCCGCCGAAGAAGACGAGCACACAAAGAAAAACGAATGATATCATTCACTCCCCAGCGAAAGCGGCGAAGAAGAGCAAGGCGTCTGTCAAACCGAAAGTCGCCAAACCGCCCGTGGAGCGCAGTACGGAGCGGAAAGCTCGAAAACCGGCTGGCGACTCGACCTCTCCAGCACCTCCAAAAAGACCTCGCATCGAGACCGCGAAACCGCCATTGAAGGCCCACGCGGACCATGTAATTCCTCGGAAAATAGTGAAACGGCGGGAACTAGCACGGAAAGAATGAGCTGCCTCCCGTCCCTCCGTATTTCTCAGAGTTTCGTTGTCTCGCCTTGCTTTCCTGTCGTGAGAGCTCCGCATACAATAAATAGCTTCACGATACTGGGGATATCAAGCAGGCATAGGTTACACCTCGGACGACCACCGAAATTCCATGCCATGCGTCCGTGTCGCATCAAGTAGCGAGGTCGTTACCTCGCACTTTGGAGACAGCGGTCGACCATCCCGATGACCTATTTTCGACCGCGGGGATAAGCATGCATCGTCGGTCACGCGGGGGAGATGCGAGTCTTACCTGGTCGATATCGGGCCGCTTACTTGGGTCGACCGTCAACATACTGTCGATCAGTTTCTTCAAGCCGTCCGAATACGACGACTGTGGATGCTTGTACTGCGCGTTCATGACCGCCATTGCGATTGAACCGCCCTGTTCGGTTGTTTGCAGGTTCTCGAATGGCGAATGTAGGTAGGCCATAGCGTATAGCGTACAGCCTAGTGACTAGAACAATGCAATGCGCGTGAGGGTTGGGCGACAACCATCGACGTAAGGGTGACGGACCCAAATGTCAACCTTCTCGTCGATTGTTACGCCGGTCTTGACATCGAAGAGCTCGGGAGCGCGGTATGCCATCGTACTTTTCTCCGCGGCTATATCCTGTGTGCCCGGGTTTAGCAAGCGCTGGGCAAGAAAGAAAGACGCCGTCGCACCTGCTGAAGCAACGCCTGATTCCTGTTCTCGATCGCGACGCGTGCTTTCATCACGCTGCCGAAGTCCATAAGGATCGACGTAACGCCGTCATCCGCGATCATCACGTTTCTGGTCACGTTAAATCAACTGAGTTCATGAGTTAACGCAAATACCAAAGTACGTACCCAGGTTTTAGGTCTCGATGCGCGTAAGGTACGATTCCTGCTTCGGTGTTTCCGTCCCCGTTCAACGCACTGGTCTGCGTATCGTCGTCTTCGTCGAATATCGGCTCACCCTCCTCCCGCGTCTGCGCTGCCACCAGGGGCACGCTGGCTCCGTCGTCGTCTGCGTGGTCGGGATGATCCAAGATTTCTCCGCCCGGATCCGCAGACCGCGCCGCAGGCCGAGCTTGGGTCGCGCCACGGGCAGATGGCCGGTATTGGTGCATGGCGCGTACGGCCTCACATGCCCCCTTGAAGAGGCGTAACATCTCTTTCTCGGAGAAATGGGTCCCCGCGGCGGAGTGCGCGTTGATAGCGTCCTGAAAGTTGCCGCGCTTGTAGAGGGGAAGGAACAGGTAGACAATCTTGCCCTCGCCTTCGGGATCTTGCACGACGGCAGAGTCCTGACGTGGACAGAGAGGCATGAGGACCCGTGTTGGGACGTAACATGTGAGAATGGCACCCACCAGAATGCGGATGATGTTCTTGTGCCTACGACTGAGGTTATGTCGATGAAGGCAGGACGGGCTGATCAACGCTCACTTGAACCGCCGGTACGCTTCAACTTCTTGCATGGCCTCCTTCACCCCGTCCGAACCTGTCGGACAGCGTATCTTCTTGAGCGCAAACTCTCGCTGGCAGATGTTCAGAAAATTCATAGACATCACGGAAGTAACGAGAGCGCGACATACACCACTGGCCTCATCCTGTGCAAGATACACGAACGAAAAGCCGCCTTCTCCGAGAACCTTGATGATCTTGACTGGTATGCAGCGTATAAGCCACCTTCATTCGACAGCAGTATCACGGGTCCACATGAGTAGGCCACCCACGAACATGTTCGGCCGTTTATCTTGATGCTCGAGTCCGGTTTGCATATACATGACGACAGACCCCAGAGCGCATCTTTGGCGAGGTCCTTGATGTTGTCCAACGTACGAAACAGTTGACTTTTCGGCGGTTGCAAGGTCATTATGGTTCACTTTTATCCCGCTCCCTCTTGGAAAGCAGATGTAGAAAGAGGTACGGCGGTAACGGTAATACGGCGGTGGCAGCAGGTCCCTGAAGAACGTGTATCCTCGTCACATGTCAAACGGTCGCGACTCAGGTTAGGTAGTAAGCTTATCAGACTCAGAGCCCGTTCTAAATCGAGTCTACATAGTGCAGTACTACCAATTCTACTAAAGATTCTGCTTGCGATGCCGCCGCTTTATACAGCAATCAGGATCCACTGCGATCACCGCGTCGTATCATCATATGTTCTGCACTCTTTTACCTCGGCATCCATACCCAAGCAATGGATGTACCTTCCGAACTACGGTTGTGCCTCTCCGCGCCTCGAGAACTGGTTGACCCAATCTTTCACGGCCCAATTGCCTGGATTATCCTCCATAGTATGGCACCACATGTCCTCAGGATCGTACAGAGTTCCACTCGTCAATCGGATGAATTTTGCCTTGACAAGGTCGGCGGTATCTTCTCGGTCAGGGTGACCTCAACAACGACCTCGTCAAAAACAGTCCCGTCACTCCCGTCCTCCAATGACACTGTCAGGCCACTGGCTGCCGATCGTAGCTCAAAGTCGTAGTACCTTGCGGTCATCTGCGGATCTTCCTCCATAGTTGTCCTGCTGCGCAATTTGTAGACCTCAGGATCTTTCGCCCATCGACATTCATCGGCATAGTCGTCCGCCTCCGGCCAAGCACCCTTCAGGAGTGTAAGTGCGACCATATTCCGCATGCAGTGATCACGGTCTGCAGGATTGTTGAGAAGGTGCTGCTTGTCTATGATCAACATTGCTGGGCGCTGCGTCCTGATTCGAATGCTTCGAATCCCATGTACACGTTTCCCTAATTGCATCGATTTTGCAGGGCGACTTCGACCGCAGAGATACCATGTCCCTCTGCGGCATGCAGCTTGAAGAAAACGGACTCGACCGTTTTGGTTGCGAATGGCTCAGGCAAAGTTAACGCGCTTCCGCCGAAACTGATGTTGTAGAAGCCCCATCTTGGAGCCGACAGTGTCGTAGGAAGTTCAGGCTGACCGGATTTTGTCATCAACACCAGATGCATGCACACATCACCTGCTGCCCAGCCCTTTCGAGGGCTGGTGTTGGGTGAGTGACGATATACACGCACTCGACAAACGTCAGTCTCGAACAAATCATCGACGTGATGCAATCACTCACAAGGTTGCCCGTCGGCGAAGGCTTGGCTGAGGGCAGCCGCAGCCTGATCATAGCTTGGGCCGGCCAATTTGGATATGACCGATACAGCAGCTATCTTCACGAGTATGACATGGTCAAGACCGACAGCATTAAAGGAGCTCCATCTCGTTTCACGGGTCTAAACTTTGAGGTCATAATGGTTCAGAATAGGCATCTAGGTTGGAGAATAAGCCTAAAGCTGTCACGGACTTATTGAAGAATACCAATGAACCGACGGCATGCATGGTATCATCGGGGAATTTCCGATGCGCTTACCACACATTGGTGTGAATAGCTCGGGAGGTACAGTACATAAGATCGCGGTCGCATAGGATCTGTTCAAGCCGCTCGTGAACTATGTCTCAAACTGTTCCCAAGCCCATCCCCACCGCCAAGAATGGTCACGTCATATTCCGCGCAACGGTACATATCTTGATGTCTCCACTGTTCTGCTCTGACCGACCATTCTCATGCATACAGGTAAAGGTAGATCCACAGAGAATTGATCGATTCATGGAGTTGGGTGCAGCTGTAGCAAGCTACAGCTTGACACTCCCCGGCACAATCATATTCAAATCTTACAGACCGCTGCACGGACCGGGTGGTGAGCATATGAGCGATATTGATCACCGTATCCAATGATATCCCGACGCAGCGGACGGCTTCACTTTCATTCTGTGGCAAGAATACGATTCCGTAGACAGCTTCTTCGGTGCCGCTCTTCTCCAACTTGCTGTCCGTGATCTGATCTGATGTGTATTGTCATGTACGTTACTCAAGCAGACTGCACGAGCGAAGCGCACGTCCGTTACGAAACTGCCAAAAAGGCGGAGGGTTTCGTATTGAGCAGAGAAATCGAGTTCATGGACGAAATGAACTACGAAACTTGATGCCGTTACTATCGTTTATATCGGGATTCTATTGAACTGTAGTGATGTTAGAGAAGTCGAGGGATCGATGGAAATTTGTTTCCGGTGTTCAAGTCATGTTGGTCCGCCATCGTGGAGCGGACAGCACTCACAAACTATTGGGAGCTTCTGAGGTTTGATATGGGGGTTCGCAGTTTCCGGGGTTGTAAGTTCATCACTGGGGCCCTCTTGCAAAGAATAGCAATGGGAAAGCTGTCGTGTTCAAAACGAAGATGCTCAACCGCTGCGACGAGCAGGTGTACGGCCCAACATCATGTCCTCACTCACCGTATCTCAGGGTCGCTTGTTTGGTGCCTTGTACGAGTCCATGCTCTTTGATAGGTACACATTATTTTGTTTTGTGGATCAGTTCGGTAATCAGTATCTCGCCTGCGGGTTGCTTGGGAGGATTCATGGCGGGAGACGCAACATGAGGCGTCTTCAACGTGGGCGCGTATGTCCGGAACTGGCGCAGTGTTGAACAAGGCAATGTCGGGAGTCGCGCGTAACGAGAGCGCAGATATGCGAGCAGCGTTCTGAAAGACGACGTCTAGCAGAGTGGCGTTGCTTTCAGGATTGTTTGTGATCTGTTGGTACGCTGGGCGCAGTGGATCTTGAGGCAAACGCGCGCCTGATGCCTGGGCCAGCTTCGACTGGCCCGGGCTTAGTTTCCACAGCTTCGGGGTCTTCATCGCCACGCTTCTCCCGTCGGCGCAAACCTGGGAACAGGCCGGAAACAATTCGAACAGAGGCGGTTGACGGGCAGCGCTCAATGCTAGTGACCGATCCAGTCCAACAAATTGCTGCTGTAGCCGTAGAAACCTAATGCACAAACCACTTGCAGTCGCTTGTCGCGTATCTCGCAAACAAATCACAGCAGCAGCCTCAGGACCCGGACGGGCCTCGCACATGTGCTCGTACCAGTATAAACCTCAGCTACCTCGAGGTACGTTATAAATTCCTCACTCAGCACGTGCCATTGCAATCGTGCCGCTCGCTATTGACGGTTCCAGCTCGGCTGTCGATAACCCCTCGCGAAGGGAGGTTTCTACTCGCTCGCGCTGTCGCTTTCAACATGGACCTATCAACGCTATTGCTTTTAGACGCTGAGGCACTCAGAAAGATTCCGTCATGAATATCGTTTTTGGAGACATAATCACCCGCTGAACGCTTGCACGACCGGGGTGGGTAGCCATCGAAACATACTTCAGCAACGTAGGGCTCGGCCTCGGCATGGTTCTCGCTCCACTCAGTTCTCCGCCACAAACATCAGTACCAGCAATAGGTGCTCACTCGCAGGGCTGCTAGCTCACGACGATAAACCGTGGCAGTACGTGAGGGCTCGATTCGGTACTGGTTGGCCACACGATCCTGACGATAAACTACAGATATACACGGATCTTCCGCGACACGGGTCAGCACGACCTCGGCGATAAATTCCAGCAGAGGCTTTCCCTCATTTTAGCACTGCCGACCCCTCGATCCTGACCTCGACTACGTACCTCAGCAACAGTCCCGGAGGGTCCCACGCTGTGAGCCGTTTGCATACCGTACCCTCTTCCTGAAAAACCCCAGCTAATGCACGAGCAGGGCAGACGATGCGCCAGATCCCGACCTCTGCCAGATACTCTGGCAGCATCCAGAGAATGTCGCACGCCGTGAACACCTGCACGCCTACGCCCCGTCTTCCCCATAAACCCCAGCTGGCGTACGACTCGGCCGGATCACGCGCTCGATCCCAACCTTTGCAAGATACTCCTGCAGCATTCAGAGAAGGTTGTATGCCGTGAACATCGGCACGCCTACGCCCCGTCTTCCCCATAAACCCCAGCTGGCGTACGACTCGGCCGGATCACGCGCTCAATCCCAATCTTTGCAAGATACTCCTGCAGCATTCAGAGAAGGTCGTACGCCGTGAACATCGGCATTCCATGCCCTGTTCGTGATAAACTCCAGCTAATGCACGAACAGGGTATACCATGCGCTTGATCCCGACCTTTGCGAGATACTCCGGCAGCATACAGAGAAGGTTGTACGCCGTGAACATCGGCATGCCTACGCCGCCTCTTCCCCACAAACTCCAGCTGGTGCACGACTAGGCCGGATCACGCGCTCGATCCCAACCTTTGCAAGATATTCAAGCAATATCCCAAGCAAGTTCCCTGCCATGAACGGTCAGCATTCCACACCCTGTTCCTGATAAACTCCAGCTAATGCACGAACAGGGTATACCATGCGCTCGATCCCGACCTTTGCGAGATACTCCAGCAGCATACAGAGAAGGTTGTATGCCGTGAACATCGGCACGCCTACGCCCCGTCTTCCCCATAAACCCCAGCTGGCGTACGACTCGGCCGGATCACGCGCTCAATCCCAATCTTTGCAAGATACTCCTGCAGCATTCAGAGAAGGTCGTACGCCGTGAACATCGGCATTCCATGCCCTGTTCGTGA